AAAACGGGTATGTTTTCCTGGCACTATAGTGGTCCTTTAAAGGACCACTACAGACACCCAGATCACATCAGCTCAATGAAGTGGTCTGGGTGCCAGGTCCCTCTAGTTTTAACCCTGCAGCTGAAAACATAGCAGTTTCAGAGAAACTGCTATGTTTCACTGAGAGTTAATCCAGCCTCTAGTGGCTGTCTCACTGACAGCCGCTAGAGGAGCACACTGAACGTCCATAGGAAAGCATTGAGTAATGCTTTCCTATGGGCGGTTTGAATGCGTGCGCGGTCGCATTCGGAGCTGAGAGGCTGAGGGATCCTCAGCGCCAAGGGAATCCGGCGCTGGAGAAAGGTAAGTGCTGAAGACACACACACTCTCACTTACAGACGCATACACACTAGCTAACAGACACACACATTTACTGACAGAGATACAGTCAGCGACAGACATACATACACACTCACTTACAAAACATACTCTCATTGACACACACTCACTAACAGACATCAAACAGACTCACTAACACACAAACACAGTAACACACTCACTGACACTCACTAGCAGACACACACACTAACACTCACACTAACACTCACACACACTAACACTCACTCTAACACTCACTCTAACACTCACTCTAACACTCACTCTAACACTCACACACACTAACACTCACTCTAACACTCACACTAACACTCACACATGATTTTTTTTTTTTTAATATAATCCCCCCAGCCTCCTTACCTCTTGGAGTGCTGGGGGGGATTATTCCCTGAGGTCCAGTGGGGCTCCTGGGCGGGCAGGCAGGCGGGCGCGCGAGGGAGCACTCAGCGCTTCCTCTTCAGCTCCCTCGCGCGCCGCGTAGGGATGCCGGCGCCGGAAGATGACGTCATCTTCCGGCTCCGGTATCATTGCGGTGCGCGAGGGAGCTGAAGAGGAAGCACTGAGTGCTCCCTCGCGCGCCCGCCCGCCCGACCAGCCACCCGGGGTCAGCAGGGCCAGCCTCAGGGGGGCCCTGGGGTGGTCGGCTCCTGGGCCCCCCAGGGGAAGAGGCTGGCCCTGTGGCTACATACCGGGTCGCAGGGGCGGCCGGGCCCCCTGGTGGGCCGGGCCCGGTCGCAGTCGCGACCCCTGCGACCCTGGTATGTACGCCAGTGCTGGTAGAGTAGAGGAGGCGGGCCAGTGATAAGATTGTGGCACAGACTTTGTCTTAAGAGGTTCAGCCACAGGCAGAGCATTGTTTCAATGCTCCATGCAGGGTCCAAGTGCCCTGAAAAGAGCAAGCACATCTAATGATGTGCTCACGCTGTGCTTGTTAGTGAAATTTTTTTGGAGTCCCCAAAAACAGGACAACATGTAACTAAGTCAGGATGGTGGAACTAAGTCATGATGGAGAAGGAAAGTCAGGATGTAGGAACTAAGTTAGGATGGAGGAGCTAAGTCAGGATGGAGGAACTAAGTCATGGTAGCGGAACTAAGTCAAGATGGAGGAACTAAGTCATGGTAGCGGAACTAAGTCAAGATGGAGGAACTAAGTCAGGATGGTGAAACTATGTCCAGATGGAGGAACTAAGTCAAGATGGAGGAACTAAGTCATGATGGTGGACCCAAAAATCAGGACAGAAACCCCAGGATCAAGTTGGGAGGCGTGTTTATACTTTGTAATTTTATATGGATTTTACTTGGGCTTACTAACATAATAAGTGAATAGGGCTGATTTTAGATACTATAAACAATGTTTTCTATAATATACTTGGGATATTTTATAGTTTAGATTGAAAGGACAGTTTCAAAAGTTACTTAATCTTTGTTTCTCTAATGTTAAAATGGAAGATTTAGTCTGCACTCTGCAGGGTTATTTACTAATCTCAGAACTGACACCAGAATAGTAAACTTTGCTCAACACTCCTGAATTAAATATATAGTTGCAATCAGACTGTTCACTAATTGCAGGTAATTTAGTTTTGAATAATTTGGAATCAGCTATAAAATGAACAGAGAAATGGACCAACTGCCTTACAAAGCACATCTGTATTACTTTAGTCAATTAAAGGTGACGGGGGTTACACATTAATGGGGGTCTTGCTCTGTGCCAGCCCCCTCCCCCATACTCTTTCCCAACAGGGTTAAACCAACTAGTCAGCCATGGTAGGAATATGTTGTGTACGTTAGACCAGGTATCATTAATTTATATGTAACCCTCATCCCACTGTTAATGAGATGGAGGTAACAAGTGAGCAGCCGAGACTTGTCAGATGGGGATTATGGGACGACTAGGTCCTATTTCTTGATACAGGAGGTCATACTGACCACCATATTATTATTTTTTAATAACAGTGTGGGCTGATTAGCAGTACTTTATCAGACACCACATATTTTATCTTTGAACTAAGGTTTGTGATATGAGGACAAAAGAGGGAACATGCCATCATGTCCCATTGAATCCCCTGCAAGCTGGAACAGCAGACACAGGAGTTAAATCTTCCTTCCCTCCAATAACAGGACGAAACACAGTTTTGGAGTGCAAGCTGGAATGCTTTAATGGCAGCCACAACTGGCCTTATATGCATGTCCCCATGCAAGGGGCACTCCCCCCTGGACCAGAATGTAGACTACAGCAAAAACACACAATTACATTGGCTCTCAGGTCCAGGACACTCCCATACATAATCAGATAACCCCTCCTCTGTGCCTGGGAGATAATTGGATCAGGAACTCTACTAATCTAATCCAATTATCCCCAAGCACTGAAAAAATAATACTTTTTATCAAACACCCCAAAAGTACCCTAAAAATACATAAACCCCCCACAAAAGTTACATCCCCATATAGCCCTGATCTGGGTAACCAACATATCCAAAAATCACCCAGATCAGTTAAAGGGTTCAGCAATTTCCTGGAAGCCATTTATTTGACCGACCGCAGGCATGATCCCATGCCCAAAACAGTTCCAGTGAATCGGGGCTTGCGGTCAGTCTACTACGGGGATTCGAAGTAAAGTTCAAAAGGCCAAAGTAGCCGTTCGTGAATGGAGTCAGTGTACATCTCTTGTTCGGGAGTTTTTTTTTTACCAAACGCAGTTCGAGTCCCGTTCGAATAGCCGAACATCCAAGGAAGGTAAAAGTTTAGCGGTGTTCGCGCCGTCAAGTGTCCAAATTGAGTTCCATGCACTCGACGACAAAACACCGCTGGATGCGTTCAACTAAACAAGATGGCTTCGGGAGTTCGAATTGTCCCTGTTGTAAGTCCACGAGGCACAACTAGAGTCTTTAACCCAAAGTTCATTACAGGGGCCATAGTCACAGGGCAGGAGGCCGGCACACAGGCCCCTCCAAGAACCAGTGGCGAGGTTACGTTCGCCACACAGATATTGCAACACTCACTAATTATTTATTTGGTTTTGATGTGTCCACCCAGCCTACATTTGGAGAGCTGGAGTGGATCAGTGTCCCTGGGGTCCAGTGGAGCTGCTGTCATCTCACTGCTCTGCTCCCTCTCGCACAGTTTAGTGATGCGGGACCGGAGTGACGTTCAGCATCACAGGAAGGCGCGCAAAGGAGCAGAGCAGTGAGATTACACTTCCCTCGACGGCTCCGGACTCAGTCAGCCGCCCGCCAGCATTCCCTCAACTCCCACCAACCTGAGCTTCCCATGAGCCAGCTACCCACCTGCCTCTGCTCTCAGGCAGCCAGTCAGCTATGGGGCTGAACGGGCTCACAAATCCCAGGCACCAGGACAAATTTCCTGGTCACCATGGCACCTGGGATTTGTCAAGCCTAGGATTATGAGATTATTTGCTTGAGTTTTAAACACTCCAGTAGTAAATATACAGAAAGTTATATTAGGGTATTGTTCTGTTTACAGTAAAATCTGGTTCATACTGCAAGAAAATACACAGGAAGGAATTTTATCTTCTTTGGCATTAGCACCTTCTCTACAAATGAAACACACTTGTTTAGATTTTTACAGTAAAATTAATATTTAACTAGAACAGGTTCAGTCCCAAAACCAAAGCACATAGTTGTGAATAGAGATCCATGTGTAGTTACCATCTGGAAACAGATGGGTGGGTTCTCTCACCAGTAAAAACAGATCGAACTACAACACCGGGTACAAAAAGAAATACTCATTCAGGTTCGACCAGGTGATCAAAATCCAAGCTGTATTCTATCGGATATAAATCACACAGGAAACATAATGGCAACACCAGTGCAGAGAGAGGCACTGACATGGAGATGGTTATGCGTTTCATGCCTGGATGTTACTTTCTCAAGAATTTAGCATATTATGCCCAGAAGAAGACATTTTCTGCAAAAATTCTGAACAGATATTTGGTGTAATGGTACTTCCAATATCTGGGCAGCTAGGGCTGGGAAAAGTATTAGATCGGTCTGTAGCCAAGTTAGCAGGTTGGTCCGCAGCCCTAGCTGCCTCCCCAGAGGCACCGGCTCAGTGGCCATATTGGGGTCAGGATGCAGCATATTACTTGCTGGGGTCACTCTCCTTCCTTCCAATCAGCAATTGTGGATCCCTTCAGTGGAGGCCCGGATATCCCAGTCGGTCTATAGGGAGGGAACGGGACCAGCCAGATGTACCATCAAGGGCCAATTGCGTGGGAGTCTGCAAGAGGGTAAGTGAGCAGCCGTCCACCTCACCCTTCATCCGAGTAGGTCGCACATTTCAGTTGCCGCACCAGAGCTTCAGTGTCCTCAAGTTTTGAGTTTGCATCGGCACCAGCAGTTGTAAGAGGGGATGTTAGCTTTTAGGTGCCGAGGTACATGCCTACACCCTAAAATCAGCTTTTATAGCCCAATCAATCAAACTGGAGCTCCTCCAACACGCTTCCAGTCGGCAGGGAGGAAGGGCCCTGCCCCCCTCGTAAAAGTTTTAGATCACTCTGGTCATTACAAAAAAAACCTACACCATTTGCATATGAGACTCATCCTATGCATAACTTTATAGTGAAGGGATTAAGAAATGCACTAATAACAGAACACACGAAAGACAGGTTGACGAAATATGTATCTTTATTGATTCCTACAAAAAGGTATAATTCTCAAATTAAACAATGTTGCCAGTTACACAAACCAGAAAAAGACCTTCCAAGAGACCTTTCACTATCACTGGTTAAACAAACAGTAAAAAAATAAGGGAATGAGGATGCCCCAAAAAAATAAAAAAAAATTTATGTTTTGAATATTCATGTTAACCACAATGGGGCACAAGAGAGATTAAAATTATTTGATTAATCATTTAATAATTTTCACACAGATGAAAAGCACATTAATACTAATTCAGTCTAAGGCAGCTTTAAAAAAAAAAACAAAACAAAAAAAACAACCCTTTTCATGGACTGACCAACCTAAATGTAAACATGCGGCTAGTAGGAAAATCGGCTATGATCTGATCAATAATTATTAACAGAATAAGTTTAGCATGATCGAAAGCTTTTTACCACATCCATAACTTTTTACCTTATCCTATGAAAACAAACTCATTTCATTTAGTGAGAGATCTAAAAAAAAGATTTTGTGGGGAACAGACATGTCTCAGAATGGATAGAATGTTATTTCATATCACAAAACATTATAAACAATGAGAAAAAACAAACAAGAGAAATGACTGATTTAGAACCCAGAATAAACATACGTAAAGGAAATTTGGAGCCGTAACATTTTAGCACCAATACATTGCGCAGTACTTCAGTGGTGCTCGAAGAGTTGAATAAGATCACATAATGGGGTTTATTCACTAAACCTCAACTTGTGGAATTGCACTGACTTAATGTGACTATTGCAAAGTTCAAGACTTTTCTTCAAATCAACATTTTTTGGGGAGTTGCCTATGTAATCCTTCTATAAAGGTCAGGGCCTCTTCACTGGAGGAAGCAATACAGACCGTGAGAGAGGTTGCTAGTGTGCAGCTTAAAATGTTTTTCCATATGTAGACATTTTTATTTGTGCCACAGTATCCCGTTCATGGTTGTTCTCTCATTGTTTCCCCTCATTCAGAGACCGAAATTAACTCACCTTAGGCATTCCTTACAGGCTTACACTATCAGGGATAATCACTGAACCAGAATTTGTAGGAGACAAATCTAGGAAATTTAACATTTAAGGCCAAAATTTATTTATTAATTTTCCCATTTCAGATTTTTTCCCCCTTAAATGGCAATTTCTTGGTGAATTAACAACAACCCACAGTCTAGTAAATAAGTATTTAAATGTTCAGTACAGATATTCTCTCCTGTACTGTTCAAGAATATAGTGAGGTTATAAAGATGGACCAAGGTGGTTAAACAGATAAAGGATAAACGCAGGCACAATTAGACAGATAAACCACATATAAAACACACACGACATGAATAAAGTATATTGGATTACATCATGGTACGTGTGATAGTAATATTTTTGAGAGAGTTCCTGTACAAATATTATTACAAAAAAAAGCAATTCCCTGCACAAGGGGTTTGTAAATGTGGCCAGTGATTCTGTATAAGGATTCCTTCCTGTTTGGCATTTTTAAATGTATACATAAACTAGACGAACTCCGTAAGATAACTACCAAAAACAGTGTTATAAAAAAACACTTAAAACAAGTATCAGAACCTTTAACATCACCATGTATTGCTGAGGTTGCCTTTAAGCAAAGTAAAATAGGGTAACCATTTATTTTAATATTTTTAAAGCTTGAAAAAACACTTGTAGGTTCCAATTTTACAGGTTTCTCAAACCGAAAACCTATTGCTGAACAGAGAGATAATGAACAGATGAATGAGAGCAGTGATCCTCAGACTTTTATTTTTCCTTTTCTGTGTGTTGAATACCAAGGAAGACACATCCTCTGTGCATTTAAAATACCTGCAAGGGGCGATAAGAAAACTCCTATTATAGTACAAATGACATTAAAAGCTTTGCATGTGTACACGCGAGCCCTTTGTTATTCCCACGCACAACATACGTTTAGATCACACGTTTTCCTTATTTGATTTGAGTACTTCAGTTCAGGTGCAACTTTAACAGGGACAAAATGGATGTCTCCCTTATGGAATAACCCAAGCTGCACTCATTGTTATTTCACATCTGCAGCAACTTTTAGTTCTCTCCGTGGTTTATCCCACCTATTAATTCATATAACCCCTATTCAAATGTCATTTCCTCTCACAACAGCTACTAGAACCATGCTTTGTCCAAACATCAGCCCAACTTCCTTTCTCCAGTCTACCCTTTACTTAACACACACAGCTACACCCACCAGTCTGTTACTCTTGCACAGCCACATTTCTCTACTTCAATCTTACGTTCTCTAGCTCAGTTTACTCCTCTTTCCACATATCCCTGTACCATCGATGGTCTAGTTGTGTATGTGACGCAGCAGGCTTACACATCTTACAATTGGTTCCTACGCAACATCTCCACCATCTTTCCTCTCCTTCTAGGCTGACCATGATCACTCATAACTGTGGTGAGGTTCCACTTCAGATCCTAAATACATTATCTTCCGGCAGGTCACACTGGTGCAGGAGCACTCTTCCAATATCAAAATATAAAGTTAGATGTAATGTATAGTGGAGCTCTATTGCTATGAAGACATAATTTTCTAATTGCTCATTCATTCCGAACTGTTCGCCGCGGACTCATCATTGAGTAAACTTTGACCCTGTACCTCACAGTCAGCAGACACATTCCAGCCAATCAGCAGCAGACGCTCCCTCCTCCTGGACAGCATCCATTGTGAAGCTGCATTCTTAGTGAGCTGTCCAGGAGGTGGGAGGGTCTGCTGCTGATTGGCTGGAATGTGACTGCTGACTGTGAGGTAGAGGGTCAAAGTTTACTCAATGATGAGTCCACGGCGAACCGTTCGACAAACAGTTCGGGACATCACTATTCCCCGTATCTATATCACAGTTTATGTTTCATTGAATACTTACATGTTCATGAATTTTCAGTTATTTGGGTGGGGGATACTTTCCATATGAAGCCTCCATTCGACTCTGTTTTAACCCCTATAATGCAATATAGACAGCACAATCTAATAACACTGCAACAATTATTTAAGATCAACATCCTCTACAGGTTAGAATTTTGTTCTAGAGTGATGGATTTGAAGTTTAAAAACAATAATGCTCCTCTATATAGGCTTGTGAACTACAGATCTGATGTTCATGGGCAACTTGTTTAACAAGAATCTATAGTGGTTTGCTTAACGATCTGTTAAGTGGATAAGAAGAATATATAAGAACTGTTAAATAAATCAGGAATTTAGCTGTAGTCGGAATGTGCTCAGAGAAAAGTAATAACTAAAAATCTAACTAAATGCAGGCTTCAATATTACATTACACAACCCCACGTTGAAAGGGGCCCAACAGCAAAACCAAACCAAAAAAAACAAACAAAAAAACTGGTGACAAATTTTGCTTAGTGCGTTAAATAAGCCAATAGGTTGGGACAGTTATCTGTGTGTAACAAATTTTAACTTACCAAATAATAACCGGTGTGATAGCCACTCATGTACCAGGCAATTAACATACTTCCCAAGGCCTCATCATCTTCAGTGGTATCTGGGCCCATTGGAGGAGGGGGCGGAATCAACTAGAACACACACAAATCATTATAAGACGGTTTTTGGTTTTACCACAAATGTAAACTTGGATTCTCTGATCACCTCCAACAGTTTAGAAATTTTGGATACCAAGAGTGACAAGGTACTCTGCAGAATAGTTTAGGGCACAAGTAATTTGAAATTAACTTCTCCCAGAAAGTGTGTTTTTTTTTTTTTATTGTTTCTATTTTATTTCATTTGCTTCTGACAGCAGCACTATGGTGTTTGGAATACAGGTTCATTCCCAACGCTATAGAGTCCCTTTAAGTAAAAGGGAAAGAAAATAAAAATATCTACCTCACTGTGCTCACAGAACGGCAAGCAACTCTATAGATGTTTTAAAACAAACAAAAATGCCAATTGCTTCACAGTATAGACCTCTATAGGAGGAGAGTACAAGAATGTTTGCTCCCTGTCAGTGTTATTCTGTTCTGATGCCCAACCAATGAAAGAAGTGTGTCAGTGACATGGAAGAGGATTGACCTGCTGGGGAAGTGCTCCCAAAAGGGGGCCGATCGCAATTAGAGTGGCAGGACCATGAAGGGACTAGAGAATGAATGTAGCAGTTTACTAACATCAGACTGTGTAACATAGTAATGCTGGCAAGGAGGTAACTTCATAGCAGCTCCTAAAGCAATTAAGTAATTAAATATATTATTATTAAGATAAAAGAAATATTAATTGCTCTAGGAGCGGTTATTACATTAAATTAACTCGTCATAACAAGTCCACTTTGAGAAGAAAGAAGTGTCACCTGGTACCCAGGTCACTCCCTCCCACACGTAATGTATTTGCAACATAAGAATATTGAGCTCAGTAGTGATGAAGGCTTGCCTCTATGCTCCGATGGAAGGCTTAACATCCTTTCCATTACATATTGTAATAAACTAAATTTGATACCAGTGATTTGTTTTAGTCACGCCAACTTATTTTCTCTTGATCTTAGCAAATAGGAGGCACAGTTAAGTTTTGAAAAAAGGTCTAGACACTAGTAGGAGATGAAAGCACACATGAAACATAAAACATAAAACTGAATATAATTCTGTGACTTACTGGTGGTCCTGGAGAAAAGGGTGGGGGCCAACCTGAAAGGTAGGAATGGCCCGGGTTTGATTTCTCACCATGCTGAAAGGAAATTAGTATTAAATAGATCTACAAGTTTTTATAATGCAATCTTATAATCACCTAAACCACCATCAGAGACGGGCATACAAGTTTAACGCTTGGTAAGAACTTCCCAGATATTGACCTGGTCACCTGAAGTGGCACAGGAAACCTTACACAAAATTTACGGCTAAATGAATAAAATCTGTCCTGTCTAAAAAGCAAAACGATGGGATACACTGACAGTCCAAAGAAAGAAAAAAAAAAAAAAAAACTATTCTATTTTTATGTTTCACTTCAGATACTCACTGCATAATGCCCAGTAATATATTAAGAAAGTATTCTTACCCTGCCGAAGCCTGGCATAAACGGTGGAGGTGGAACGGGAGGGAAGTAAGAGTTCCAGGGTGGAGGCAATGGTGAGGTTCGTCCATGGTGATCTTTGTTAGTAGATCTAGAAGACAATTCACTTTCGTCAGTTGAATGTTCATCTCCATTCACATCCTAGAACATAAACATAAAGTAAAAGAAGATTAACTATTAGGCTCTTTATATAGTTACTTTTGTATGAATTATGCTTTACACTTGTTGGTGTTTTTGTATATATATATATATATATATATATATATATATATATATATATATATATATATATATATATATATATATATATATATATATATATATATATACACACACACACATATACATATACATACACACACACACATATATACATACATACATATACTTACATACATACATACACACACACACACAATAAAATGTCTTTTAGTGATTGGAAGAAAGAAAATTTTAATAAAAGGAGTGTGTTGGGAGTGTTATTTGTCCTCCCTCCACAAAATATTTGGCTCATACTGGTACTACATTTCAAATGCACAGATTAACACGGATCTGTCACTTCTCTGTATTTTCTAAGATATAATCTTTATGAAAAATGAATTCAGACTGCGTTGGAATGTCATTAAATTCCAACGCAATCCAAAGATACTGGAAGACGAGGTAGGCAACCTTCAGCACACAAGATGTTGTGGAATACAGCTCCCATAATGATCATTTGGAGTGCTGAAGGTTCCCTAACCCTGCCACAAAACAAAGTAGGGATAACCTTGCCTTATGGCATAGCCTGAAATTTACAAAAGGTGGGTCTCCGCCGTCAACTTTTGTCCAATCCCAGCAGCCATCACAAGTGACAGCTGTGGGATCCTCCACTCTCGCGCACACTGACATGGCTTCTGGCAAGTGAACCTGCATGATAAAGATGGCGGCGGCCATGAGTAACACCGTCTCTGCACCCTGTGGCCACCGGACCCACGCCAAATCTGTCCAAAATTGACAGATCCACTTTAAAGAGGTTGGCAGGTAGGAGAACTTTGTAAATTAACTTACCATACCTAAAGTTTATATTCAGACCCACCTAGACATAACAGTCTTTGTAAATATACTCCCCTAGTTAAAGCGGCACTGTCATGCCGAACTTACCTTTCCTCAATCTCTTCCTCTTCTCCCCCTCTCTCAGGATCTGTTATTCTTTTCTTCCTTTTCTTCTTTAGTTTTCTTTAAAATCATAAGACAAAGTAGGGACTCTTTGCCTTATGGAGGATTCCTCCGCTTGACCAGCTCTGACCAGCGGAGGAGCAAAGTGTGCTTCATTTCCGCTGGTCAGAGCAATTTTCCCATGATCCTTTCCTTCCCTCTGTGTTCCCACAATGCTTCCTGTCACTTTCCACAAAACTGCCGAATTGCGTTCTAACTGAATGACAACAGTCTGTTCGTTTCTTTTAGAACGCAATTCGGCACTTTATTCGAATCAGAATTTCATTCTAATGAATGAAACTCTGATCCTATTCATTGCTGTGGCTGCATCTTGCAGCCGTTTAGTAGATAACTCCCTAATTCCCACGGTATCAGGGAGCTATCTACTAAAAGGCTGAAAGACCTAAATTGGTCTAACAGCCAACTTTACTAATACTAAGTAAAGATCAGAGTGCTCTGAGTCATTTTACACAGCGTGGGAAAGTTCTTTTGAATTTTCCCACGCTGTGTAAAATGACTCAGAGCACTCTGATTGGGTGGCTTTCAAGCCACCCAATCAGAGTGCTCTGTGTCATTTTACACAGCGTGGGAAAGTTCTTTTTGAATTTTCCCACGCTGTGTAAAATGACTCAGAGCACTCTGATTGGCTTAAACCCACCAATCAGAGTGTTCTAAGCCTAATTGCAGGGCGGGGCAAGGCTTTATAAGCCTTGACCCGCCCTGCGGAGCTCAGTCTGCGGCGTGCCCTCGAAGGGCGAACTTGGATTAATTTTTTTTTGCGCTCGGTTTTTTTTTTTTTTAAAGTGCGACGGGTGTAATGGATTTTTATTTGGCCTTTTTGGGGGCTGAAGAAAGAAGATTTTAGAAAAAAGAAGACGTCAAATGGTAAGTTTAATTTTTTTTTTTTTTTACAGGTTAGTTATTTTATTCCCCCCTCACTATTTGTGGGGTGAGGGGGGTAGGTAGGGGATAGGTTTTTTTGGGTGGGGGGTTGGTGACTAGGGGCTTGGGACCCCTAGTCACCTTGATTGGGGGGGGGTGTTTCATTTAGGGCCCCCACCCACCGCTCAGGGGTGGGGGCCAGGGGGGGGTGGACAGTAGGTCCCCCCCCTTATTGTTTTATTAGGGCCCCCACCCACCGCTCAGGGGTGGGGGCCGGGGGGGGAGGACAGTAGGTCCCTCCCCCCCTTATTGTTTTATTAGGGCCCCCATCCACCGCGCAGGGGTGGGGGCCAGGGGGGGGAGGACAGTAGGTCCCCCCTCCCTCATTATCTTCATGGCCCCCACCCACCGCTCAGGGGTGGGGGCCGGGGGGGGGAGGACAGTAGGTCCCCCCCTTATTGTTTTATTAGGGCCCCCACCCACCGCGCAGGGGTGGGGGCCAGGGGGGGAGGACAGTAGGTCCCCCCCCTTATTGTTTTATTAGGGGCCCCACCCACCGCGCAGGGGTGGGGGCCAGGGGGGGAGGACAGTAGGTCCCCCTTATTGTTTTACTGGGGCCCCCCCACCCCGCGGGGTGGGGCCGAAGGTAGTGGGTCCCCTTGTGTTGACCCACCCACCCGGCTCAGGGGGTGGGGGCCGAGGACAGTGGGTCCCCTTTTTACTGGGGCCCCACACCGCACGCTCAGGGGTGGGGGCCAGGAGGACAGTAGGTCCCCTTATTGTTTACTGGGGCCCCCACCCACCCGGCGGGGGTGGGGGCCAGGAGGACAGTAGGTCCCCCTTGTGTTTTACTGGGGGCCCCCACCCACCGCGCAGGGGTGGGGGCCAGGGGGGGAGGACAGTAGGTCCCCCCCCTTATTGTTTTATTAGGGCCCCCACCCACCGCTCAGGGGTGGGGGCCGGGGGGAGGACAGTAGGTCCCCCCCTCATTATCTTCATGGCCCCCACCCGCCGCTCAGGGTGGGGGAGGGGGGGAGGACAATAGGTCCGCCCCCCCTTATTGTAATTTATGTCTTTTTTTTCAACAGTGAGCAGCCACAGGCTGCTCACTGTTTAGTAGACATGCCCCTACTCGCGGTATAGTGAGTAGGGGCATTTGGGAGATTTAAATCTCCCTTGTGCTATTATGGGGGTCATATTGACCCCCATAGAGTGAGAGGGGGTACTGGGGGCTTATGAAGTGGTGGGGAGCACTGCTCCCTGCCACTTCTATAGTTACATATTACAAGGAGGGAGCTGCATGCCGGTAGCTCCCTCCTTGTAATAAACTGAACGAACAAACAAACACTGATACATTGTGTTTGTTTGTTCGGCTGATATTTCTATTCACTCATTCGTCTGTCTGATGAATGAATGAATAGATGAAATTCCCGTTCGCATGTCCAGGTGTTTCACTGGGCATGTGCGGGAATCTCACAGTCTGCCTAGTGTGGGCTGATGACGTGTCCCTGAGGGACTTCACCTACCCACACAAAGATGGCTGCGCCCTGAATCAAGATCGGGGCAGAAAATAAGGATTTAAAATAGGTAATGTGGGGGGCTTAGGGGCATTTGGGGGTGACTAGTGGGTCAATTGGATGTAGTGGAGGCGGGAGGGGGGTTAAAAAAAAAACGGGATTCGGCATGACAGTGCCGCTTTAAGAAACAGATTGGTGCACGCTATAAGTACACAACACTACAAAAACTGTCTCCTCTGTATGTCACCCTTCCTGCTGCAAATATTACAAAATTTACTCTACCATTTTCTACTCCTCCCAGTCTCCATGAATACTTTGTTTTAAGCTTTGTACTTACATTTCCCCCCATTTAATTACCAGACTCAACACTGCAACACCTCTCCAATGAACCCCACATTTGTAACTGCAATCAATAGACCACCCAGTCTGTTACCATTTACATTATAACATGATCCTCCAGGTGTGTTGAACAGAAAGCAGTGATAGGCCTATGAGGAAGAGCCACTTGGAACAATAAATATTTTCTGACTGAAGTTTGATGACATATTTAAGTGTAGGTTGTTTCCCCAGGAAAGGGACAAGCAAAAGAATCAGGAATATCGATACATGTTGAGCCCGCTGGAAATATACTAGCACAGGGTAAGAACCATAGGGTTTTTTTTTGTTTTTGTTTTTTTAGAAAACACGTTGCAGGTACAAAAAGGTATATATAGTAGGCTGAATGTTGTATGGGCTTCAAATATGTGTCAAAGTTTACACTTATATTTCCTAGATCATATACAGGGTGACATGTGTACTGAAAAAAAACCAACATGGTGCCGTCAAATGTTTAAATTAACCAGAATCTTGAAATATGGTTACAGTCATAATATTCACAGCAACAGATTTCCTCTAAATTTGGCCCCAAATGGACCACACTTGGGATTAGAAACAATGAAATGTCTACATATCCTGGTACTTTCCTTAACAAGCTCCAAATTAGTTCCATTAACTTATTAGAGCTCAGAATTGAAATTATAACATTTCACAGTGTTCACACTTCAAATGAGACTCAGTGGCGGGGAGCACATGTTTCTTACCAGCTCTTGATCTTTCTGGTCACTCTCCACTTCAGAACTGTCTGGGAATCGCAAGTCACACAGATTCTGCTCTTCACTGTTGCCATACCCAGTATAAACAACTATACAAGTCCCTCTTTTTCCATCGATGGAAGAGATAGTAGCTGGGTAAACATTTCCATCCTCAGACCACATTGCATTACAGGCTTCTCCTACCTTCCACTGAGAGAGGGAAAAAATATAGATAACATTTTTGAAGAATGAAGTGAGCAATTCACTATGAGAAAAGGATGTGCAATTTTAGAAAACTGGATGTACTATAAGAGATATACAAACACTCTTGTAATGAGGCCACATATGCTCACTGAGAATATTGGTCACCTCAAGCATTCTTGAAATATACAGAAATATGAACTCCAGGCCTGAAAGATTAATGACACTATTACATAGCTGAAAGACTATGTGTCCATCATGTTCAGTCTTCATCGCATATGTTTTTGCTGTTTATCCAAAAGAAGGCAAAAAACCTAGCGATTGCAATTTTACAACAAACTAGGAAAGAAATTCCTTCTTGACCCCAAAATAGCAGTCAGATGTCTCCTTGGATCAAGCAGCTATTACCCCACTAATTAGAAATTATATCCCTGAATGTTATGTTTTTGCAAGTATTTATCCAATTGCAGTTTATATCTGTATGGACTCTGATAAAACCAACTCTTTAGGCAAAGAATTCCATATCCTTATTGCTCTTACTGTAAAAAAACCTTTTCTTTGCCTTAGACAAAATCTACTTTCTTCCAGCCTAAATGTGTGACCTCGTATCCTATGTATAGCCCTGTTTATGAATAGATTTCCAGATAATGGTTTGTACTGACCCCGAATATATTTGTATAATGTACATGGGACTTAAAGAATACCTCAGCGGTCACAAGGAAACTCCCACTACAATTAAAAACTCAATAGTGAAAATCACAAAACATGTATGTGGGCCCTTAAAGGTGAAGTACCAAAAAAAAACAAACAAAAAAAAAAGCAATCTGTTTTTTTTCCTTGTAATATGATAGTATTGTGTGCACACGATGAATGTTCACTTTATCATTCTGTGTATGTCCTGGTTTCCCTATACCTCAATAACGAGAAAAACACTATTAAACAGAAACATTACATTTTGTGTCAAGAACCTAAATGTGGATCAGAAAAAGTATATTCTTTTGGAACTTTGCCCTAAAAATGCTTGTTTTAATCCCACTAATTAGAGACCAGATAATCAGTGAAATCTCTTTATATCATTATACTCAAGTATGGTCCCAATTACAAAGAGCTAGACAAAGCCCAGTGCATCAGACTGACATGGCAACAAGAAACTAGCGGCTGGCAAATGTTCCTTGTGCATGGCGATTGTCATATCTGCTGATGCTTAGATATGTAGGGCATGAAGGAGAGTGGGACACAAAGAAAAACTAATGCATCCTATTCACACACGGTGTTATTAACTAAGCTGAGAATTTAAAGTGAATTTCAGATCTTAAAGGACCACTATAGGCACCCAGACAACTTCAGCTCAATTAAGTGGTCTGGGTGCCAGGTCCCCCTAGTTTTAACCCTGCAACTGAAAACATAGCAGCTTCAGAGAAACTGCTATGTTTCACTGAGGGTTAATCCAGCTTCTAGTGGCTGTCTCACGGAAGGCTGCTAGAGGCGCTTCCGTGATTCTCACTGTGAAAATCACAGTGAGAAGACGCTGGACGTCCATAGGAAAGCATTAATGCTTTTCTATGGGCGTTTTAATGCGCCTGCGGCTCTGGCCGCGCATGCGCATTCGGCTCCACTCAGGAGCCAACGTCGGAGGTGGAGGAGAGGTCACCAGCGCATAGGGAGCCCGGCGCTGGATAAAGGTAAGTGGCTGAAGGGGTTTTAACACTATATGGTCAGGAATACATATGAGTTTCTGACCCTTTAGTGTTCCTTTCAGGCCAATATCTATAAAATATAAAAACCATCTCAGTTAGTCGTGCTTCCAGCACAGCAACCTTGGCCTGAAAGTTGAAATTCACCTTGAATTCTCACATTATTAAATAACTTTGTGAAACCCCAATAATGGATCACCTTTTTCACAGGGGTTGTATTGCTTTTCTTTCTACTTTTGTTCTTCTTCTTGTTTTTTCTTTTTGCACTGGCGTTTTTTTCAGGTGTCGGGGAATCCATAGCACAATCTCCATTCCTCAGAGCTTTCTGAAAAGGAAAAAAATAATCAAAACTGCAAAATGCACAGATCATTATTCCAAACGGATAATACAATTAACACATTTAACTCCGTCAGCATTTGGGTAAACTGTGACCATTTTTCTGTGAACAATACGGATTCAACATCAATACTGGTTAGCACTCAATTCTCTCTCTCTCTCTCTCTCTCTCTCTCTCAAATAATAATTAAATGCAGCATTACCTTAAATGAGGACACTGCTTTATCATAGGCTTTTATCAGTGCTGTATCATCCCAGATATCGGAATCGTCACTCTAAAGAGAAAAACAAACAACAAAAAGCTAATTTCAACCACCTCACATGTGACATGCTAGGGGAAGCAGAATGACACTGGGGTAAAAATACAAGCTTTGATTGGGGAAAAATGTTCACATTTAGAACACATCAGCCAAAACCTAAATTTACAGCTGTTGTCAAACTACAATTTCAATAATCCTTTACCAGAATCACAATACGTTTGTAGTTCTGCAACAGCTGGGGATCTACCTTTTGGCCACATATGTAGAAGAACAATGAGTTAAAATTACTTAAAAGCCAGGGTATATAGAGAGACCCCTATATGGAGATTGTATACCAGGGTATATAGACAGACCCCCCATATAGAGATTGTATACCAGGGTATAGAGCAGACGCCCCATATAGAGATTGTATACCAGGGTATATAGACAGACCCCCTATATGGATGTTGTATACCAGGGTATATAGACAGACCCCCTATATGGAGACTGTATACCAGGGTATATAGACAGACCCCTTATATGGAGACTGTATACCAGGGTATATAGACAGACCCCCTATATGGAGACTGTATACCAGGGTATATAGACAGATCCCCTATATGGAGACTGTATACCAGGGTATATAGACAGACCCCCTATATGGAGACTGTATACCAGGGTATATAGACAGACCCCCTATATGGAGACTGTATCCCAGGGTATATAGACAGACCCCCTATATGGAGATTGTATACCAGGGCATATAGACAGACCCCCTATATGGAGACTGTATACCAGGGCATATAGACAGACCCCTATATGGAGACTGTATACCAGAGTATATAGACAGACCCCTATATGGAGACTGTATACCAGGGTATATAGACAGACCCCCTATATGGAGACTGTATCCCAGGGTATATAGACAGACCCCCTATATGGAGACTGTATACCAGGGTATATAGACAGACCCCTATATGGAGACTGTATACCAGGGTATATAGACAGACCCCTATATGGAGACCGTATCCCAGGGTATATAGACAGACCCCTATATGGAGACCGTATCCCAGGGTATATAGACCGACCCCTATATGGAGACCGTATCCCAGGGTATATAGACAGACCCCCTATATGGAGACCGTATACCAGGGTATATAGACAGACCCCCTATATGGAGACCGTATACCAGGGTATATAGACAGACCCCCTATATGGAGACTGTATACCAGGGTATATAGACAGACCCCTTATATGGAGACCGTATACCAGGGTATATAGACAGACCCCCTATATGGAGACTGTATACCAGGGTATATAGACAGACCCCCTATATGGAGACTGTATACCAGGGTATATAGACAGACCCCCTATATGGAGACTGTATACCAGGGTATATAGACAGACCCCTATATGGAGACTGTATACCAGGGTATATAGACAGACCCCCTATATGGAGACTGTATACCAGGGTATATAGACAGACCCCTATATGGAGACTGTATACCAGCTGTTCTAGAACTCCAACTCCCATGATGCTCAGCCCAAGCATGATAGGAGTTGCAGTGTTACAGGAAGCTGGGGGGAGTCCTGTGCCAGGCATGATCCCTCAGATTGTATAACCAGTATAACCTCTCGGATATTCCCCCCAGCAGGCTGTGTGCTTATTGGTACCTGGCCGGCTCCGCGTCTAAACACCACGGCACTGTCCTCCAAGCCAGCCATAGACACGCTGCTCGCGAACTCACTGCGCACGGGAATTGACCGTGTTAGGCTTCCGTACTACGTCACAGACCATAGAGTGCGGGTTAGCAGTTACTGATAGTTATGGGAAAGAGCGCCCCCTCTATGGTATTATGGGCGCACGGTCGAGTGACAGCCATGTTCAACGTGACACTTCCACCGGCGCCATCTTTAATATGGGCAAGAAATACCCCTAGAATGGAATGAATGGTTCAGAACTGACTCATTCAAAAGTTTACTAATAGACTCAAAATGTTTTCATGGGACAGGCTCAAGTTTGGTCTTCTGTCCCACCAACCTTGATTTGTTCTGTACCCCTTGCACCTAATACCCCTGTATATATTCACCAATACAATGTAGCCATCCAAATGGCCCGTCCTACCTGTGTGTTACTAATTATTATTATTATTATTATTTTATTATTTATATAGTGCCAGAAAATTCCATAGCGCTGTACAATGGGGTATAAGGGGTCAGTGTGTTAAACAGTGCGCCTCCACATTGTGCACATTGTACACTCCACATACGTGTACCCAAAATCCCACCGTTGCTGCCCCATTTCTTTTTTAATACAATGCTTAATTTCAAATTTATACTTTTTCTTATGTATACCTGCAACTTTACAAAGGGTGGAGCTTTAGTCATGTTTTATGGCAAATGTCCTAACATTTCAAAAGGAAAAAGGGAGACACTTTAATTTTAGAGGTATAAGTGGTGTGTGGTTAGTATCGTGGAGTTCCTAGAAAAGGGAGACATTCGGATAGAAAAGAGGGTCAGAAGGAGTATGGACTAACATAGGGACTGTCCACACTAAATAGGAAAGCTTGGGAGGTATGTTAAACTAGTAATTAAACTGTTAATAGCTCCTGACTGATTCCTCTTCTGCAACTGTCACTAGTCTAATACTATCCTTACCTTTTTGTGTCATTTTACCCCACTCCCTCTAGCATGTAAGCTCATTGAGCAGGGCCCTCAACCCCTCTTTTCCTGTGTGTCCAACTTGTCTGGTTACAACTACATGTCTGTTCGTCCACCCACTGTAAAGCGCTGCAGAATTTGACGGCGCTCTATAAATATCATAATAATAATAATAATGTTATGGTCTTTGTCAAGTTTGTCGTTGGCTGGTACCTATATTCACTGCGTTCCATCATTGCATTAGGTCTGGGAGCCATATGCCATGGATACTCTGTGTTTACTCTTGCACAATTGCGAGAGTCAACACAGATCATTGGAAATATAGGACCTATTATTATGTTATTATTTATATAGCGGCAACAAATTCTGCAGCGCTTTACAGTGGGTGGACGACACGGATGTCCCGGTGGCGGTATAAGATGGAGTTTCCAGCTGCTGATATTTTACAAATGCAAAGATGATGCTGCTGTGAAAGAAGAACTAACAGATGGAAAAAGTAAGTTGCATCACTCCCACAGCCAAAAATGCTTGGAGGGGAGCAGTTGGGATCCCTGGCCACTAAGAAAGTGACAGAGAATCTATAAATCACATTCAGATCTTTATAAATGTAAGGTCATATAAATTCTCCAAAATTGCTGGTTTATTCACTAAACATGGAATTGTCAAAGAGGCCAAGACAAAAAGAAAATGCAGAAAAAAATGCAAAACTATTTTGATATTTGATTTTCAATTCACAAATCACTGTTTAATGAACAAAAACCCTTAGAAGCAAGCATGACTAATACTCGTATACAATAGTGTGTGGCGATTTTATATTTACCACATTTTCTGGTTCAGTGTTTGAAAGCTGCATTATACAGAATTTAGTAAGCTTGTTTGAGCAGGACCTTCTTTGCCCGTTGTGCCTGCCAACTTTATTTTTGTCGTTCAGTGACTTGTTAAATACTTCCATTTATAACCGCAAAGCACTGCGTAGACTGTCGGCTCTAAATAAATGCGAATAATAAAAATAATATGGGGAAACGGTTGTCCATTGTTTTTATTTTTACCAATTCTAATGGTATTTTTCATTATTTGCTAGTATTGCACCTTTTCCATTACTTTATTGAAAAACTCATTCCACCACTTATTATAAATTCATTCATAAGAGAAGTGTAAAGACCACTCCGTGTCTCCTCTATTTGTCAGTCTTGCTTTGTTGCCAGAATCACTGTTGCTGCCAACAGGTACTGGGTAACAGGCAAAGTCTGAAATGAATTGCAGCCGTCGCTGTCCGGGTGACGTCGATGGGAGTCGCTGAAAGATGACGTCATTGTGAAACCTTTGCGCTCGCCTCACGTCGTGCCTCTGTTCTCCTCCTTCCCCCCCCCCACGTCTCCGGGCAGTCGCAGAATAATGACGCCATTGTGAAACCCCTGTACTCGCCCTCACGCCTGGCTCCCACGTGACGCGCTTGCAGCGTGTTGCAGCAGCCAGCCAGGCGGGTTGGGAGCCGAGGTTCCGGGATGAAGAAGCAGAGCCACTGATCGAGCGCGCACCGTGCAGCATGATCCGCAGACCGAGGATCAATTTCAAGCCCATTGTCAGGCCCGGGGGCCGCTCAGTGGGAGGGGGTGCTGCCCAAGTCGCCCCCCGCCCTGATCCCACAGACTCCAGCCAGGAGAATGCAGCGGGGACCCCGCCTGGGGAGGACCACAAGGAGCCCCAGGCACCTGAGGACAAGCAGGGGAGCCAGTGAGTGTCCCTCTCTATTTATATACCTATTAACCATCAGCACTGCAGACTGGGGACTACATCTCCCATCATGCTCTGCCAACAGGATCACTGTGAGAGGATCATGGGAGATGTAGTCCACAGCTTCTGAAGTGCAGAAAGTAGAACACCCCTGCTTTATGTAAAGCCTCTGTGAGCTATAACATACACTGAGACTAGGCACTCCGGGATGGCTTGTATGGAATGTCAGAATTCAACTAAAGTTACCAATACCCACAGAGGACCCTTCAGCATTTGTATATATTTATACTCACGTTTCGACAAAGTTGTTCATAAAATCACATTAAAGGGGTACTCCAAGCACCAGATACACTGCTAGAACTTATTGAAGTTGTATGGTGCAATGAAAATGTAGGTGTGGACCTTCTAATTCTTGTAGAGATTGTCTGCATTTTTAAAACACACAGTCCACCCTATCAGCTTACAATTTTTTTGTTTGTTTTTCAAAGTGCACTTTTTGGGGGACTTTTAAAATGTTGACATCACTGCTTTGGGTGCAGTGGGGTTATAGTCGTTTTTTTTTTGTTTTGTTTTTTCTTCTTCTGGTGAACGCAGAATTTTTTTTATATTTTGGTGTAAAGTACCAGCTTGTAAACTTGTAATTAATCTAAGCTCTGAAACATGCACTGTCCTATAAAACAGTTTTCATGTTTTAAAATGGATTAGTCACATTTTCAAGAGGATTTTATTTTAAACCAGCAATTAAAAGTAGCTTTTACATGTGTTACCTATAGTTCAGCGTTGTGTGATTTAAAGGATTACTCCAAGCGTCATGATCACGTCACTTGTATGAAGTGGTCATGGTCAAACCATATGAACAAAGAAAGAACCCAATGGATAATAAAGGTTTCCAGCACCTTATAAATATAGTGCACTTACAGATAGGAACCCCCTCTGGTAGGTTTATACCTATAAGGGCATTATATTTATTGGGAGCTATTAAACACTGCACATACAGAGTTTGACACTTTTGCTACAAGAGGTGTAACTCCATCTCTGGCTGCGTCATCAAGAGTTCAATCTGGGCTGGGGAATCTGAATTCTATGCAAATTCAGTGCAGGTGGCATTCTGGAGAAAACACGGAAAAATTAATTTGCATTACAATATGCAGATTTATCTTTACTTTGGGGGGATACTGCACATCCGTGGCATTTGTTGAGCTCAACTTGATAGAGAAACCATTTTGGCTGTCTGTCAGATGGGTGAGTGCCTACTTGCCACTTAATAAAAGTGCTGATCTCTCTTGAAAGTGAGGACACTGTTGATTCCTATTTGAGTTTTTATTCAATCCCATTAGAATACTGGAGCAGTGCATGGGTGATACAAGTCAGTGAGCAGAATTCCAATCTAGCGTGTTTCGTGCCTGACTCAAGAGCAGGAAGACATATTGGTTTGAAAGGCTCTTACCCCCAATGTATTTTTTTGTTTTTTGTTTTTTTTTAATCCAAATAAATAACTCTGAAAACTGGACTGGACTAAAAATTGTCAAATCTACATTTACACCTGGGATGACATTACATTTAGGAATTATACTGATGGGGTATTGAAATGTGCAATGCTTCATCCACCACCTAATGCTCTAGTCAGGGCAACAGTTGGGGTTATTGATGGTAGTTGCCCAACATGTAATGACATACAGGGTTATTCACAAAGTGAGAATTCAAGGTGAATTTACATTGCATTTCAAATTGTAGGCCAAAGTAGCTGAGCTGGAAGACATTTTCCAATATAACTACTTTGGCCTAATATTTGACATTAACTTTGATTCCGCACTTTGGTAAATAGCCCTGTTAGGCAGTGAGTTTGTGAATAGAAGTGACCCTGTCGGTGTCACTATACAGACCTCGAATTCTGATGTAGTATCTGACATTTCAGGTGCCAGGGTGGTACACATCTCCTCATCAGAAAAGCTATGCTGCTACATAAGTAAACGGCAGAAACCTGAACTACTAAATATCTACATTTACACACATTTAATTTTTTTTTCTAATTTCTTTTTTAGCTTTTTCTTCGCTCCGATGTAACTTAAGCTACCACTCGTGTTCCTCCTAAATACCACCAGAACTATATAACTAAACATGTTGATTTAAAACAATCCATAAGCAACAATTATTTCTAATGAACGTCTAAACATTCCAACAAATTCCCCTGAATAATACCAGTTCTAAAGTGCGAAAATTAAATAGTCCTTTAGTGCTCAGAACTATTCACATTTAGACACTCCGAAACACAGGGCTACAGCTCTCTCTTCTCTCTGTCAAAGGTCAGAGTATTGATTGCAAATAAAGAGGAGGACTTTGACAAGCCATTCATTACAATAAAGGCTTATCATTTCTGTCATGCAAGCACTGGGACCTGATGTCACTGATTGCATGGCCAGGTACATCACTGCCAAGACAGACAGTAATAGCTCACTGACAGCTGATCCCAGCATGCAAAGCTGCAGCTGTCGTCTGCTATGGTAGGTGACAGCCTCCCTAGGCTGTTACGTGATAGCATGTGGATCTGATTTAACTTGCGAGTCAGTAAGACTCAATTTAAATCATGATTTGTAAACAGAAATACTCATGCATGCTGGTTGTTATAATTGTAATATTTGTGACCAGATTCAGGGTTTGTTTGTTTTTTTTTTGTTTTTGTTTTTTAGAATAGTACATTTTCAGATTAGTTTAACAGCTGTATCAGAACTTTTATTTTTTTTATTTTTTTTTCATTTCTTTTTTTTATCATCTGACAAGGGTCGTTTGATAACATAAGCAACATGGCTTGTGCAAAAGCCTATTCATTCGCAACATATTTGAACACTGTTATACACCTGATAGCTTAATGCATATCCAACAGAACATTAGTAGTAGGCTTGTCTAGCTACTCGACAAGGGTTTTTCCATTTATTAGACATAACATATGATGTAATATAATATACGTCCTGTGTGTTCATCTCGTCGTTAACATTACACAATTGGTACAATGCAGTAGGGGTGCATACTGTAGGGAGATGTCTCATTCCCCTTGCGTTCCCTTTATGTTGCATCCCTGTTTAATAGGACAAGCTCTGGTTTCAACAGGACGATGCACTTTTGGTAGTTATTGTTTATCACACTGTACAGTAGCGGGTGGTGTCCTACATAATTTAGCACAATGTAGCTAATATTATTGGATGGTAAAGGTTTTGGTCGGGGGGGAACTCCATCGCCCGTCCCTTGTGTAGTGTACCCGGACTGGCCGGGGTCGTCCAATTCGCTAATTATGTAAGGTTCGGTTCCTGGGCTCCCCCACGATATTATGAATCAAGAGAAAAGTAAAAGAGCATAGAGTAGAAGAAAGTGTAAAGGGTTAGCTACAAAAGAGAGGGGGGGGGGGGAGAGGGACGGGGTTATACATCAGTCCCGTGCAGTGTGGCATTGTGTGAGGTTCCCTGGGGTATGTCCGTTTCCTCTGGGGGGGGTCCTTATTTAGCTCCTACCCCTGTCTCACAGGGGTCGGGTGGACTTGGTTCATCTTAGTCGGGCGGTCAAGTTGTCCATTAGATATACCTCTTTTATGTTGGATATGACCCTCCGAATTGGTGGCATTTGTATTTGTAGCCAAGTCTGCGCTATCACTCTCCTGGCGGCTGGAGTGATCTTATGGATCAGTTTCTGTTCCCTCTTTGTCCAGTCATCTAAAGATCTGCTAAGCAAGTATGTCCAGGGGTTTAAGTTGGGCGCTCTATGAGAACGGATTTTATTACATACCATTAAAAATACATAGATATTGATATTAATGCAAACTATCACCATTTTAACAGGTTAATCGTATTTGGAGTACAACTTAAATTACATGTGTTCATTGTGTGTACATCACTTTGCAGACTAACCATGGGACTGAGGTCTTTTTTTTGAACGTTCCATGCTTATTTCATCTTTGTTGTGAAAAAGTGCATGTTATCTTTGGCACATGTTCAGATAATTTAGATTAATGTAATTAATTTACAAAAAAAAATTAAATATTGCATTAGTATACACCCTTATGTTCTATAACTAATGCCTATTCCGTGCTGAATAACCTTTGGACTAAATTGGATCTTAATGTACATTATAATGTATCTTAAAGGGATACTATAATGACAGGAATACAAAGCTGTATTTTTAGCACTATACCTGCCTCTGCCTCCACCCCCCTGCCATGGTGAATAAAGGGTTAGAAACCCTTTATTTTCTTACCAGATCCCAGCGCCACCGCCAATGTCACTTGATGTCCCTTCTATGGGGAAATAGCTGACGCTGGATGTCCTCATGCAGAGCGTGAGGATGTACAGAGTCGGTTAGCGGACATAAAGTCCGGAAACCTTCCGGAAGCGCCTCTAGTGACTGTCTGGTAGAAGGCCACTAGAGGCTGCTTTAGTGCTGCAATGAAAACATTGCAGTTTTTATAAAACAGCAATGGTTTACATTGCAGCACGAAGTCCACTCCGTGCACCATAAAGGTACATTTCTGCTTTACTTAGTTTTCTAAATAGGGTGATAGCTGAGTGTAACAGCTGACTTTCTCAGCAGCCCCTATTCCAAGGTGTAACGGATCGCCTGGCACCCTGACTGGGTACCCCAGTTTGACGGATGCTCCAAGCACTCCACTAGAAACCATAACCACCGCAGACCCCACGAACCACCGAGCTTGGTTGGGGTCTTGCCGTAGTCCACCCACTCTGGACCCAAGACCAGGATCCAGCTTCCAGTAGGTAGTCCTGTCTTGTAATCCAGAGAGCAGGAACAGCTCTTAAAAGAGCCAGTGATTATAGCAGTCCCCAGAGTGTAGTTCTCCAATCCCCCAAACATGAGCCAAGACTTCATGAAGGGTAGAACAAGTCTGAGGCTTTATTGGTACAAGTTTGCTTATATACCATTCCTCAAGCTAGACGCACACCCCCTTTATCTGATGGAACAGAGGCACACAAACCAATCAGAAAAATACAACATGTCCGACACTCCCATTTACAGCACACAATCCCTCCCCTCTACAAAGACAATGGATTAACTAAATTATCTCTAAGCAGAAAAAAACATAAATTTTTACAAACCCCCAAAAGTGCCACAAAAAACAACATATCCCCACATCACCTGATAGCCCCGATCTGGGTGAACAACATATCCAAAAATCACCCAGATCGGTTCAGGGGTTCAGGAATTTCCTGGAAGTCTTATTTTTGCCCCACTGCGCACATGGTCCCATGTCCAAAACAGTTCCATACACTCAACAGCAAAACACTGCTGGACAATTTAAGACGGCCGCCGCCACATGTTTGAATCTGTTCCAGTTAAAAGTCCAAGGGGCAGAAACAGTACTTTTGAACGTGGGTTATCACAGGGCCCATAGTCCCAGGGTAGGAGGCTGGCACACAGGCCCCTCCAAAAAACAGTGGTGAAGTGGATTTCGTCACACAAGACTTTAATAATTAGCGAAAATCATAAATAAAAGTAGCGTGGCAGTGATCTGTATTGTCATATATAGTTTGGGGTTAAATCATTTATTAATAGTTTATCCTCTTAAGATAAAATGGCATCTGGAATCTCCATGCACCTTAACAAATTTATTGCAATTAAGTTGTTATGGTTCCTAGAGTGTCCCTTTAGTTTAAGTGTTTACTTGGGGAGGAAAGATTGGAGAACTGTTAAAATAAGATCACTTTTTTTTTTTTCTTCCTTTAAAAAGCATGCTTCATCGTGTTACTCTAAAATACATCTCAAAAGCACAATATGGAGTGATCTACAGTCTCCAAACAAATCTATCTGTGCAGAGTTCTGTGATTTGTGACAAATTGCCAAACGCAATGCTTTTTTCACAAAGTATAACAAAGGATTACTTGAAATGCATCACTTGCATTATAGAGAATTATTCTGTTTCTGCCAGGATACTGCCTGCTTATTGCGTTAATGTCTGCATGAACGAATACATTACTATTTTCGTCATTCACTGCCAGGATGCTCATTATAAAGAACATGGTTTCCAAAGAAAGAAAAGTCAATATTTGCAGAATGGGTTGTTGGTGCATTAAAAAACAAATTATAAAAATTAGACTAAAATAGCAAACTGAGACTGGATTAGAGCTGGCTAATTTTTCCAAAAGGGCAATGAGCTGAAAGTTAAATTGTAACATTTAGGCCCAAATTGCAGTATGTTGTATAATGAATAAACCTTCTCACCGTCTTTCTCCACAATGTTGTGGAACCAAAGAACAAAATGTTTGTCATTATATCTTCCAACTTTTCACACATTTTATGTTCTCTTGTGTTTATCAGGAATGAAAAGGAGCTGGTGAACGGCAGTGAAAGCCAGCAAATTAAAGTCACACCTGTACCCTTCCAGAGAAGAAAGCGGATATCCACTTTACCCAACTTGGCAAAACCAAGGGCTTCCATTTCCTCCTCTGCGGTTACACCTTCACAGAAACCTTCTCCAGTGGAAATTCCATTAGTTCAACCCAACAATAACGCTCCTGTGAAGAATGAAGTCTCCTCACCCGAGAAACCAAAGCTACCATCTTCTCCAAAGTCTCCCACATCTCATGGACCTATTCTGGGGCAACCTCATCCTCTTCCAGAAAAGAGGACTCCGGTGCCACATCTGCCACAATTTTCCCCTCATAAGAAACCTGCTCTTAAATTACTTGATTCCTCCCCTGGTAAAAGTGTTCAGCCTTTGACCAAGGAGGAGCTATGTCCCCTTAAAGAGAGACCTTCACAGGAATCGAGTGTGAATGAAGCGTCTCTCAGTAGGACTAAGCCTACTCCCATTAAGAAGGTGGTGGTTGATGTGGAGAAAGAGCGACTTAGAAGGGCTCAGAAGTTAAGAGATCTGTTACGGGATGAATTAAGGAAAGAGCGGGTGAGCAATTTTATATTTATTGAATGGTTTTGTCACCTTTTTTAAAAAAAAACACAGCTGTTCTTTTATACTACATCTCGGCGATCAAACTAAAAATAATCGAGTGCCTAATGCCATTTATTTTTGTTTTCTGCTGGTTAAAGGACCGTTATAGGCACTCAGACCACTTCAGCTAAATGAAGTGGTCTGGGTGCCAGGTCCATCTAGGGTTAACCTTGCAGCTGTAAACATAGCCGTTTCACAGAAACGGCTATGTTTACAATAGGATTAATCCAGCCTCTAGTGGCTGTCTCATTGACAGCTGCTAGAGGCGCTTCCGCTCTTCTCACTGTGAAAATCACAGTAAGAAGACGCTTGCGTCCATAGTAAAACATTGAAAAATGCTTTCCTATGGACTGATTAAATGCACCGGCGCTGGAGAAAAGTTAGAGTTTAACCCCTTTCTCCCCCTTCTGCCCAGCAAGAGTGGGACCCTGAGGGTGGGGAAGTTTGTTTTCCTGGCATTATAGTGGTCCTTTAAGTAATTCAGATTGCGCAAAAAAATAAATAGAATGTTAACATTTGGTTTACATATAAGATGATAAAGACAGATTTTGTATACTTAACCATTAAAGGAACACAGACCATGCAAGCTCACTGAAGTGGTCTGGGTGCAATGTCCCTGTCTCACTTAGTCCTGCAATGTAAATCATTGCAGTTTTATAGAAACTACAATGATTACCTTGCAGGACTAAGAATGCATCTAGTGGCTGTCAAACACCCACAATAGGCACTTTTTGCGTGCTAGGCGACTTTGGTTTTTCTCTGACGCTGGATGTCCTCATGCAGAGCGTAAAGACGTCCAGCGTCCGTATGTGACCAAAAGTGAGTGCAGTATTTTTTTTTTATTATTATTTTTTTAACACTTAAAGTGCCGGGTTGGGAATACAGCTTTTGTATTCCTTACACTATAGTATCCCTGTAAGATCACCGTAGCTGTGATGTCTTTGCTGCTCCATAAAGCCCTGCAAACTGATGGGTCTTTGTATTTTAGTATTAAAGGCTGGTTAAATACACCCACAGCTATACAGACTTATTGAGAAGTTCATTGGATGGTTATATGTGATGCCTATTAGAGGCAGGTGATGTATATGTAGAATAAACATACATGTTGGAAGGCGCTAGGCAATCATACGCGTATGTAGCACAATGATCCACAACTTTCTGTTTATATGAGTGGGTCTTTATCAAGTCCTGACATGGCAAAATCTATAACAAAAACAACCTTTTTAAAATGTTGCTCTTGTCTGCAATATGGAAGTTAGGGGAGAAAGCATGTGTTCAGTTTCAAAGCAAATTGTAGTTTTGACTTACATTAACGTTGATGTTTATTTTAATGATGTTCGGTTTTTAATTGTTATGCAGTTTTACACTGTTGCAATCTGCACAAATTCTCCAAATTCAATAAGTGTTTGTTTTATGTTATCTTAAATAAGAATATTTCATATTAAAGGATCACTATAGTGTCAGGAAAACAAAGCTGTTTTCCTGACACTCTAGTGTCCTGAGGGTGCCCCCACCCTCAGGGTCCCCTTCCCGTGGCGCTGAAGGGGTTAAAACCCCTTCAGTTACTTACTTTAATCCAGCGCCGGGCTCAGCTCCCCCGTCCGACGTCAGTGGAGCCGCATGCGCATTCAAAGTGTCCGTAGGAAAGCATTTCTCAATGCTTTCCCATGGACGCTCTGTGCGATGGATGCGAAATTTGCATCCAGCATCGCAGATGTGCCTCGAGTGGCTGTCCGGAAGAGGATGGATTAACCCCAAATGTAAACATAGCAGTTTCTCTGAAACTGCTATGTTTGCATCTGAAGGGTTAAAACCTGAGGGACCTGGCACCCAGACCACTTCATTAAGCTGAAGTGGTCTGGCTGCCTATAGTGTCCCTTTAAAGTCTACATTTGTGAGTACAGTTTTGCTTTGGGTGCATTTTCATTGTCCGGCAATACTCCGTGTTCTATGTTTGGAGTTTTGGACCAGTTGAGGAAACCTAATCCAGATTCAACATGTAATATTTTTAGGGAGATATTGGTTAGTTGGCCCATATATTATTTATTTATATATTTCGGGCGGTGTCTGGATGTGCTCAGGAATTTCACATTTAAGGCCAAAGTAATCAAAACGGAAGCATAGTTATCTTGGATAATGTTCCAGTTTGACTAGTATGGCCTTTAAGGGTTACTTCAGCCTCCATGATCATGTCTGGTTTTAGAAGTGGTCATGGAGATAGGACTCTGTATGTACAGCGTTTCTGCTCTTTTGAGCCAGGAACTAATAACTCCTACAGCACATGTGACTTAGGCAGCCTGGAACTGGGCTGCCTATTGTTAAATCTGTGTGTTTTGTTTTTTGTTTGTTTTTAAAAATGTCTGTCAGTGCACTGTGCACAGCTTTTACCCTTGCAGGCAGCGTTCGGTGTGTGCCTGCAGGAAGCTTGAATGTTCCCTCTCTGTCCATAAATATTTTAATGCAAATTTTATTTAAAAATAGATAAATTAAAAAAGTATGTTACTCTATTTTTTTCCCCCCATGTTTTTAATGTCCACCTCTGACCACTCCTCACAGCCTCCCTCATCTCTGGCTCAGAGTATACATATAATTGGGCCTCAGAGAGGGAAGAAGTGATGGCGGACGGGGCGTGTAAAGCAGGGAAACTTAATCTGTGAAATAATCTACCTGTAACATGGGGTTGACGACTTTTTTGGAGTTGAATACCTGAACTAGGCAAAATAATATAGAAAGCTTCCATGACATGTAAAACCTTAAACCGGCACTGCTACCATCCTCCACCCCCACCCCTGCAAACCGATTATTTCGTAAAGAAAGAACCTTTATCAAATACTCGTATTGGCTGAAATTCCAAGCCAGTAAAAATATTTACTGAGACAAGGTAGGGACTACTTTGTCACTGTATATTTCCTCAACCTGACACTTCTAGACACCAGACCGAGCTACCACTGTCTAGAACTGTCCACCCCTCAGCCGTCACTGATGACGGGTGCCGGGAATTAGATTTGTCTATGGAGAGTCTAGCGAGATACGCTATAGCCCTCAATGTTGTACTCTCGTCCATTCGCAAGAGTACAGCAGACATGTCTGCTGAAGCTCCAGTTGCAGAGGAGGACCTGCTGGACGAAGATGGTGGCGCATGCGAGGGACAGGTTCGGCTAAGTTAAACTCTCCTTTTTCTGGCCACCGGACCCCCAGGGCGATGTGTTTGCAAATAATGCAAAGTCCCCAGACAGTGACAGTGCTGCTTAAGTGGGGGAGAAAATTGTACCGCGCCTTCTTATAGATTTCTTCTATGGGATTCAAATTATTTGTAAATAAAATTTTCTAATTCAACATAAAAAAATTTTTAAAAAAAAATTATGACAGCAGTATTTTTTAAATTTTTTGTTAATTTTTTTTTTCCCATCAGATCACTGGTTTATGTGCAACTTGTTCATACGATAAAACTTGCAGTAAAAAAAAGCCACACATTTTGAAGACATTTATATAACTGCATGCAATCAATGCATTTTTAAGTTTGAAAGTCTAACCTTTCGATTTTTAAATATATCATTGTTGTTTGCGAGTGAAACTTAAACAGTTTTTTTTTTTCCCCCTCCTCTATAGAAAGCATGGAAAGAGAAACATCCCATAATAGATACCAGTATTGAACCAGAACGGTCCAAAATGACTATGAGAGATTTTGTACATTTCATCCCTGTCAACAACCCCATGAAGTAAGTATCTCAGTGTTTGAGGCTAATTGGAGGCAGCCTTTGGGTAATGGAGAGATTTCACCCAGCCTCTTTAGTTCTGGTTTGATAACCTGGTTTTGAATACGCTTTTCAAATTACCGGCCTACCAATCGTCCCGGACATCTGAAAACTGTCCCCAATAAGTGTAGCGTGCGTGCATCATTATCTGCATGAGCGCTATGCCAAGGGCTCTAGGAACATTCAGAGAGCCAGAGATGAATTTTCGTTCATATCAGGCTGGCCTGTTAGTTCTTCTGGTGGAACAGCCCTCATTCCAGGTGGATCCATCTTCTTTAGGTTGCACCGGTGATGCGATTTTGCCGATGTCATTGGGTATGAAATGATCACAACGTGTTTGAAAAACTTTTCAAATAAATTATCTACAAAGTTTCCTTGGACATTAATGGTGACTGCTGGAGATAAACAGATTGTGGTCATTTTCAAAAAGCTTAGCCAAAAATAATTTAATTGAGGCCTTAGTTGGTAAGCTGCTACAGATAACCTGCAGAATCCTTCCTGAGATAACGGGTCATGTTGTGATGTATCTTACATGCCCAGTGGCATATTCTGGCATACCGGTAGTCCCCCTGAATTAAAAAAATTAGAACATTTCAGAATTGTACAGTGTTGGGGAATTTGGCGCTATACAAACAATAATAATAATCATTTTATCTGTGTGATTATGGTCTGTTATGGGGGGGGGGGGGGGGGAGGGGAGATTTCCACCTTCCCTCTCCCACACCAGCAGAAATATTTTTAGGTATTCTTGTTTAGATTACTATGCAAATGTCAAATTACATGATAACTAGAAGCATCTTAATCTCTATCACATTTTGCAGTTGTTATGGTGAAATTAGTTTTTGGTACCATTTATCTCTGTACTGCCAAACATTTTGTTGAATTGATTAATGGACATGGTGGCTCTTTTGGCATCCACAGCACAGTCACTTGCATGGTGCTCAGATAATGCTGAAGATTCACTATCCCATCCTTGGAAAAATGCTCATATCCAAGCTAGGGACTGTAGCCTATCCATAATATCCAATGTTTGTGGTAAGAGGTGTGTTTGTTCAGGTTGTGACTACAAACAGAATGTATCCTGTAATAATTCACTTTTTCGTTTTTAGATCATCTTTTGAAGAAAGAAAGAACAGTGAAAAATCTCAAAGCACTGAAACTCCAATCACCACGTGAGTCTTTAGTAAATCTGTTTTTTGTTTTGTGTTTTTATGTTGGCGTATGTATTGTACCTTCTCAACTTTTGTTAGTACATTAAATCTCTGTGTAGATTTACATTTGCAGTTTTTTTTAAACTTTGATTTGTAATTGGTAAATAGGATCCTACAAAGTGTGCTTGTCCTGCAGAGATGATCTTGCAATCTCTTTATAAGGGGTAGCACAATTTTAATGTAAAACAAACACGAAAGAACCTATAACTGAGAGTTTAAATGGATGTATAGTACACATGCTGGGTCTAACTGTACTTACTGTATGTAGTCATTATATCCACATATAGATATTTTTTATATTCCAGCAGGATTTTTAGGTAGCAGCTTTCCCAAAAATTACCTTTTACTAATGCACGTAAACGGATATTTTGAAATTATGATTTTTTTTTTTTTTTTTTTGTCACATCTTCTGTATGTGACAGGCTGATTTTTTTTGCTAATATTTCAGACTATCTAAAAGATTGCGAGGTAAGAAATACCATATCTCTAAAACTTTATTTGTCAATACTTCTGGCAAAGATGAGAGATTTTTTTTTTTTTTGTGTGTAGATTTGCAAGCATTACTATTCATTTTATTATTTTGAATCTGTTTTTCTATTATTGCAAATCTTGTTCCATCATTTTTTGTTTTATTTTAGATCTGACGTAAAAAACACCACTCTTGAGGAAGATGGTGATCTAGATGAGGAGGAAGACGATAGCCAGTTTGTAGTCCCTCGTGTGAAAGTAGCAGAAGATGGGTCCATTATACTTGACGAGGAAAGGTATATCCTTGTGTTTCATTTTTATTTATTGTTTATATCAAAGTACCATGAGATTTTGTTAAAAAAGAAAATGATTGCCAAAGTAGACTGTCCATAAAATGGAATTCTGTGGATTGACTAGAACAAGCAATGACCCCAGTGATTTCTGTCAAAAATGCAGAGAATTCCAAAACTCTTGCCTTTCATAATATTAATTAATATTTCATTTTGGTAATTTGAAAAATTGGACAGCTATCATTGTTATGGTTATGAATGTAGTTAGTACAGCTTTTCATTTTTAACAAAAATTATATAGAGACTCTACTTTGGACGTCCATATATTGTGCGTGTAGAGCACAAAGACGCTTTAAGGTATGTTATATACCCCATTAATAGTGCCCCAGTGTGTAACTTCTACATTAGTTATTCTGAGGAACAGGGGCTGAACCACAGGTGCTTCAGGCATCCCCAGTGTGGTCAAGCCATTTGAAAACCATTTATCTGAGGGGGGGCGGAGCCTGACTGCTGAGCAGGACAGACGTGCTGCAAACCAGCTCCTGCAAAAAACGACAACAATGGGGAAAAATACCCCAAACACAAAATCACCCACAAGTCAGAGGGCATGGGACGAGCTGGGGAAACCCGGGGGCATCGAAGGAACCCACAAACGAGACTCACACTGCCCGGGATCCCACGCAAAGCACATGGGGCCTACATGCGGCCGAGCCAGGGAGAGACGGCCGCTCTTCTGGATGGTAAAACCGCACACACACCCCTCAGTGCACCAGCCTTCCCCCTCCCCCCCCCCGGCCGGCGGGGGTCATCCCGGCCCGCACTCGACATCCACAATCACCAGCAGAGACAGCAGTACAAGCCTGACCCTGACAAGCAAGGCTACAACCTCCTACAAGGCGCACCTAAAATGGCGGCCGGCAGCGGGATATGCAGGATGACCATGCGACCGACACAACCGCGCTGGAGAGACCCACTGCAAAGCTTAGAGGTGATACTGACCCACTTCTGGGATATCCACACACAGCGGCAACAACCAACGGGGGAAGGGACCTCGCAGCGCCCTGGACCCACATGCCAATCCCTCAGAGCCGGGGTCGGCTGACCAAGACGGCATGACCTAGAGACAGTCTGTGCCCCTGCAGCAGAGACTCTGCACGATCCCACCGCACAGTATGTCTCGCACTGAGCTCAGAACTGGCCCTAACATCTCACAGCAGAGACTGTAAGATACATATAGCAGCAGTGGAGCAAGCAACACAATATAATAACCACAGGCAATTAGCTTGTTAACCATAGATCATTTAGCCGCTGTTTATCCTTTGCACCTGTGTTCTAATGCATGTCAGTATCTACCTTTAAAAATGTGCAGATTCCACTAACTGCTTTTGAATGTTACCATTGTTTTTATGCAGGGCACCTTTATGCTCAGAGTGAATAGAAACAGGGCTACACAATGAAGGCTAACTCTAGCAATGTTAACTGCTGCATGTTGTGTCTAAGCTTAAATACACACAGTTTAACTTTTTAATGTAGTTTTACATCAAGTTACTGCTAACTGCAACCGTGCTTATACAATATGACTACGAATTTAACCTGAATCCACTCTCTAAGCACTTGTCTACTCCAATCTCTAGAACCACTGTATGTTTACTGTCTCAAGCTTGAAACCCCATCGTGACCCACCGCAACAGTCATACAAAGCTAGCCTGTATATAGCATGTTTAAAATCTTTAAAGTGTCCCCAGTCTGTTATTTTTCTCATTACAAAAGACGACGCAACTGTTTAACCAAACTTGTTAAAAAAAAAAAAAAAATTTAAATGTGCAGACTCTCATGCCACTGTTATACCAATGTATATTTTCCAATACGCTGTTGTGGCGTCTATTGATTCCTTGTACCTACCTGCACAGCAAAAATAAAGAATTAAAAAAAAACAAAACCATTTATCTGAGAACAATCGCATGTTGACAACAGCATAATTGACATGTAGTAGTTATGGTGTATAGACATTACCTATAAGGGTAACCACTGTATAGATTATAGAATTATAAACTGATGACTAATATATTTATTGTTTTTGTCTTCTGGTTTTTTAGTTTAACAGTGGAAGTAACCAGAGCAAAAGCAGCCATAGTTGAAGAAAATGATCCAATTTTTGAGAGAGGCTCCACAACCACCTACTCTAGTTTTCGAAAGAACACTCATTCTAAGCCATGGTCTAATCAAGGTAGTGGCAATTTGTGATAAAGTAGGTTTAAGAGACACTCCAGACCCCTAAAGCACTTTCACTTGCTTTATGCCTGAAGAGTGTGTCGCTTTTTATATTTTTTTTATTTGACAAAAATTCAACATTTCAGTAGAAATAGTAACTTTCATAAAGTTAAGCTTGTTACGCCCCCAGGGCTGTCCATCAGACTGGTTCGGTTCGCTCAGTGGAACTAAACTCATGAAGCCACGATTACTTAGAGCACCTGCCTTACATTGAGCTGTTAAAGGGAAGTCTGTGATTGGACAGCCGCAGAAAGTTTGGGCGTGCAAAAAGGGAAGGCGTGCAAAGGCTGTAGACAAAAGAAATGCAGATTTTGCAAACTCTTCTTAGATCTATCCCCACTGGAAAAAAAAAAGTATAATTAAATGAATGCATATTTTAATTGGGGGTGCATCTATTAATTTTATATATATTATATAGGGATCGACCGATTATCGGTTTTACCGATATAATCGGCCGATATTCGGTATTCTCGGCAATATCGGTATCGGCCAATTCAGATACCGATACTGCCGATAATACCTCCTAGGACCGCCGGGCTCATTACAAACCCGGCGGTCCTGGGGGGGCGGAGAGCAAGCGCTTACTCACCTCCCAGCAGCTCCTCCAGCTCCCCAATGCAACTCTCGCGATACCCGCGGCCTTCCGAGCGTTGCCATGGATCACCATGGCAACGCTCCACGCGACACGCTGGCCGCGAGAGTTGCATTGGGGAGCTGGAGGAGCTGCTGGGAGGTGAGTAAGCGCTTGCTCTCCGCCCCCCCAGCTCAGCCAATACCACCAGGGACTGTCATATCCCCCCTCCCTGGCCAGGTAACAAGCAGGGAGGGGGGACAACAAAAATAAATAAGAATTAATTATACATTTTTTTAAAAATAATTTAATAAAAAATGCCCCCTCACACACTGCATTATATACACATACACTACACAAACACACTGTGTATATAATACAGTGTGTGTTTGTATACAATGCACACAAATACACTGCATTATATACACACACTATACAAACACACTGTGTATATAATGCAGTGTTTGTGTAGTGTGTTTATATAATGCAGTGTGTGTTTGTGTAGTGTGTTTATATAATGCAGTGTGTGTTTGTGTAGTGTGTTTATATAATACAGTGTGTGTTTGTGTAGTGTGTATATAATGCAGTGTGTGTGTTTGTGTAGTGTTTATATAATGCAGTGTTTGTGTAGTGTGTTTATATAATGCACACTACACAAACACACTGCATTATATACACACACACTGCATTATATACACACACTCTGCATTATATAAACACACTACATTCACTATACACACACACTACACAAATACACACACACTCTGCATTCATTATATACACACACACTTTGAATTTAGTATATACAGCATTCACTTTACGCACACTACCCACACACTCTGCTTTCATTATATACACACTACACTAATACACACTGCATCCCCTACACAAACACACATTGCATCCTCCACACACTGCATCCACAACACACACACTACACAAACACACACTGCATCCACTACACACACTACACAAACACACACAGCTCCCCTGTCACACTGCATCCACTGCACGTTGCATGTATATTTTGTGCATTTACCTTTAGAAATAGTTTTTATTTTCCAAAATGGTAAATGTACAGAATATCGGCAAATTATATCGGCTATCGGCCTGAAAGTTCACAGAATATCGGTATCGGTATCGGCTCTAAAAAATCAATATCGGTCGATCCCTAATATTATATGAGCAGGGGAGTGTTGCTTTAATCTCCTCTTTAACAGCGCAGTAAAAGATTTTCATTAAATAACGTATATTAATAAATTTACTGCAAGTGTATTCACATATTAGCTTTCATAATCTGGTAAAAGCCACTATGTATAAGTTTATACACGAACGTGGAAACTTTACAAGGAAGTTGACTGTTTTAGGCCAAGATATCCTAGGTACGAGTGGAGTTGGAGATTTCTTTCTAATTTGACTATTCTGGTCTAAAATGTTCAATTCTCTGCATTTCCCCGGTTTAGTGAATAACTCACATAGAGGAACTGGCCTCTTCTGTTTAAAGGATTGTGTATTCTGCTAACAAGTACATGTTTGCGCTGAGATCATGGTCACTTGAGAGAGTTACTATGCATGTAGCAGCTGGTGTTGCGCATATTCTCTCAGGTTCACATGGGAACAATGTATTTGTAAAAGGTCTCTTCCTTTTATAGAGGAACAGTTGCTTCTTTCTTCACCCCAATAAATGCTAGGTGAATAACGCCATGGAGGAAAGTAAAGTAAAAGGTTATTAACTACCATTTTCCACATTGTAGCCATTCTGATTTCAGTTCATTGTGGATTTTGGGGAATAAAAGTATTTTAAATCTGCTTTTTAAAAAAAAAAAAAATTATTAATATTGGTTGCGCACGTTTAGTAAGAACACCTGCTGTGATTATGGTTAAATGCTTCACTTGATTACTTGCAGTAGGTCATTCTGGTCAGTCTGTTTCCGACCGGTTTCCAGTAATTGAATGAAATGTTTCTCTCTTTTATCTTTTAGAGACAGAGATGTTCTTTTTAGCGATCAGTATGGTTGGGACAGACTTCTCCATGATCGGTCAGCTCTTCCCTCACAGGGAGCGTATAGAGATCAAGGTAAAATGGGATTTCTATTCTCTTGAGCAATTAATTATATACTTGTCTGTATAGGTCACAAGACCCATATATTTTATCTGATGTTTATCCAGTCCTGTTTAAATGTATGTGTTTTATGCATTTGTGTGTCTGCGTATCTAGTTTTGAAAAGGGGAAATACTTTGCTTTGTTTACGTCAATCTGAATATTGATTTGATTTATTTTTAATTTTTTTCCACCGTTTTGTCTTATTTTCTGTTTGTTTTATTCTCTAAAGCACAGAAATAACATAGTGATCATTTTTAATAAAGATTCAATATAGTGTCTTGTTTCCTTTTTAATTTCAGAACAAATTTAAGCGAGAAGAACGAGCGAACGGCTGGAGGATTGACAAAGCTTTTAGTAAGTTTGATTTATTAAGGAAAATAATGTCCAAAGTGTCTAAAATTAACTGCATTGGATTTTCTGTAATGGAATCGGTTCAGACAGGTGCCCTTACTTCTTCCTTTAAAAAAAAATATTTTTAAAGTTTTACATTTAATATAATGTAATGATTTTAAAGGATGCTGACTTTATTTTTTATTTTTTTGGAGAAAACTTCACATTTTTGTCTGACTGAGCAGCCATGTTGGATCAGACTCTGCTACCTGATCAGCTGCTGCTCAGCCTAAGTTGCCTGCTGCTGTTTGCTCTGTGTGAACCTGCAGCAAGCAAGTTGAACAGCAGCTGGTGAGATAACAAAAGAATCTGAGGAAAAATGTCTTCTCTGAAATTTTCTCAAGAAAACATACATAAAAGAAAAAAAAAATAATTAAAGGGACACTAGTCACCAAAACAACTTTAGCTTAATGAAGCAATTTTGGTGTATATAGCTTGACTCTGCAGTCTCGCTGCTCAATTTTCTGCCATTTAAGGGTTAAATCAGTTTGCTTGTGCAGCCCTAGTCACATCTCTCTGCACGTGATCTGCACAGCCTTTCTAAACACTTCCTGTAAAGAGTCCTCTAATGTTTACACTTCCGTTTTTGCAAATTCTGTTTAATGCAGAATTTATCTCCTGCTTTAATAGCTTACTAGACTCTGCAGGAGCCTCCTGTATGTGATTAATGTTCAATTTATTGAGCAAGAGCTAAAAATGTTTAAAGTAAGTTACATCTGAAAATGAAACCATTTTGTTTTCATGCAGGCTCTCAGTCACAGGCAGAGGAGGTGTTGCTGGAGCTGCACAAACAGAAACAAAAGTGGTTTAACTCTTAAATAGCAGAGGATAGAGCAGTAAAACTTCAGGGGCACGATCTATACACAAAAACTGCTTCATTAAGCTGAAGTTGTTTTGGTGACTATAGTGTCCCTTTAAGTGTTGAATGTTATTAAAAAAATTTTTTTACAAAAAGTAAATGGTGACACGTTAACATTTTTATGTATGTCCTACTTCTGGCCACTAACACATTGTGGAAATTAATATTGCCTTGATTGTTTGTAATTTTTCCATGAGTGGCTTATGTCTACTTTCCGGAGAGGAAAAGAAAAGATATCTTATTATTCAAAGTACTAACATATTGTTGTTTTGCAGGTGAAAAACAAGCCTTTGACTTTGATTTTTTTGCCAAGCTCCTTGAAAGGGCACTGGCAGAAAAGACCAAAAAGCCAAGATCTCCAAGAGTTAAAAAACCACAAGAGAAAAAATCGCCCAAAACACGCAAGAAGCAGAAAGGTAATTACTGTGACTGAAGTAGATTTACTCTACGGACGTGTTTGATAGCATTTAAAATTAGGAAACCTTTAGCAATATATCCAAGTCATGTTGCTGTTATAATTATTATCACAGATAAACAAGCAGCAGAGTCAAAGAGCAAAGACTGTGACGAAAATGAGGCCAATTTGTCAGAAGGCGAAATGGCGGACTCTAGGATCGCGGAGAAGGAGAACGAGGAGACGCTAGGATTAAATGATAGTCAGACTTCCTTAGATCTCGCCCCTGTTAAAAAGAAACGGCAACGCAAGAAAAAAGAAGCAGATTCTGTCGACTCTGTAGAAGAGGATAATTTACAGAATGGAAAAAAATCCAGAAAGAAAAGTAAGATAGATCTTCTCGGCAGAAATAAATATTTAAATGGGATTTTTAACATGATGTTTACTGGTCCCCTATATGTAAAGGAATACTATGGGCACCATAAAAACTTAATTAAAATGGAGTTGTTTTTGTGCCATGAGTTCCCTGGCAGTGGCTTACCGTAAGAAGATAAACCGTTTGTGGGCATTCTTGGAGTTACTCTTTAATGTATTCTTATGGTGCTTGAAATGATCCGTTAATGTATTCTTGCTATTAGTTTTGCTAACACAATGTATTATCATACCCATCATTATTATTGCAGATAAACAAGAGACGGAACCAAAGAGCAAAGACTGTGATGAAAATGAGGCCAATTTGTTAGAAGGCGAGGTGGCGGACTCTAGGACCTCTGAAAAGGAGAACGAGGAGTCGCTAGGATTAAATGATAGTCAGACTTCCTTAGATCTCGTCCCCGTTAAAAAGAAACGTCAGCGCAAGAAAAAAGAAGCAGATTCTGTCGGCTCTGTGGAAGAGGATGGTTTACAGAAGGGAAAAAAATCCAGAACGAAAAGTAAGATGCATATTATTTATGTATTATTTAATTTCACATAAGATATGTCAGGGGTCATCGAGTTTTTGTGAACTACAGATCCGATCTGCATCAGCCGGAAATGCTGAGTAGGACAAATTCTATTGTCTCTTATATATTGCTTTGCAGAGTACATTTGACAAAGATTAAAGATGTACATATGGATCCTGAATTTGACATCCATTCAGAATGTTTTTTTTTTTTTTTTATATAAAGGTTTGTTAGATACAGGATTGAAATAAAAACAATACACCGGGTATAACCTAAACGTGTAAGAAGAGAGAGGGTTGCATTTCTTTTTATTGCAGCTGTTGAAAAGTATTGCATTTTTGTAACTGACTGATTCATGTGTTGAAGAGGCTGTATTACTCAGATAACCAGCACTGGTATCGTAAGGTGTTAAACAATTTCACTGTAACTGGTTGTTAGGCGTTCTGGAATATCATAGACCAAAATTACGTTTTTCAACTTGCCACACTCTACCTTTTTTCAGTGTTCTACCAAAAAACAGCCAATTCTAAACTGGAATATATTTGAGATTGTTCCAGTAAAATACTGTTTTTGTCGAGGCAGCATTTATATTTATTTGTGCTATGGGAATTAATTGGAGACTTTAAAATTTTTTTTATTTTTTTTTGTCTTTTCATTCATTTATGTGAATAACTCATTTTTTTAAATTTATTTTTATTTTATTTTTTTCAACCCCTAGCCCCCACCCCACCAGTAGATTGGTGCATTTCCTGGTGATATTTCATGGTGTCATAGCAGATTCTGCAGTGTTTAACCCATATTGTTTTTGTAGATAAAAGCACTTCAGGAGAGGAAGGTCATGAGTCTGGAAAAGAAAAAACAGGGAATGACGATAGTTTGACCACCGAGGAAAATCCGGATCCAGACACCATCAAAGAGAAGAAAAGAAGAGCACGGAAAAAAACCAATGACCCCAACGTTCCAGAAAAGGAGCCATTATTAGAGGATGGTTCTGCAGTCTCTCCGTTGACCAAAAAGACAAAATCTAGGGGAAAGGGAAAAACTGGTAAACACTTCTTCTTCTTTGGTCAAATGTCAAGAACCAACCAAACTCCTTACACCAGAACTTAAAGTACCACTATAGTGCCCTGAGGGTGCCCCCACCCTCAGGGACCCCCTCTCTTCGGGCTCCAGGAGAGGAAGGGGTTAAACTTACCTCTTTCTCCAGCGCCGGGCGGGGAGCTCTCTATCCTCTCCGCCTCCTCTCCTCCTCCTCTTCGGTTGAATGTACATGTGCGGCAGGAGCTGCGCGCGCATTCAGCCAGTCTCCTAGGAAAGCATTCATAATGCTTTCCTATGGACGCTGGCGTCTTCTCACTGTGATTTTTACAGTGAGAAGCACGCAAGCGCCTCTAGCTTGAAAACTCTGAAACTGCTATGTTTATAAAAAAAAAAGGGGTTAATCCTAGAGGGACCTGGCACCCAGACCACTTCATTAAGCTGAAGTGGTCTGGGTGCCTAGAGTGGTCCTTTAACATTTCATGTCCTACGCCACTATCCAGGCTTTAAAAGTTACTCGTCACTGCAAGCCCTTAGGGTTAATTTCATCTTACTAGCAGTGAATTTCTACACCAGGGCTTATTTTCACTGATCAATGGCTAGTGGACATTTTGAGCCCTGCCTTGTTCTTCAGCTGGCTCTAAGAATGCAGAAATAAATCTATATGACTGCATTCATCTAAACCTAGAAGGTTTATGTGACATGTCCAGCTCTTCTTGAAGCTAAGTCACATCCATGATTTGAAAAATCTAAATGGGATCTTTCAAACCACAGGAATTTCACGAGCAAATATATATTTGCAGTGGTAGCTCTAACTAGCCTTTCTGTGTGATTCTGGAGTTCAGTAGCTAACATACCATACACACCTGACAGATTGAATGTAGAATTTATAGGAACATAGCCATTCCTGCTAGAATTAACAGTTGGACCTTTTTAGCTGCATTAGGGTTACTAATCCCATGACACTTTAACATGACAAAACAATGGGAGTAAATTGTCAAGGATTGGGAGCCTTCCCTATTTTATAGGCTGTGGACCGTCAGTGAGTATTAGTATAGTAGCTTATATAGAGTACTGTGTTTTAAATTCTATTCTTCTGGCAAAGCCTCCAGAAGCGATTGTCTTTCCCCTTTTTAAAAAGTTTCTATTTGGAAAATTTGTTTGTTCTGTAGTTACCTTTGAGGACACAGAACCTGTGGAGAATGTCAAGGAAGATGTTGTTAAAACTTTAGAGAATATGTGCGCAGAGTCAGAAGAGTCAGTTCACAATGAATCCATTACGCTCTTCTCTGAAGATTCCGACTGGCCGGAAGGTGATTTGCTATCAAGGTATTAATGTCTCCTTCTTCTGTACCTGAGCTTAATGTTTGAAACTTTGAGGGGAAAAAACTTAATAGAGAGTAAAATGAAACATTGTCTAATTCAACAGTAGGACAAAAGAAATTCTGATTTTCATTTCCACTCTATGTTTAACCAGCAGTAAAGTATTATCTCAACATTAGCTAGAAATTTCTTTAATTTTTTGTTTGTTTATTGCTGCAATGTATCAGCCTTTCTTGCGTTTTCTGCCATAAGGTTTCTTTTAAAAACTAAAAAAAATTACTGCGTCACAAAATAAATCAGGGAACTGGAAAATGAATCTTTCACTGGATATTGTTGGGCATTGTTGTGAGATGTCCCTTAGAGAGTGATCGCTACTTGCATCCTCCAGTCTAAATGGACATCTCCTGGGTTCTAACCACAGTAGGGCGATAATAGGGCATCATAGGTTGAGCATTGTTGTTCAAGCATGGCTCTCCTCAATATTTTCTTCTGTCTAAGCAATCTTCCTGTTGGCTCTTTCTCCTGTGTAATTTTTCATCTTTTTATCAGCACACAGATCATGGATGTCCATGATTGTGAAGTGCCTCCTGTTTCAGACTTGTCGACAGCTGATGAACACATGGCGTCTGTCTGTGAGGATCCAATGCCAGGAAGTCCACAAAAATCTGCTGGTGAAGCCGCTGACTTTATGGTACACAGACCATATATGTTCTTTCCCACATTCTTATTTAATGCTTGATAGCAAAGCACACCGCACTTAACCTGGACCCTAAAAATAACAGATAAATTGGTAAAGAACAATGGAGCACTTTTATAGCAGTTTAGAAACAAATTAACTGTACTATACATTTAATGTAATGGTAGTTTTAATTTAGATAGAACATTGAGATGTTTTATTTTGCTATTTTATCTTTGTCCTATAAATTGTAAGTTTGTGACACCAGGTTATTAAAAATAGAACAATGGTTTGTGTAGGCGCTTCAGAAGATAAAGTGTAGTGATAATATAATATATTAGTACAATGGGTGTAAGAAGGTGTACTCCCTTATCACCTTGTATAGAGATCATAAAATTTAAAAACAGTGTACACCCAATGTGAATACACACTAATAATACTTATGTGTGTTGAAGCAGCACAGGTTCAATAGATCTGAAAATACAGACAAAAATAAAAACATAGTGCTTTCTGTATAACATCATCAAATATGAGAACAGAATGAATGGAATCGAACTCACAAGGATAGAGCCGTGCCAGGCTCTATGTAATCAGCATATAGGGTGCCTATACAGACTGAAGCAATGTAATGCCAGAACAGGATACCGGATCAAGTTATTGTAACTATTGCTAGTAGGCTTTTGGTTATGTAATTTGTATCATATACTACAGAACATTAATCTGAACTATTATTGTCTGTCTTGCAGAGAAACACATGTAAAGAGTCGTCTGTAAGAGACTCCGTACCAAAGGAGGTGGATTCACACGTTAAAGACAAGTGAGTGATAATATTCCCCTTTTCTTTTTTTAGTTTTTTTATTTTAAAACCAAGCCAATCAAGAAAACTAATGGATTTTCTCTTTGCAGTTCGGCTGAGATCTCCCAGCCAGGGACAGAATGTATTACCAGACCCGAACCAAACTTAACAAATCACTCTGAAAAAGAAAGTTCGTCTTTGCAAATCCAATCTGTTTTACATTTAACGTCTGAACTTTCTTGCTCTGAGAAGGACCATATGGTATGTTTTTTTGGTTTTATTTTTAAACTATTGTGTCTTATAACAGTAATGTTTCTGTTAAAATTCATTGTATTGGCTGACCAGCAAACTGAGCAGACATGCCTAGCTGAAGCTCCGTGCAAACGGCTGATTAACCCTGACTAAACCGGTATTATACTGCACAAAAAGCATATTATACTCGAAACACCTCAGTGTGGAAGCGGGCAAAGAAAAACAACGATTACCAAACTCTGGATCCCGAAATATTGGAGATTACCTGCATGGAGGCCTACCGTGTGCAGAATCCAAGATGGCAGGTCCACCAGTAGAGGAACCATCCTTTGAAGAGGAACCCTCTCTGGACACTCTGGATGCCATCCATCAAGTTGGAGGCCTACACCACTTATCCTCGGATGAGGAAGATCAAACCCCAGCTACCAAGAGCAAGATTAAAGCTCTCCTGTGCGATTTACGAAAGATGTTCCAGGCAGATGTCACCATCCTAAAGGTGAAAAAATATATACCCTGACTGGATGAATCAAGGCCACAGAGGAAGAGGCAATAGACCTCAAAGCCGCTCAGGCATCGACCAGCAAGGAACAGAAACGACAAGCTCAAACTCACGCACTTCTGGCGCAAAGAATATTAAAATCCGGGGGAATCCCCGAAATGGTGGATTAGACGAAGATACCGCTGTTCCTGAGGCGTCTCTTCCAACACCTATTGCCACACAAGCAGGCCAAAAGCCTCATTGACAATTTCTACAGAATCCTTACCAAATCCCAGCCAACACATCAGGCTCCAAGGGAACACACCTGGATAAAATGGCCGTCATGGTGGCGGTCCAGGACTCACCAACTGTGGACTTTGAGCAACACTCTTCGGCATTCTATGCAGACCTGTCCAGAACCACCATGCTGTGGAGACAATCGCTACGTCCTATTACATGCCCCTATGGGATAAAAAAAAATCCCTTATCATTGGGGAACGCCAAGAGCCCTTCATGTCATGAAAGACGGGGCAGTATACAAGCTCCACTCGATAGCAGAAGGCCCGAATTTTCTCCCCACCCTAGGCATTGATTGAAAAGTTGACCCGACATCTAACAAGCAACAGACACATCTCTGGAATGTAGTCAATATCACCCCATTTGTGCCAGCTGGAGGGCCATCCACTTCAACGACGAGCCCTGCAGATTGAGCTAGCCGAACGGCTTCCACATTACATTGCGGCAGCGATGCTCGCTTTCCTCTTAATTTCCATACTATGGTAAGGCACAGCAGCCCCCGTATACTCGGACACCATGAGACTGCACCCCGCCGAGAGCAGCTGTGGAAAGGCTGGCAAGAGAGACCATCACTGTAAATATACCCATCCCTCCAAGCCCACGACAATACATAGGCTAACACCCAGACGAGCTGCCTCACCCTTACTGATAGCAACCTGCGATACGCTATGCATGTAAATGATCCTACATACAACCCCATATATCGAACCCCCCATCTACGATAGAGCGTGTTATTGCCACCTACGCTGGTATACAGTTCTTTAAATCTGAAGCCTAACTCCAGGGGCATGTTCCCCCAATAACCACCAGTGTACTGCGTTTATTTTATTTTACCTACATGTTTTAAGCAAATGTTTTCAGATAAGCACCACCAAAGCGGACCGATGTTTATATATTTATAGCACTATGCCAATGTAACTGTTCATGTGGATAAGTTTTACTTACAGCATGACTTCCTACTGTAATGCTTTTCCACAACAAAAATAAAGAATTAAAAAAAAAAATTTTTAATTAAATTTATATAAAAGGTAACCTATAGAAGTTTTTCAAAAGTATGTGAAAGTCAAGTTCCATTATTTTTTGTTTTACAAATAGCTGTGCCTATATATAAGAAGTGTTCAGTTTTAGAAAATTGAAATAATTCCTCTGGTTAACTTGCCAGCTGTCTGGCTCGCTCAGTGTCTCTATAAGAACACATTTAGTTTTTAATTGGGCTCTCATATTTTATATGTATTTCTATTTGCTATTAACAGGTGTCTGAAAGTGTCAACGCCAGTTCAAATGAAGACCTCACTACAAAACCAGAAGCAGAGATGGAACCTGTGTAAGAATTTAGTAGTTAAAGTTGAAATCTGCCTCTTAACTGTGATCGAATTTTGGGACATTCTAATACTACTGACCGTTGACAATTGGGAAACAGAATTATGTTATCCAGCTGTCGCTCTAAGCATTGTTCTTTATCTCATTTTAATTCCACATTTGTGCTGTACTTTTCCTATGTCGTTCCTCTATATCCAAAATGTTACCAGTTTTGAATCTATTACCCAAAGCAGGTCAGATTGGCAAAATGTTTACCTTTTCATTTAGTTACATATAAGTATTATCTCTGCTCAGTACTTCTTAAGGAGTTTTTGCAGTTAGTTGAGTTTTTATCTCCAAAGATGTTCTCCACTATTACATTTCATGACCATATGCTGACATTAAGGAACAATTAATTCTGTTTCCTATTAAATACATAAGATGTTGGCCAAGCAGATGTCGATCATAAAGCAAACTAGATCTTCACACCTATATAAAATGATTGAATTCCACATTCCGTAAATGTCTCAGAATATGTGAATTCTTTCTGGCCCGAAAAGAAACATTCTCGGTGTTCTTTGGGCTTTTGTGTTGTGCTCAACCTAGTCTTTATGAAAGCAAATATTCGTTGTAGAGATTAATGTTTTTTTTCTGTTTTCTAATACAGGACGTCTCCCCCTAAACGCGCACCAGTGGCCCGTGGCAGATTCCAGAAACCAAAGCCCAATTTAGCAAAAAGCCTTACTCGAAAGGAAACTGTGGCAGTGGCAGAGGATGCTCACAATATTCAAGAATTGGCATTGGAAGGGTCCAGCAAGATCTCACTGTGTCATAAAGAGGACCTCACCGTGTTGGAAAAAGTAAGAAATTGTTCCTGAAATTTAAAATTTCTGAAATTATTACAGGACGATGTACCTCATCATGTCAGAAAAACTGCATCCATGCCATTTTATTATAAGTTGACAACATAGTCTGTGTATTTGAATATGAATATTCATATTTAACCAGGAAAAGTAGATTCAGCTGGTCGCTAGTTCCCCAGTGCATTCTGGAATCTAGATCTTTACATTACCAAAGTTAATGGTACTTATTTTCATAATGCTTGATAGAAAATGTGACTTTGAAATAATGCAATGTTATACAATGAACTATCTCACCATCACGCTTGAGTATTGGTGTTAAAGGGACTCTAACCCTAATATAATACTTATATCTCCCTCTCTCCCCAATACATTTCATATAGTATTTCTTTGCTTACTGCTGTATTACCTACCTTAATGCAATAATCTTTTACAAAGGAATTTAGGACTTTTTACATGCCTCCATTTAAAAAAAAAATAAAAAAAAAAATGATAAAGTCCATATTCAATGAGTTGCCTGTATCCTTAGCATGAAGACAATAAAATGGAAGTCTCCACGGTAGATGGAATGTTAAGCCTAGACGGGAACGTTCCAGTCACTCTTCCTATTCAGTCTCCAAAGGATTCATCTTCCAAACACTCTGAGTCTGCACATCCACTCAGTGCAGCTCCAGAATTTGCCCCACAAGAAACAGGTCAAGACAGGACCACAACAGAGGCCTCATGGTGAGTATATGAAGTTAAAATGTGACCAGTTATTGGCAATTTAACAGTTTTTGATGTTTTATTGTAAAATCCTCTATCAACTCTAACCCATTCACATGTCCTGTCCTACTTCTACTTAACATTATATGTGGCAAAACCCAACTGTAATGAGATCTTTTAGCTCATATCCTCCTCTTCAGTTTTAAGCTGCAGTTATTTCTGTGGTCCTTTGTTTCCTCTTAACACTTTTTTAGGTCTTGACTGTTCACATTGCATTGTACATTGTATATCGTAAAGCTTTCTATCTCACAAGGTGTGTGTGTGTTGCAGTATACCTAAAACTAGCTTTTTTTTTTTTTTTTCTCTGCAGTAACGAGAAGCCCCCAGGCCAGACAGTGAGAGGACGCCTGATAAGACCCAAACCAAATGTGGCCAGAGCTCCTGGGAAGATTAGACAATTGGATCAGTGTCAGACCAAAGAACAGACCGATAAACTTGGACAGGTATTCTCAACTTACCTTTGGTACGAGGAAATACATTTTGGGTTTGGATGGAGTTCTCGCTGTGGTTAACCAACTAGACTGCATACCGTATTAGTGGTTTGTTATCAGTGTCTTTGCATGACCACTGTAATCAGGCCATTACCATCTCTGTGATAGTGCTTTGTTACATTGTATAAAAGTTAGCATTTGCATTTGAAACAAGCTAATTCCATAATATATTTTCTATTTGTGCAATCCTCATCTGCCCCAATATCTCTGCTGCTCAAAGTAGAATTGTAATTATGCAATTTAGATTTAACTAGTTGTTCAACATTTTCAAATAACTTGTACTGTTTGTTTTATTTTTTTTAATTTCCCCTCTTCAGACTTCTGATAAGCCCAGTATTACCAACCTGCCTTTTGAAACTCCTGAATTGGACAAAGGAACAGAGAACAAGTGAGAATTTTTTTTATTTTTTTGTCTAGACTATTTGGGTTCCATTTTGTTTATCCAGGACTGTTTCCATACTGTCAGTGTACCCACTAAGATAAGTAGCCCTCCATTAGCTAAGGAAGGTCTTGTTATATGCAAATTATACTTCCTTTCTGTAACTGTAACTCAAGCATGATCTATACACCAAAACTGCTTCTTTAAGCTAAAGTTGTTTTGATACCTATTGCATCTGTTTAACATAATTTGGGGTTTAAAAATCATGATTCTTAAACCTTTTGAAAGACTAAATATGGTTCAGGTTTGTTTGATATTCCGGAAGACATTTGGATAAACCCTGAATGTTGGATCGTTGCTAATCTGAGCACTTGGTTGATCAGCACTGCTGGGAATTATACATATATTTTGTACCATTTATGTGTTTACATTTGGGAACTTTGCTGACCAGGAAACTCTTATCTCTGTATAGCATAGTTATAAGTAAAACATGTTGTTCTCTTAAATTAATTCCAAGGATTTGTGAACACTCAAAATGTTTTCCACTATTAATCTCTTTGATCCAATAAAATGTCTACTTTCATAAACATTTTTTAAATTACACACTTCTCGTTTAAGCAAGAATTGCTATCTTATTGCAAAATATTTATTTAGATCTGAGGACCACTCTGTACCAAAGGATGACTGCAGACAATCTTCCATTAAACCTACACCCCTTGTTCGGAGCAGATTTCAAAAACCAAAGCCTAATCTGGTGAGGACACCTAGTAGAACCGCAAAACCAGAGGAAAACAATAGCAAAACAGCAGGAGATTCATCCGTAGCCCCAACACATCACAAAGAGGAAATGTGCCCTGTTGAAAAGGTAATGAAGAATATCTATCCAGAAAAGATGATCACACAATAACCCAGAGGAGAACAAGTACAATTTCTTCCATTTGTATCTAGAAGTATCCTGTAGAATTGCCCTGAAGTCCTTTTTAGGCTTGTTGCTGGGTTCACTTTCTAATTTCTCATCTAAACGCGGTCAATCTGGGTGCGAAGTTAGTTCAACCCAAGATTATTGCATTTTCACCCAAGAGAAACTAAATATTAAGACATTGAATAGATATGGAAGTTCCAATTTTAATAAAAATAAATATGTTGTGATGCACACTAAAATATACACATTTTCTTACTTTGGTGAATGATTAGCTGAAGTTACAAAACTAATGGTATACATATATAGAGAGACATACAGTTATGATCTTTTTCTTGTTAATATGAGACAATCACTCATTAGGTGTGTTTGAGTGAACTTCCTTCTAGCTGTTAATGGTCTATGTATTATCTACAGGTAGGAGAACAAAGATTGGAAATCCCCATGGAAGAAGAAGGTTCTACAGAAGACTCTGCATCAGTTCCTATTGCCTGTATCACCCAAAGTGATTCTTCCTCTGCGTCCTCTCACTCCGAAACCATGGACATGGATTCTATCCCAGAACACTTGGGGCAAGATGCCACTTCAGAACTGTTTACGTAAGTGATTTTTACATTGCTGTTATTTAGATATCAAGCATGTATTAATATCAGTACTCTGTTTTGTATAAAACTTGTTTAGTGTGTATGTTTGTCTAGATGTGTGTATATAACACCATTATTTGTATTACATCATTTCTGTTACATTGTCTTGATTTGTTATTTTTTGCCTTGAAATGGCTAAGTCGGTGGGGCGGGGGTTTGTTTTAAATACTCAAATAGTGTTGTAATGAATACAAATACATGCTTATTGCTTAGGGCTGATGAACCGCTCCGATCTCCGAATAAATGTGTGAAATCTCCAGCTAAATCCTCACCACTGGCATGTGATGGGTCCAATGAACCCAATCTAGTAAGGATTTCCCCAAGAACTGAAAGATCCATTGTGGAAGAAGACCACAGCAGGAAAATTACCGAGCAAGTCACCGAAGAACCCACTAGCATTTCCCAGAGTCCCAGAGAAGGCCCATCTGCTTTAGGAAAAGTAAGAAACTCACTGAAAATAAATCCTATGGTGGAAGTTTTTGAGAAAAGAGTCAAATTGTATAGAGTTCTGACACATTACATCACACACTAAGTAAATAAATGTGTAACGTTTGGTGCTTTTAGAATGAAAGGCTTTTGTGCTGATCTTAGAGGAGGGAGGGGTCAAAATATAGATTTCCTGGCAAATCCTCATGGGAGTTATTCCTATCACAGATGAACATTTTGGCCACCCATACCTGTATACTTGATGCATAGAGATTGTAACTTGACAAAAATAATTTGTTTTTCTCATTATTAGTCTAAATCCATTTGCTATTTGTGTAATGATTAGAAGTAGTTCAGTATATCTCAAGCTTTATATGGTTATTTTAAAGACATGTTTTCGTTCTAAACATACATTTGTAATTCACAGTTAAAAATACACTGAACAAATGTACTGAAGCTTCATACCGGATAATAGAATTGAGAAACCTGTAACTTGTCATGAGTGAAATCCCAGCACTTGCGTAAATGTAAATACCAGGGTTATTGGCAAGTTTACTTAAAGGGACAATCCAGGCACCCAGACCACTTCTGCCCATTGGAGTGGTCTGGGTGCCAACTCCCACTACCCTTAACCCTGCAAGTGTAATTATTGCAGTTTTCATAAACTGCAATATTTACCTTGCAGGGTTAACTCCTCCTCTAGTGGCTGTCAACTAGACAGCCACTAGAGGGCACTTCCGGGATTATAGCACATGAAAAGTGTGCTATAGCGTCGCTGGACGTACTCATGCTATGCGAGGACCTCGTGCGTCACTGAAATCCCCATAGGAAAGCATTTTTCAATGCTTTCCTATGGGGAGGTCTAATGCGCGTGCGTGGCATTGCCGCACATGTGCATTAGGTCTCCTCACCGGCGGCCGCGCATACGCTATAGGTCTCCACCTCCGGGTGACGTCAGTGGGGGAGGAGCGTGGGCGGACCCTGACCCAGCGCCGAGGGACATCAGAGCTGGATACAGGTAAGTCACTGAAGGGGTTTTAACACCTTCAGCAACTTGGGGTGGGGGGTGGGAGGGAGAGGGGACCTGCAGTTTTCCTGGCACTGGAGAGTCCCTTTAAGTGGAAGAGCATAGGGTCACTCTTCAGATTGGGCTTTACCATAGGTTTTAAGGTGCAAAGGTTCACTGGGAGTTAGCTTGTAGGCCCTGGTTGATTATTTTATCTATGTGTTGCGCTTTACAAATTGGTGATTTCAGCAAACCATACCTCTGTTAGTGGACCTAAAGGAGTTTTCTATTTAAAATGTGTTTTGCAAGGAATTTTCTTTCACCTGCCTGATCGTGTCTTTATTTTCACCAGCCTGGAGAGCCGGAAAGGGATATTTCTTTGTCAGATGAAAACATTGCACAAGAAACCTCAGCTTCATTTCCGTACACTTCCAACTCTGAGACCTCAGAAACTGTTCTATCCCAGAATAAACAACTTGATTCTTTACCTGTACACATGGGATCAGAAGAGATCTTGAAAGATTCTAGGTAAGTTCCAATGCCAAGCAATATTGGAAAAGTTAAAGGAGCACTTTGGGGTCAGGAACACAAACCTGTATTCCTGAACCTATAGTGTTAAAAACACCATCTAGCGCATCTGCCTCCCCCTTCCCCCTCCCCCAATGCCCCCCTAAATATAGTAAAATCATACCTTTATTCCAGTTTGCTGATGCTGGCTCTGCCCCTGACCTGCCTGCTTGGCTGACATCTTTAAAAGTGGTGTTCTGAGCCAATCACAATGCTTTTGCTTTCTCATAGGAAAGCATTGGATTGGCTCAGATTGGTTAGGAGGCAGAGCCAGCAAATGCCAAACACAGCCCTGGTCAATCAGCATCTCCTCATAGAAATGCATTGAATTAATATATCTCTATGAGTAAAGTTCACTCTCCATGCAGATGGTGGAGACATTGAAAGACAGTCACACTGTGCAGCACTGCCCCAGGAAGCACCTCTAGCAGCCATATGACGAGTGGCCAGTGGAAGGGAATAAAAAGCTGCAGTTGTTCTGGTGACTATAGTGTCCATTTAAGTGTCAGCAATCTTTAAAGTGCACTCTGTGATATCACCACAGCAGCTATAGGGGTTAGAACGAATGCTATTTATTTTTCTAGTTTGTGTCAAGCTGTTTCCCAAAAAAAAATATGGGTGCCTACAGCTTTGCCCCTCCAATATGCAGTTTCGATAATGTAGAAGCTTACTTTTATTCCAGAAATGGTGTTGCAGAATAGTTTGGGCACAAAACAGGCAAGCGGGCAGTTTGGTTGAATGTGATAAGTGTAAATGTAGCTTGCTTCTTTCAGCATTCCAAAAATGCTGTTCTCTTGCAAAAAAAAATACGTACTTTTTTTTTTTTTTTTTAATTCCCAGCTCCACAGAAGAAGCCATGAAACCAGAGCCAGTCAAGACACCTATTCCAGTCAGGGGTAGATTGCAAAGGCCAAAACCAAATATACAGCGAGCTGCAGCAAAGAAGACTATTCCTGCTTCAAATGGGGCAACTAAAGATGAAATCAGCATGAATGTGGAATCCCTCCTACCCTCCACAATAAATGTAAGAGGATGAGTTAGTCTCTGTGGAAGATGCGATCGTTATAAAATAAAAAATAAAATTATGGCTTATCAATATTAATTTACGATTGTTCATTATTGGGCTTTTTATTTTTTTTAGTTTGTGTTTTTTTTTTGTTTTTTTTCTACATGTTGCCCTTTACTCCAGTGCCATTTACTTAGTATCAATTCTTGTACAAGTTGCAGAGTAGATACTTTTCAGAGTTTCAAATTTTTTGGGGGCAATTTTAATGCCGCATGTTTAAACTCTGGCAGTAAGAGCAGTGGCTTATTGATAATTGTCTTGTTGCTAAAGAAGTGATTTTTTTTTTTGTGTGTGTGTCAAATTACCATTCTAAACCTCTTCTCAAGGCCCTGCAGTGTTCTAGCTATCTCACTAGTGATGAATTATATTTTGAAACCACATGATTTAAAAATACCGTATGGAAACAGTCTTCATTATCAAAAAGAAAATACCTATATACAGCTTTCAAATGCAGCCTTTATCAGACATGTTGCAGTGTTGCTACTTTCTGTTTCATGACTTTCAGTGTGAACTAAAAGATGCCATGTCTCAATCACAGATTAATAACACTGTGTCGCCTGGAGGATCCATCTCAGTTCTGAATGCTTCTGACCGCGAAAAAGCCTCACCAAGTCGCCTCCTGTAAGTCTCTATGGGTTTATTTAATTTCACCGCTAATGCGTCCAAGCAAGTGTAGAGCCTCCTCTTCTGCTTCATGGGGCCTCTCATGCCGGTATCTGCCCCCTGCAGAGATTATATGCCGATCCTAGTCTTCTTTTTTTTTTTTTTATAATTTATAATTTTTATTGTAGCATAGCATGTGTATAGTTATCATCTCTCATAGTTTTGCTACATTTTAAATGCAACCTTTGCATACAGTGTCACAGGTAGCAGGGAAACATAACAGTCTAGGCAAAGCATGAGAACAGTGATATACACAAATAGTTATACATTAGATTTCTAGTTGTGGTTGCATGGAATTAGTAAGAAAAATTAACATTGGAGATAGCTTCCTTTTGGGGGGGTATGAGCAAACTGGGAGGTACATGGCAATGCGGTTCGCGGGTGGTCTATTGGGCAGCAGGCCCGCTGGAGAAATATTGTTAAAGTGGGATCGGACGTAGAGTAATGTCTGAGGGTGATAGCCTAAGGGGCATACATCTGTGACACGCAGTCCAAGTTATAATGTACTTGCGATATTCAGGTTTTTGGCTGAAGGGTGGCCGCAGCACCGCTCGTTCTTGGGAAAAAGGGTTGGATTCTCTTGACGTCCCATATCCTGGATATGTTCGCTGGTGTCGTTGCTGCGGAGGTAGTGCTTGTAGTGGCCTCCAGGGATATTCCCAAGGTTTGCAGAAATGCTACAGAGTCACTTGCTTGGGTGATGTGTACTCTTTTGCCTTCATTGCAGACAGAGAGTCTGCACCCTGGTCCCCATCTGTATTGTATCCCCTTGGCTCTCAGTAGTTGGGTGACTTCTTTCATGGAGTGTCGCCATGTGACTGTTGCCCTAGAGAGGTCATTATAGAAAGATAGCTCAGAACCTTCAAACTCCTATGTGTTAGTTTCTCGGGCTGCTTCTTGTACTAGTAGTTTGCCCCGGAGAGATTGAAAGCGGATAAGTAGGTCCCGTGGGACGTCAGCTGGGGCTCTTGGTGGTTTAGGTATGCGAAAGTGAAACTCCAGCAAGATGGATTTTGCTTTAGCTTGTAGTAGCAGGGAGGCTAGTAATCGGCGTAGGTAGTGTGCAACCTCAGAGTCTTGCACAGCCTCTGGTATCCCCCTTATCCTGAGGTTTCGCTGGCGCTTAGCGTCTTCCAGCGCCGCCACTTTATTTTCTAATATAGTGCTGGTCTTCTTCATTTGGGCCATTTCCCTTTGCAGGGTTTCAATTTTGGATGTTGTGGCAGCTTCATTCACCTCCACAGCCTGTATGCGGGCTGTCATGGCACCCAAATCTTCCCTGATTAGGGCCACGTCTGCTGCTGATTGAGCTTTAAGCTCCTTAAGCAGATGGATGATGTCTGCTTTGCTTGCCAGCATTTGTTCAGGAGGTGGAGTACTCTCCCATCTAGTGCTCCTTGCTTCAGCTGCCTCCTCCATACTGTCATCTGAGGAGTGATCAGGGGCTTCCCACGCGGGCGCCATCTTGGCAGGCCGCGGCCGCGGCGTTGCTCTGAGTAAATCGCCGATATTTTGAGAGGACGGCATCGCCTCGTTATGGAGCTGCTTGGATTTGCGTCCCATTGTGTTCTGACCTGCGTTGGTAGTGATTGGGCTTTACGGAACTGCCGATTTCGTCCTTTGTAAGTGGATTTCTCCCGGAGCTCAGTGCTCGTACGTCTGCTTGGGTAGCTCGCTAGCTCCGCCCCACCTAGTCTTCTTTTTTTAAACCTCTTTTCATAGAATTCACATTAACACTCATTCCTGGCTGGCTATTGAAGACTTGCTAGTGGTGGAATTGCACAATTTAAAATATCTAAGCATCTGTGGTGTTCCATATTGTAATGCTGCACATGCGGAGTCCTAACCACTGGGATGGACTTAGTTCTTAAAGTGACCGTTTAACTTGCCCAGAATTCTAGGCCAGTAGGTGTTGTCCAAGTTGCTCAAAATTGACTTTGATATTCGACAGTGTCTGTGTAGGTGTTCGGAGCGGTTCCTCTGCATCAATAGGTGCCTAAGCTTAGATCAAACCCTTTTTAAACAGTTTATTATACCATAGAAGGCGATAAGGGATTCTAGGCAACCTAACCACTAGATTGAGCTGTGTTTGTTAGTTTGCTTAGTATTTCTTTAAAGAGAAGTTTTTTTTTCTAATTTTTTTTTTATTCTAGGCCTGCCAATGAAGGCAGACCAGCAGATGTCTTAAAACCAGCAGTCTTATCAAGGAGCAGATTCCAGAGGCCAAAACCTAACCTTGCCAGAGCTGCCGTGAAGAAAGATTTATCCGCTTCACAGTCCGCTAGTGATGAAGAGAGTAAAGCAACAGGACGAAGCATCCAACCTACAGTTTGCATCCCCAAAGTATGTCTCGAACCATCTTTGTATTTATTATTTTTAATGCAGAGTATGTGCTGCATTGGAACTTTCTGTTTTTCTGTCCTTAATGCCTATGGGTTTTCCAACAGACCTCTATATGCGAAGATGTTTCTGAACGAAGTGGTGACCTCGGGCATCCACAAAGTGCTGCATTATTGTCTGAAGGACCTCAATCCAGTGAACCTCCTCCAGAAACCCAGCAGAACCTACCTAAGGAAAACACCATAGTCGCTGGTGTAACAGACGTGCACGATCGTTTCGAAGACAAGGTTGCAATGTATGTGTCTCCTAAACTTCCAGTTGTTAAAATATATATTGTGGGAGGTTCCTTAGGACTAACAATAGAAAAGTAAAATGCTAGTTCCTGGGCAAATGGGGGAAGGTTTATTTACTGCTTAGCAATGTATTAAAAACAGTGGTGGGCAAATTTGGGCACTCTTCGATTTTTCTTTGATTCTCCCAAAGTTCTAAAGCGGCAAACCATATATAGAAAGCTAGAAAGCTTTTTAAAATAAAAATAAAATTTAATATTAAAATAATAAAAAAAAAATAATAAAAACGCCCACCTCCCACCAAGGTTACACACTCTGCATCATATACACACACTCTGCATTCTCACACACACACACTTTGCATTCATTATACACACACACACTTTGCATTCATTATACACACACACACTTTGCATTCATTATACACACACACTGTAAATAAATATTCAATTAATATAATTTTTTGGGGATCTAATTTTATTTTGAAATTCACCAATAGCTGCTGCATTTCCCACCCTACTCTTATACTAGAGTCAATAAGTTTCCCAGTTTTTTTGGGTAAAATTAGGGGCCTCGACTTATATTCGGGTCGACTTATACTCTAGTATATATGGTATATGAAAAATAAAGGACCCGGCTCTTCAGCGGGCGTTGCAGACTTTAATCAGGAAAAAGATACAAGAGATGACTTCTCAACCACACTATGTGGTCTTTTTGATAAAGACCACTTAGTGTGAGTGTGGTTGAAATGTCATCTCTTGTATCTTTTTCCTGATTAAAGTCTGCAACGGCTGCTGAAGAGCTGGGTCCTTTATTTTTCATGTATTTTAGCTGAGAGAGAGTACTGGACTGGAAAAGTGTCCTGTTAATTGAAAGCTTGCAGTGATTATGTTGCACTATAGATCCCGTACACCTGGTCTGGCCAAAAAGTAAAAACACGTCTGTTGGAGAACTTATGTTCCCATGATGCTTTGTCAGACTTGAGGGAGTTGTAGTCCTACAAGATTCCTTTATTTTTTATTTTATTTATTTAATTTTTAAAAAAATGTTTTACACTTTTGTATAATAGTATGTCAAGCGCAAGATATTCGCTCCGTTTCCACAAGTTTAATTATCCTCGCAGGATTGCAAGCCCAAACAGAAATACATTGCGTGTTGTTAAGCCAGTAAACTTGCTTGACACACCTTAATATGTGTGTAAATGTATACAATGCATACCTGTACATTTTTATGTTAAAGTAGGGGCAACAACATGGACACCACAGCCACTATAACATAGAATATTCTATATTCCGTGGGGTAGGAGTCGATATCCGAGAGAGTTAAAAGGAGACATCTCTGGGGTATTGGGTAGTTGTATGTCTGTGCCGTTGTGAATGATATTGAGCATTGTTCCCATTATTGTACTAGTCCAGACCATTGCCACCAGATGTGGAGCATGGTACCTGGATTAGATTTACAGCGCCAGCACATCTCTGAATACATGGGGGGTATTTTAGATAGTTTCACAGGAACCATGTACCATCTGTAGAGGATTTTCCTCAAAATTTCACTACAGGCTGCATTTAAAGTGTTACCTCTAAATGCTGTAAACGGTTTGGCCCCTTGTGCTCTTCGATTCTGCGGCCAATCTTGACTTCCAAAGCAAAGTGGCAGGATAGATCAGGAACAGGCTGTTTTTGGAGAAGCTTGTAAATTTTTGTGATTCCTTTATCTTTTGGTGAGTCCTGGTGTAGAACCTTCATGATATTGATGGCCACTTCAGTTACACTCTTGTGTCAAATATCTAGTCAGTGAAGGGGAGGAGTTGGTGATATGTTCTTATGTGTGTGTGTGTGTGTTTTGTTTTATTTTTAATTGTGGGATGTTCTTGTAGTAGTGAAGAAGCAGCTGCTGATGAACCAAGCACACATCCTCCCTTAAAGACCGCAAGAGTCCAGTCCCCCAATCTACGGTGCACAGTCAAGAGAAAACACACAAGTGGACAAGAAGACGACCAGGCTGGATCAGTGGATGTTAGTTATATTATATATATAATTATACTGCCGCCATACCTGTTAATTGATGCTCATTTTAGCATGTCATTTGATGTTATTTCTCCACTATCCATTAATTTATCGGCATGGGAGATGAAAATAAGGGCCCTCCTGGTCCAACTTTTGAATGCAGATGGAGTGAGAAACTCAGTGGGACAGGGCATCGTTATTAATCAACCTAAACGAAAATATTTTATTTATTTTTTTTGTAACTTAATGACCTGGAAATGTGATTAATTCAGGCATGTAGAGAAATGTTAACCTTATATCTTGTGGACTTTGGGGGAAATGTATAAATGTGTCACTTAGAGAAAAGCTTTGACATATTCTAAAACTGAATTGATGGCTTATTTCCAAAATGTTCATCCTGCTGCTGTTTCTGTGCAGTCACCCCTAGCACATTATTCACCGTGATGCACAATGCATTGTGACTTTCCACATGCTGGATTATGTGAAAATTTCCTTGTTTATGTTAAAGGGTTACACCAACATAAAAAGCACCAGAGTACGTAAAGGGAAAAATGTACCTGTGATCCCATGTCATGGCCAAATTGCCCCTGCAGCCCAATTCTCCTTCGGTAATGTCACTGATCCTCACTAGAACTTTACACTGTAACCATGCCATTACGGTTAAAACTGGTGCCCTTAGAGTGACTGTCTCGTCCCCATTTGATTACCCTACCTCCCCCCCAAAAAAAGAGCATTTCATAAAGCTACTGTAATTTCAACTTGGTCAAAAGACATCAAGACAAAGAAGGGACTAATTTCTCTTGTGAATTTTTACTACTTTTGGCAAAGCTTAACAAAAAGGCAGAGCTACTGCTGTCAAGCAGTTGGCTGAGGGGAGAAGGGCTTTTTGTCAATGGAGGTTCTCACTGGATCCTCTACAGTTTATCAGTATTGTACTCTCGCGCATGTGCAGCACTAACACCGGCTCCTGAAACACCAGTAGCTGATGGGTATGCACCAGATCACGATGGCAGCGCGACCGGAAGGGGCAGGTTCAGGTAAGTAAAACCGGCCTCTCCCCTGCACCTCCAGGCCTTTTCAAGATATGCAAAGAACCCAGAGCTGCTTTAAAATATTTATTTTTGTAGTTTCGGCCAAAACTTTTAATTCATTGGAAGATTCTTGTTTTGTTCCTGCCTAAAAAATAACAAATTCTCATTGGTTTAAACAAACCCATGTAGGTCAATGCATTGAACTGCAAGCCATGGCTTGCTTCTTCGCACATGGTTTCTCTCCTACTTGAGCAGTGGGTGTTGTTTTAAGTACTGATTTTGACTCACTGGAAGGGGCATTGTAAGTAGGACTGTTTGTCTGTCTTTGCAGCATTACAGTAAAGCTGATACAGTCAATAACTCTTTGGAGCAGTCGGGAGAAACAGAATTTGGACATACTGTTACGCGAGAGACATCTCTACATACAAACGATTCCCAGGCCGTACATTGCGATGGAAATGAGCAACGCATGCCAAGCAATCAAGCACCAGAACCGTATGTACTCCAGTTTAATGATTTCAAAAAAATGCATGGATCCATTTTTAGTGGAGAAGCTCCACATCTCATACTTGGCCAGCTGTTGAAGTTGCAGCTCAAAAATAACTGGTGTGCTAAGATCTGTATTTTTGGAGGTGTTTATGTTTTGACCATCCATGCGCACCTTTTTTTACTGTACTATATTTTCCGTACAGTACAGAGAGCCGTAGTGGTGCTATTGTATAGAGCACGGGTGCCCAAAAGGTAGATTCCACCAGATGTACTAGAACTACAATTCCCATGATGCTTTGCATGCACTGAGAATTGAAGCTGCAGTGTTAAAACATCTGGGAATCTAACTTTCGACACCCCTGGTTTAGAGTTTCCCATAAATTCAAAATCCACATATGAGATTTGCTTAACATCTCCTTAAAAGAGTACCTGCCCAGTTTAACTTTAACCCCAACCCCTAAGGATTCATGCACGTGGACGGCACTATGGAAGGAAGGCACGTGCAGTGTACATGCACTGTCATGGTATTTTCCAGGCTGATAGCTTTTTGCAACAGACCACCATGGGGCGATTACATTACTCCAGACCCTTATGTGCTGAAGAGCTATATGCCTCTCCTGCCACCGCACTACTTGCCAAGGAAAATTCATGGTGTTCACTGGCAACACAAAATGGATGAGCACTTGGTAAAGTGGGGTGAAGTAAACATTTAAAGTAAATTACAAACACTCTCCAAAACAAGCAAAATAATTAAAAATGTTTTTGCTGGCACAGGAGCCGATTTCAAGCTCCTGAATGTACAACAGATTGCTGTTTCTTTGCTTTCTGCTAGGCACTTAATAAAACACTACACAAACTATTTTGTTTGTTTTTTGAAGATTGCAGATTTTGTTCTGTTCTGAGAAGTGCCCATTTCTGTCATGTCTTCAGTGTCTTTGATGTGTCTCTAGAAATAGTTTTCAAAAAGATATTTATAACCATTCAGCTTAAAATAAACTGAATAACTGTGTGTCAGTTCGGATAATACCAGTACTACAAGTAGATAATTGGCATTTTCACAATAAATCCTGTTGAGACACTAGACACATTGTTTATCTAGTAAAAAGCTGCTGTTAATTTTGTACACAATTCACAATCCCCAGCTCTGTCTATAACCATTGAGTGATTAGTTACGTTTGTATTGTTGTATATTCTAAACCATTACCAGCTTTTGGATGCCCTAGTGGGAGACTTCTTTAGTTAATTGTATGTCTCTAGAAATACTTTGCTTTGAAACTACTTTTGTGTAAACAATGACATTCTTTCCTCCTCCAGCCTCCAAACACTTGTAGACCATAAACCCATAATTTCATTACCGGGTCTTAGAACTCACCCAAAGCCAAACCTAACACGAGCTGTGGGAAAGAAGGAAGCCTCACGGACGCTGAATGCTGAAGATAGCATAAAGGTATTCGCTAGCAAATTGGACTTTCTCATGAAACCTCAATCATATAGAAGGGATATTCTAAGCTCCCTGTTAGCTGAACTTTAATCACACACAGGAGGCTGCTGCTGACGTACAGGCAGTTAACAGAGCAAGGAAATAAAAATGTCTAACGTAAACACACTCGAGGTTATTCACCAAAGTGAGAATTTGCATTTTAAATTTAAGAACAAAAATCATCAATGCTTCTATTTCAGCTATATTGGTCTTACAGGAACACTCCATTGGGGATGGAGAAAAGTGTGTGTTTAAACATGTATTTATTTCTACATTTTTTTCTATGGAAAAATATATCTAAAAATAGTTCTCAAAAGCTGCAGTTCTGCTGTCTGCAGCCTTTGCAAAAACCTCACTTTTTCCAAGCATACTTTCCGTCTTTGCCAGGGAAATGACCATTAAGAATCCTCATAATTTTTTTTTTTTGGAGCTATAACCTGTGGCTTCTGGGCTGTAGTACAATTCAATGAGAAGTACTAACTTGCATTTGCCGTTGTGTGCTCTATGCATGCTCACATCAGGACTTGGAGAAGAAGGCAGTGCACCCTGTGAAGTTAATGACAGATAAACTCCCAGCTGGAGAGGTGTTTCTGCGCGTGTGATAAAAGTGCCAATTTCTTTTGAAATTTATAAACTGCAATCACAATTCAATGAGCCTCACACATAAAGCACCTCAGCGGGCTGATATGCTTTACGTGTGTGATGGGGTTAAAGTTGAAATTCACTTTGAATTTCCAACAGCTTTTACTTTCGTAAATAACATTGACTGTGCTGTAAAATTAGTTTGAAATTAGACCTCTTTTTTTTTTTTTTTTCATGCATGGTCTGAGAGCCGCTGCCAGGGGAGGTGCGGCTAGGACTGCAGAAATAAAGTAATATAACTCCTAAATGGAAGAGAATTGAGCAGGGGCATCATCTTTACACCAAAACAACTTAATTAAGCTAAAGTTGTTTTGGTGCTTGTTGTGTCCCTTTGAGGTTCTGTTGACTATAGGGCTGTGACTACCTTTTAGATTTCACATTAACCAAAATGCTGTTTAAAATGGGCCTATCAACATTTCGGAAAAAAAAAAAAGTAAACCTGTTCAATATTTCTTCAAGGCAGATGAAAAGTTCCAAACTTCTGAAACCAGCTGCTCAAATTCCAGCAAAGTGGTAGAGTCTAGCTGTCCTGCAGAAGGTGCTCAAAGGGTTAACACTGCTTCTAGCGAAACCACAAGGTAAACTATAATGTGTAAAGCGTTCTGTTATATGTATTATAACGGGTAGATATGCCAAGAGAATCTGTGTCTTCTTTCAGTTTGGACAGTGTAACTGCAACTCCCAAAATTTTCTACCAAGCCAATAATATTTTGGAGTTTGCCATTTGAAACCAGTAAAGTGTCTTCATACAAAGCAGGCTTATTGGTGCAGTTATAAGATTTTTGTTTCATTCTACATTTGCCATATTTTGTGGGTTTTGTTTTTTGTGAGTTTTTTAGGCTATTTCTGTTTACTGCGCAAGATTAGGTGACTATTCACTTGACTATGAATTGCCAAGATTTTTTTTGTGAATTTCAAATGGAGCTAAATATTTGAACTGTAAACATTGTAGAATATGTCAAGTACAGCTATCATAGCTTAAAAAAAAGAGGTGTTTGCATATATAAACATAAATCTCAAGTGTAATTTAGGATTATGATATTTTTAAACCTAGACTGAAAGAAGAGGATGCCACAAGCCTAGATATCAAACCAGCCCAGCTGAGAAGGGGGAGGCTTGTACGGCCAAAACCGAACCTCGCAAGAGCCTGTAACCGGAAGGAAAGCACAGAGAAAAATCAGGCGCTGTCTGCTGAGATAGAACCCACTACTACAGAAACGCATGTATGTCCAGATTCATGTGCTGGTTCCAGAGCATGGATTCTTTTATTATTTTTTTTATTCAAAGTTTATTATATGCTCTGGGGCCATTGATGGGATTTGCCTTGGTCCAAAAAAAAAATCCACTGTGTATCCCGCAAGTGAACACTGAATCCAACAATAAAATGCATGGAACATTTGCCGTATTAGCTCCCAGCATTCCGCTACCCAGGAAAAGCTTTTTACTTTCCTGGTCATGCTGGTTCCGTTCTGTGAACCAAACGGGTTCTTGTTACTTACAAAGGTATTTACAAGCTATAGGCATTTATAGTGGACTAGATAAAGTGAAGTAGAAACCATTCTGAGTACATGACAATTGTTTGTTTAAATAAAATGTATTTATTTGTTTTAAGTATTACCTTAAAGACAGCCCATGTGAAAGTCCTTATTACAAACCTGGTTGCACTTATCTGTAATAAATTCAGAGGGGGTTTTCACTTCCCTTTTCTCCTTCAATTTACATCATTCCCCTATACTGTTCCTTTTTCTACTCATAAACTTAATGCGGTGATAACGGCTGGTTATCAGCTTAGTTTAATAAAATTTGCTCACTTGGATTTGTGCCCGCTATTCACCTGTCCACTTTCTTTGCAGAATACCGATCCGTCCGTGTCTTCACCTGTTACTAAAAGAAAAGCTGCTGAATATGGCAAGACTGTGTCTCCTAAGAAAAGATGCCCTTCTAAATCAGAAGCAGAGTTTGAGCATGACTTAGACCATAAAGTCTTTGTTTCTGGAGAGCACCAGAACAGTCTGTCCCCAGGAAAACCGCAGCATAGTGCTAAGGCGAATCTGCAAGAGAATAGCCCATCTATAGAAGTGAACAGTGCATCTTCTGGAGCAGAGCCCGACTGTCCTGTGTATCAAAGGAGCAGGCAAGTGTTGAAGGAGCATATAGTAAATTTCTTTGTGCACTTTCATAACAGTTTAAAACTAGTTCCGGACTGGTTGGTGACACCCCAGTGACCCTGCCAGAATTGGAATTACAGCTCCGGCAGCAGAGGGGTTAAACCTTGTATCTGCAGTGTATTTTTTTATGCCAATTAAACGTCTGCCACGCTCCATCTCATGGCAGTTGAATAAACATAGTTTTAAAATGGCGAACTTTAAAATAGTGACTTTTATTATTTTAACATTGTCAGTAACCGCTAGCCTTGGCATCAAGATGTTTTTGAACATCATACATTTATCCTGATGCTCAGCCAGCCCAAGGTTCACAAATGTCTTGAGGGCCAAGATTATCCACTAGTGGTGTTTGTGTATGGTGTGTTGCTGAATGTATTTTTGGGTATAATTTTAGATTTGGGAGACAACTTAAAAGGCCAGTATTGCCTACCCCACCTGCTCCATCACATTCTGAACCAGAGGATAGCACAGAAAAAGACAAGAATCTAAGAAGTACAAAGTCCAGTATTGGCAAAAGCAGATATTCAAACTCTGTCTCCAAGAAGAGTAAAGGAAAGACCACCCTCATCAAACTCCGAGCCTCTCAGGAGGAAGAGGAGGAGGAGGACGATGATGATTCACAGTTGGATTTTGAGGAAGAGAATTATAACCTTGCTCCTGACATGGTGAACCAAGCCCCGGTGTTTGTTCCCTTCAGCCTCAGGTCACCAAGACCTGTGCCTTCTGAGATCGAGGAGACTGTTGAAGAGGTAATTGGAAAAGGGGAGAGTGGGATCCGGTGATTTTAAGTGGCTTGCACTGGAACTTAGTCAGGAGGTGAATATTGACCATTTCCTCCTTTTGTGTGTGACCGGTTATCCGTCCTTGCATGGTGACTGATATGTAGCTCTTTTGTGTTTGTTTAATTTTTTTACATTTTGTTTATTTAATTTATTAATTTAATTTATTTTTTATGCAGCTTGAAATTCCAGTTGAGATTTTGGAAGTCCCATCTATCACTGATGAAACAAACACATATTCTCATCTCCTTCCAGATGCTCAGTCAGAGCATGTAAGTTTAGCACTAATACATATTTTGTGCTTGTTTGTTAAATCTGTCATAAACCATGTGTTGCTTGTTCTGTTCTTGTCACCCACATTTATTTTTAAATGTAGAGCATTTCTCATTGATATAAAGACCTTATTCGTTCTCTTACCATTAGATTCATGGCGATTGCATGCCGTTCATGATTTCAGACTTTCTCTTGTTTGGCACTTTTTTACGGTTTATGTTGTGTTGAATTTATTGTAAACCTTTAGTCATAGTTTTTTTTTTTTTTTTTTCCTTTAGGAATCACCTGCTCATCCAGACAATTCAGGTACTTATTTATAGCAGCATTGTTACTGCTATAATACATTCTTTAACTGGGGGTTAATTCAAGTTCCTGCATTTAACATCTTGATTTTGCTTGTATACAAACCCAAGTTAACTGGAAACATTTTAGACATCCATGGTCTGCCTAATCTTGTCATATCATCCAATTAAATTAGGCCTTAAAAAGGACAATTTGAATCATGGGGCAATTGATATTTATACCATGACGGCCTTATTTTCTTTAGTTAACATTCTCTACGATTTGATTAGTGGGAGCAAGTGCTCACTGCAAGAGGTGAAACTAATGCTTGTTAGGATTTTGTTTCAATTTAATGATTGATTAAAGGAACACAAACCTGTATTTCTGATCCTATAATGTTAAAACCACAATTTAGGTGGCTTGTCCTCTTTGAAAGGGTTAAAACTTTCTTTATTTCTAGTGCTGCGTGGGTCCATCTCCGATCCACCTTTGTGGCTGACCTAATCAGAATTGATGGTCTCAGCCAATCCAATGCTTTCCCCTGTGGGGGGATTGGCTGAGATAGTCGAGGAGGCAGGACCAAAAGCCAGCCTGACCAATCAGCATTTCCTCCTAGAGATGCATTGAATCACTGCATATCTATAAAGAAAGTTCAGCGCTGAACATCAGTGATGCACACTGTGCAGCACTGCCCCAGGTGTCCCTAGGCTTTAATGTAAACACTGCCTTGTCTCTGAAAAGAAAGTGTTTGCATGAAAATACCTGCAGGGACTGTCTATACTCACTAGAACAACTACAATGAGCTGTAGTTCTGGTGACTATAGTGTCCTTTTAATAAAAAATAGGTTCAGTGAACGCAGAAACACAGCGTGACACAGCGATGTTTCAACCCATGGGTGCCTTTTCCAGACTTCCCGTGCCATGTTGGTAGAGTAAAGTGATCACATTCCAGCAATGGTCAGTGTTCTACTCTTGTTCTAGATCAGGCATAGGCAACCTTCGGCACTCCAGATGTTTTGGACTACACCTCCCATGATTCTTTGCCAGTATTATGGGTGTAAGGGCATCTGGAGTGCCTATCCCTGTTCCGATGTATCCAAAGGCTGCCTATCTCTGTTCTAGATGTTATGCCTCTTGGAAAAATGAAGAGCACATTTGGCATCCCTTATGTCTGTATACTATTTGATAGATTGTAAAGAAGGTTATTGAAAAGTGTTACCACTTTATTTGAATAAAATTGAATATAAAAGTTTAAACTTGATAGCGACGTGAATTTATTTTTTTTAATTATTGAAGATCACATTGATGGAAGTACTGAAGCTGCCATGACTTTGATTTCCATGGGAAATCCTGTATTTCAGTCCAGAGTATCTGAACCTGGTATGTATACTCGTTGTCCATAGTGATATTTATCTTTTTATTCTTATTTGAAATTCTTTTCACTGTATACATTATTCTTTGTCTATTATGAGTGTGAATGTAATCTATACCAATAGCAGAGGTGACTGATCTTGAATTCTGGGAAAACTTCCTAGAAGCGGCACAATCACCATGATTAACAATGGAATGTTATTTCAGATTCTTTCACCAGTTAGCCGTGCGGTCTGTCCTTTATGTGAAATCTCTGACTGATTTGTTCAATGTTTACATTAAAGTGTGAAGATGAAATCACTAAACAATAATACCTGCTGTTCGTATATGTACTTTGGAGTCCACTTATTGCCTGGATGATTTCCCTGTTATATAATTTGAGTCACAATGGAAACCAATGGACCGTTTTTGTTACTCCCTTCATCTATGTCTTGTCCAATTGTTCTTTATAAGACCCCTAATGTACGATGTGATTCCAAGTGCAGATTTGAGGATCAAACAATGTGCACAAATTAACTGCGTAGAAATACTATATAATTGTTATGCTGTTCTTTTATAGATACAGGTTTAACACCAAAGGAGACTGAGCCAGAAACACAGTTGATGGGTACCGGATCCATCAATCAGAAGCACGAATTTGAGAACTGTGAAGACCTTGCATTTAAAGATCGAACTGAAGAGGCTAGGTGAGGACTTTCTTACATGATCTGTGATGTGTGCTCTAATTAAATAGACATATACACTACGACCCTTTGCTAGAATTAATGTTTTGGAGTTTTTTTTGTGCCAGAACAAAGAAAAGCAAGATATTGCCATTCATGTTAGGCTTGAAGCCCAACGTTTTTCCCTCCACCCAGTGTGCACTATGCCACTGATTTTGCTCTACGCATACTCTTTCATAATGTATGAAGATGGACCAGTCACATAGAGGTGGTGTTTTGGTAGATTTTATTGGAAGACTATACAACATTTCGGCTCCCACAGTAGACTATCAAGCTTGATAAAGGCTTCTGTGGGAGCCAATTCTTTGTATGGTCTTCCAATAAAACCTGCCCAAACACCACCTATGTCCAGGTCCAACTTTCTTCATAAGTATTGGTACGTTGGAGATGGTCACCCTAATCTGGAAGCATTACAGATGGCAATTTGAGTGAGTGCCTCTCCACTTTAAACATAATGACTTGTACATCAATACTACAGTACGAAGCTGATTTTTGAACTCCCATTCCCATGAACACACTAGTGTGATAGAAAATTAAGTGAGCTTCCTGATCACGTTCTAGTTTGAAAACTCATTACAGAAGATGCATAGCTAGGGTAGCTGGAAGGGGCTGTACTGGCAGTCTGACAGCCACGAGAGACATGTTTTCATCATAATGTTAACATTTTATCAGAAGTAGCCATTTTTTACATGGTGCAATAAAAGGTGCAACATCTTTGGACCATTACTACAACTCGGATGTAGTGTTTTTTTGTTTTTTTTTTCAATTATGTCAGTCTAGTAAAACAAGAACTTTATTTTTCATCCTTGGAACTATTTTGCCATATATTTTATAATAGATCAGATGAAAATCACTGTGATCTTCCCAGCAATGAGCATGGTGCTCCTGGTGAGCTCGGGGATCAGGATAGCCTTGTCTTAATGGAATGCCTCCCATCTCAAAGTTCTGATTCCAGTTTAGCCAACCTCTGTACTGATCCAGTTGATGGTAAATCTGGAGTTCCGTTTGAGCAGGTGAGAGACTCATTTCTGAATGTTTTTTTTTTTTTTAAATTATTTTTAATCTGATCTACAACTAGACTTATGGAGCAAAACTACTTGTTATTGGTTAGAAACGCCTAAAGTTCTTGTGTGTGTGTCAACGGTTTTAAAGGGGAACTATCTTGAAGCAAATAACTTGGTATTTTGTGGTATATATTAGTATATACTCCTTTTTAAAGATGATTGGAAAAAAAAAAAAGTTTTTAAAAGGTTACTCCAAATGGATTCAAGTGCTTCCACTTCTCTATTTCAAGTCAAGTTTAATGATAATCTGGCTCTTTCATGGCGGTGTTGTGACCGATTTAGTTCACTGGAGAATGCTTACTTAATTCTTTCCTGTGTTTCCTGTCCAGATGAATTTCCATGGTCTTCCTGGAGACTCACAGCCGTGCTGTGTAGTACCACACAATCAGGAAATCTCAGGTAGGTGCAAACCAGCTGCTGTCAGCTCGAAATAATCCTGTTATATGTTTAATATCTGTGCGAGAGTTCCTAGTCTGAATTTAGAGTGTTGAAGTCCCCAGAATAATAATGCTCCAATAATTCATGTAAAGAACAGTGCGTACACTCTGTGTCGGCTGTGCAAATTTCAAGGTTTAATACATGTGCTTTAGAGGTTCAACATGTGAGCTTCACATTAGTGTTTATCTATTTATATATGCAAATAAAAAAAGTAAAGTGATAACCAGTTTTTGACATTACTGTTCTTTTTGCATTCTACATGGGAGAAAAATGTAATTTATCCTTGGATCAAATGGCTGCAAATTGACCTTTTTAACACTTTTGTACTAATCTTATGATCCATGTTTTACAGTTGCAGAGTCCAATGCGCAGATTCAAATATCCATTTTAGTCTCCTATGATGCCATAAAGCTGTAATGGCTAACATAAAGGCGGAGCAAGGAACAAATTGTTATTCTGATGCTGAGTAGCGGACATTTACCGTGGAAACCAGTAGAATTGGTTTCACTTCATTTAGAACCTTACCTCAGAATAGCACGTTGCATTACTGTACTGCCAAACTTTGCCTTCCCTGCACTATAGTGTAAGGATAACCGAAAGGTAACTCTCCAGCTGGTTGTGGTGGAACCATGGCATCCATAATGCTTTGCTACCCTTAAGATGATACCTGTGGTTTTCACAGCTGGAGAGCTGCATTTTGGTAACGTAGGCACCATTATTTGACTGGTCTTATATTAATACTTCTAACAGTTTTCTTTTCTTGCCTTTTGACAGATAATCTAGCTGAAACCGGATGTCGAGATGAGGAAACCACTTTTATTTTGACTCTGGTAGAAATTCCTCTAAACTCGGATTACCAGTATTCCTGTGATACATTTATTCCAGATGAGTCTCTTCCAGCTCCTGTTATGGTCAGCGCAGGTTCTGCACATGCTGTATCTACGTCAGAATGTCAGAGGTGAGAATATGGAGCTGCGGAAACGTGTTGCAACATCTAGAGGCAACAGTCAAGATATAGAACATTGTTTCTCTAAGGACCATATGATTATGTTCTCCTTGGATTGACCACAATATGACCACTGACTTCTTTAAAATATTGTATTTAATATACTTGTATTGTCAATGCTATAAGTGTAAGAAGCTCTTCTATAACCATACATTTAACAGTGGTATCATCTAACTTTTCCAAAGGCATAAAAAAGCTGATGTTGGCCCCTTTTTTTTTTTTCTTTTTTTTTGGTGTTTTTTAAAGTAAATGAAAATATACTTAAGTTTTTAATTTTGCATGGAATTCTCTGCACTGCTGCAGATCAATGTAGAGAAGCAGGAAGTTGCTGCAATATTTCAGCCAGTCCGTAGTCTCGCATGACAACGCGTCGAGACAGTGTAAGGATTTCATTAAACACTGACCTCACCTTTAAGGAAAAAGTTTTAAAAATAATATCAGGAAGTATTACTTTACTGAGAGGGTAGTGGATGCATGGAATAGCCTTCCAGCTGAAGTGGTAGAGGTTAACAGAGTGAGGGAGTTTAAGCATGCGTGGGATAGGCATAAGGCTATCTTAACTATAAGATGCCTGGGACTAATGAAAGTATTTAGAAAACTGGGCAGACTAGATGGGCCAAATGGTTCTTATGTTTCTATGATGAATTGGAAACCATATTTTAAAATTTAGGGCCAAAAAACTAGGTTATTTATGCCTAAGCTTTCAGATTTAGTTTTCAACTCAGTTGCCTAGTCCAGGATTGTTACTTTTATTGTTATTTAAAATCAGTATCTAGTTCAGTGGTTCTTATCTTATGGGTCGAGGCAGAGATTGGTTCCCCACTTATTAGAGCAGGCGCGTCATAAGGATCAGGTCCAGGCAGTTCTTAATTCCTCAGTGGAGGGTTCTTTTTAAAAGGAGTCTAATCATTGTTTTTTTTTTATTTATTCAATTTGATTTGTTTCCCAGTATATAGCACAATTTTAGCATTGGCTACTGCTGACATTTTATGGGGTGAATCACCATCCAAATGTACTTTTATTTAATATGGGTCGCTTTCAGAAGGTTTCAAGAACTATCGATCTAGTTAACCTATCTAACCACCCTGTGTCTATTTTCTACCTCTCATAACCTGGATTTTATGTGCAATCTGCAGCCCAGAGACTGTAGCATCTTCCGTTCCTGCGTCCTGCGATCCGTGCATCCCACCCGACTTTGAGAAAGCTGAATCGGCATTAAGTCCGATATCAAGAAAAAGAAGGGCAAGCAACTCAGAGGGAGTAGAGACAGGACCATTTCAGAAGAAGCCCTTGCTCCAAGATAGTGTCCAGGTAGGAAGGGCATGGCTTCAACCTTTCACCTGTCTAATTACTTTGTACACACATTATATTAATGCAGTTTGTTCCTAAAACACCCATAATGTGAAAACAAATTATTCTACCTATCATTCTTAATTCTAATTGATTTCTTACCAGTGAATGGGAATCCTTTCTATGTGTTCTGCTTGCTGAATACACAAAGCCTATAGAATGTTCTTAAAGGGGCACTCTAAGCAATAAATTATGTAGAACAACTCGAGTCACAAAGCGAGAAAGTTATGGTGGGGAAGAATTGTGATTGAAAACTCCTTCCACCTGAAGTCAGTGGATACAATTTTGAACGAAGATCTGCACACCAGTCAAGCCATAAGACTGGTTTTCCCACAGAAATCACAAATATCCAACTTTTGAGTCAGTAGATATGGATTGCCTAGGATTGTTTGTGTCTTGTCCCTTATTAAGTTAAAATGTGTGTTGGATTATTTTGTTGCAGATAGAAGAGCAGCACGTAGCTGAAAAGATTGCAGGTAAGAGTTCAATCTTTTTGCCAACAATGTGGAAGTTGCGTGGTTGGTTCTCCAAGGGTTAACCATTGGTGCCTGCTCTAGCTGCTCTAGTGTTTATGGTGCCAAGAGTGCCTCCCATGGTAGCTTGGTCACTTCTGGCACAATAACCACTACATCAAGTAGAACCTTTCCCAAAATGCTGGATCATACTTCAACACCACCACCACCGCTTGATTGCTGCTATTGTCTTTACAAATGTGAACAAAGTCTGATCAAGTCCACATGGAGCTTGTATATTGCAGAGTGTTCTATTACTTTTATCTGCACAATTTACATTTTTATTTACACTTCTGGATGTAAACAGTGCATCTGTTTTTATAATGCTCGACTGTTCCTTTACATATTTGACAATAGATTTATTTTTTTATATAGGTTCAGCCAGGACAGAGCTTTATAAATGTGCTGATTTCTTTTGAAATCTGTATTTTTCTTAAAGAAGAAAGAAGGCACTTTCAGTCTAGAGCAGGGGTCAGCAACCTATGGCACTTGTGCCACGCAGAGACAAACAGGCTCTGGCCTATCAGGAGTCCCAGTGGGCCATCAGATATCTGCTCGTGCAAACCGAGCGGTGGTTGCAGGTGGTGAGGGACAAACCTCAATTTACTCATTGCAGCACTTAAAGGAAGTGATCTTCATCCCAGCACTTGTTAACGGGAATCTCTAATGGAGTAGAACAGCCTGCAGCTGCTATCACAGTTCTTACCATTGACGTGGACCTCGGAAGCCATCCACACTTCTAGATATACACAGAGCTGCAGAAAAAGTCTCACCTTCATACAAATACAAATTGCCTGCACAAAAAAATACACACAAACACAACACCACTGACAATCCGCATAGACGCACACAACCCCACAAACAGCCTCTCACATGCAGTACCAGAAGCAGCCCCCAAACACAGCCCGCATTCATATGTATCGTACACAATACCACAAACTAATAATGAAAATAAACAATATACAATCCCACATACGCACAAATACAATGCTACAAGTAACTGCAACACCCATAAACACAAGCACAATATAAACATACACACCTCAATTTAAAAAATAAATTAAAAAAAAAAAAAAATAGGGCCAACATGCCAAGGGACTTCAAGATCTTGTTTTGGCACAGTAATGCTAAAATGCTGCCTTCCCCTGGTCTAGAGTTTTCTTTTAAATACTCAACTTCTAGGAAAAAAAATTGTATTGAAAGTTAGGTTAAAAAAAAAATTTGTTTCCCTCTCAAATGTAATTTGGGTTTATTTAATTTATTTTTTTAATATATTGTGATTTCAATGCTGGTCTTTGGACAAACATACGTGACACATGAGATTGTATCTCAGTGAAACCGTCTGATACGTATTGTTAGCCAAAAAAGACTACTTGGATAACGTGCATGTCCGTGATGGGAGGACAAAGAAAGCAAATAGCTCCTGGTTAGTGTTAAAACTATTTAGCTAATGTCCTGTGTGTAGAATTGGGGAACTTGCTGGGATTACGTTTTGGGAAAAGCATTATGTTTAAACTTTCTAGCTTTCCATTATAGCTTTACTAGCATTTCCGTGACCAGGAATTAGATCGCAGCCACTTTCTGCTTGTGGTGGACCTATTATGGTGAACCTCCCGTATTTAACATTTCTTTTGTAGAGTTATAATGCCTTACAATGCCTAGTTTACAATCCAGTCCTATTTTTCCAATTGTAGAAAAGAATTTGGAATTGACAAATGTTGAGGAGGAATCCACTTCTGTCACATCAATACCTGGACCATGTCAGGAGGACCACCTCCCCACTTCAAACATCATGATCAAACAAGACACTCAGTCATCTAGCACACAAGACACAAGTGAACTTACAGTCCTCAGCACTGAAAACAATTCAATAAATAGCACTGGACAATTACCTGCAGCATGTTCAGCATTACCTTCAAAAACCACGTTGAAAAGGTAAGACTGCAAACATTTTTTTTGTGGATTTTTCCTTTTTTTGCATTGTAAATCCTGGTAGACTGCCACAACCAGAAATGCCATACTGATAAATTTAAACCCCCATGGTGTCGTGCACAGAGCTTCTGTGAGGGCAAATGCATCCACATGACACTTTGTAGGCATTCCCAACTTGGCATAGCGCATATCTAGGCATTAAGAACATCTTTTGTGTGAATGGAAATGTGAATGACAGGGAGAGATGGGGACACTCTTGCTCTCTACATTGTCATTGTATATCTTCTGATTGCATTGATTCTATCTTTGTGTAAAAGTGACAGTGTTAATGTTTAATTTTTAAGTATGATGAGAATAAATAATTCATATTTTCTCAGGCCTGGCAAAAAACCATTGGGAATATTGGGATTAGTTTGCAAAGAAAAAGCAACGAAGAGAGGAAAGGAGGACTTAAAGAGTAAGAAGAAAACCTTGCCACGGCCTCTGTCTAAAAAGCCATCTTTGAGTTCCCGGAAATCCCAGGATAAAGTCTCTACAACAAACAATGCCTCTGCAACAAGCATTCAAGTGCCTTCACAGACCACCTGCTCTCTGCCTGCTGTGTCAGTGGTTCCTTCTGTTAATGAGGAGATCAATGATTCAGGCAAACCTCAGGTAAGTTAGCAATCAAGAACAGAGCCGTATTAATGTTGCCCAGGGCTTTAGGCAGTTTGCCAGATTGGGGCCACCTCCTAGGACCCTGAGCTCTATTTCTGTGATTGGGGTGTGTGTAGTGGCTGAGTGACTTGTGCGTAGAGGGATGAGAGCTGTGAGGGGGGGAGGCTGAGTCTGTGTTGTTTGCGTGCCCCCTCCCTCCCACTCTTCCTTGGTGGACCAGTGGAGGGCGGACTGGATCCTTGGTCGTCCAATGGTGGAACTTCGTCATCTGCACCAAGAGAAGAGCAAGAATGTTAGATATTCTGTTACATACATCTTTTAGTAAGAACATCCCTCTGTGCGTTTCCGGTTTAATTTGTTAATCTATATGTGACTAGCTTAATGGAGATCTATATTTAAATACAGAGGACTTTGGCTGATATTTGTATTTATTTTTACTCTTTAGGATTTGGACAATCAAATCAAACCTCAAGAATTGCCCAGTTTGACTGAAGATGTTTCGGAAGAGGAGGTCTCAACAGTATCAGAATATTTTTTTGATGACATCTTTATGCCGGTTGATGATGATTAAAACTCAAAAGATGTTGACTGACAGCATATTGCTAGCAAAATTGCTCTCCCAAGACAATTTTTCTTCTTTCAAAGGAAACCTTTAAGAACACATGGAAATGTTGCCTTGAGAAAGCACCCTTTTGTAGAACGCATGCATATTCCGTGCCTTGTACAAAATGTATATTTTACCCTAATGAAGCATGTTTTCCCTGTGGTTTACAAGTAGGCACATTTAGAGCCTCTTTTATATCCGTCGTGTACAGTGACTGTGAATAGGTATATTTATTTATTTAAAGTTTAATTTATTTTCTCTTTCAATTGAAGTCAAAGGCTGCAAAATATTGCTATGCAGTACATTGCTGGACCATTGTTTTAAATGAGCCTCTGTGCCTAATGTACGATAGAGCAATGTAAATCATTGTCAGTGTTCAGTTTAATTATTCCCCAGATTAATTATTCTTTCGATGTGTTAAATGAGATCATCCAAGTTTTTTGGTTTTTTTTGGTTGGTTGGCGGGGGGGGGAGGGGGGTTCCACTCCTCTGGAAAACATTGCCATATCTGATTTTAGCGTTGTCCTACCAGGTGGTCATTATTAGAGTATTGTATTTGGTCCAATAACACCTTTAAAAATGGAAAAATAATTCCACTTTATGTAGAAAAAAAAAACTTACATTTTCTTTGAAATCCATATAAAATTTCTGTGAGATTTTGCCCTTGAAGGTTTTCCAATGTTGACACATAATTAACATTATTAAGATTATGATGATAAATAGGGTATTTTTTTATTCTCCTTCGATCAATCAGTCCCTCCCCATTCCATTCATGTAGGTTTACAAATCAGCTTTAAACCTGTTAATGCCTTTTCATGCGATTTGTTCTAATGAATTAAAAAGGTAACAGTCTGGAGTGTTTTTATTTTTTTTTTCTCAGTCTAGATTCCATAGAATTTGGACATACTTTGTCTAAATTATTGGTTTCTGTTCATTTGCACACTAATAATAAAAGGCTGTTTTGCGACTGGTGAATTTTTATTTATTTTTTTTCTTTATTTTTACAACACATTTCAGTTGTTTTTTTTTTTTTTTATTATTCTGTTGTCCATTTTTATTTTATTTTACCACCCATAGCATAAAAATAAAGTAATTCTTACTAAATGTTTTTTTTTTTAATTGGCACTGTGCACCAATGTTAACGAGTGAGTAACTGGTTATTGTTAAAGAACTACTCCTGGGACCCTTAACGTATTGACAGAAGATAATGGCGATGGTCATAATGAACATACTTTAATTACAGGCGATTGCTGAAACAAGATAGCAGTTTGGTCAGTATTCATTTGTAATTAGTGCTTTTAAATCTGTCGACTAAGTGTTTGAACATGCATTCATATATTCATTCCTTTGGTGAAGAAGCCAGTTCAGGGCTGAAATTTTGCTATAGACTGTCTGGGGTCTGTTAACCCTTCAGGCCATACTCTTATATTTATATAGTTACTATTGTAACAATGTCATTTCAAAGGTCATATACTAAAATGTGGACAAATGAACTTTTAATAAAGAACACCGAGCACTGCTGATCTACTTGATCCAAAATATGTTTGTTTATCCATAGCTGAGACTTTAGAAATGAAGACAATATTTCACGTGATCTGTTTTTGTCTGTTGTATTCTATTTTGAGTGTGTGTTGCTGTTTGTTTGGTTCCTCATTACTGTTTCATAGCCTTGAACCTGTCAAACCTTAAGTACTTCTCAAGACTTCCACTCTTCAGAACATTCCTGTCTTCACTGATTAGTCTGCTCGGCCAAGCCAGTATTTAACTTTACATTGCACTTCTGTTGAAACATTCATTGAATTTTGCTCTGTTATGGAAAGTCACAAAACCAAATGAAATTATCTTTTTTTCTATACCTCTATCTGCTGGTGCACAAGAAATGACCTTTTTAGATTACCTTTTCACTAGTGTATTCTTCTTGTCTTGGTTGGCTGTTTAATTTCGGTCTGTATGAGAGCTTGATGAGAAGTCCACTTGGCCCCATTCAAAAAGCTTCTGTACACAACCTAATCAAAAAGCTTGTTCTATCTCTTATTGAGTGGGAAACGATGAGGTTGTTCCCACCTGTTCAAGTTATTTCAATTCTAAGAACAGTACACGAGAACACTATTAGTTAGCCTTTATTCATGTTCTCATGGAACATGTTCAGCTTTTATTTAAATGTCGTGGAACTGAAGAGACAAAAAGCCTGAAGTACAAACCTAGTTGGAATGCTGTATATTAACAGCATCAATGTAACTCGATATCTATGTTTATCTTTCACCAATCCAATACGGCCACCACAATATATGTTGTTCAACTTTCCCAGAACCAACTATAGGTCATGACTTTACACACCAAATGTAATCTTGTACCTATCTGTAGTTTCATAGTTTTGTAGATTTCAAAATGCCCCTATAATGTATCTGGCTCGCCAAATTCCTTTAGTGATGTATGAAGCTTCATTTGTTAGTCTTTATGCTGTTAATTGATCACGACTCTAGTACACTGTTCATGTATTAGTATTTGTAGTGCAAATTTATGCCATTATACTACCACAAAAATATATATTTATTTTTTTTAGCCACTGCCACTGTTCTGGATTGTGTCCCCTATGGCATGAAAACGTTGCCACAATGAGACACAGAAAGTGCTTGTAATATTTGGAGCTAAAATCATCTGGTCCTGAGTATTTCCCTGATTTGTAGCGATTTTGATTTTTTTTTTTTTACCTATTTTTCATTGGTGCCATGAGCTAATCTCTCTGGTCATTAGTTGGACAAATAAGATTGACCTCTTCATGAAGTCTAAATCTAATTGATCTTAGTCATAGGAAAAGTGTTTTATTTTTATTGGCATTTGTATGCCATTGCTAACTTATTCCATAGCGCTTAACAATATTATATAGAGGGGGTCAGTAAATGAGAAACATTACAAAATTTGATAGGACAATGGCTTGATCAAGACCGTTTTGGGTTTAAAACTATAGTAGGGACATTGTGGGATTAGTAACCAGGTGACGGAGGAAAATAGCTGGATTGGGAGTTGATTTAAGCTGAGAGAGAGGGAAAAAGGTTTGAGGAAAGATTGTTACCCTCGGAGGCATAGGCTATTCTGAAGAAGTGTTTTTGCTATTGTCAGACATTTTTAAATAAGCCAAAGACATGTACAATTGTCATGAAGAAGATTCACAATAACAACCCCTCCTCAGATGATAACGAGTGTACTAAAGATATCCAGACCAGGTGTTTTGTTATCCATGTCATCCAGAAGGACATTTCCATGTACAGGGGAATTGGTTGGAAACCCAGTAGTGAGAAGTGGCACACAAACCATGGACAGAACCAGCTTGGCCATGTTCTTTAAAGTTCCAGGTTTAAGCTGATACTTTAAATAAAGCAGGACTTTTTTGAAGTCTATAACTACACAGAACAAAATTATAAACGCAACACTTTTGTTTGCCCCCCCCCACCCCCCCACCACCACCATTTTTTATGAGCTGAACTCAAAGATCTAAGACTTTTACTATGTACACAAAAGGCCTATCTCTCTCAAATATTGTTCACAAATCTGTGTTAGTGAGCACTTCTCCTTTGCTGAGATAATCCATCCACTTCACATGTGTGGCATATCAATATGCTGATTAGACAGCATGATTATTGCAAAGGTGTGTCTTAGGCTGGCCACAGTAAAAGGCCACTCTGAAATTTGCAGTTTTATCACACAGAGCACAATACCACAGATGTTGCCTGTGAACTGAGTGTTCATTTCTCTACCATAAGCCGTCTCCAAAGGCTTTTCAGAGAATTTGGCAGTACATCCAACCGGCCTCACAACCACAGACCACGTGTAACCACACTAGCCCAGGACCTCCATATCCAGTATCTTTACCTCCAAGATTGTCTGAGACCAGCCACCCTGACAGCTGCTGTAACAATCGATTTGCATAACCAAATAATTTCTGCACAAACTGTCAGAAACCGTCTCGGGGAAGTTATTCTGCATGCTCGTCGTCCCGACCTGACTGCAGTTAGTAGTAACTGACTTGAGTGGGCAAATGCTCACATTCAATGGCGTCTGACACTTTGGAGAGGTGTTCTCTTTACAGTTGAATCCCGATTTTAACTACAGGGCAGATGGCAGACAGCGTGTATGGCGTTGTGTGGGTCAGCGGCTTGCTGATGTCAATGTTGTGGATTGAGTGGCCCATGGTGGCGGTGCAGTTGTGGCATGGGAAGGTGTATGTTATGGACAACGAACACAGGTGCATTTTATTTTATTTGAATGCAGAGATACCGTGACGAGATCCTGAGGCCCATTGTTGTGCCATTTGCCATTTATCCACGTCCATCACATCATGTTGGCAAATGGCAGTCACACCAGATACTGACTGGTTTTCGGACCACTTTGGTGTTTGGTGTGAGTGCATTTAAATTGAGTCGGTGCTGGGTAAAATATGCATAGCATGTGGTTTTCAGGAACATATCTTGATAAGAGACCATGGAAAGCAGTTGACCTTGAGAGTTTGTGGTCCGTGTAGTAAAACTGGTAGGGATTCCAGCACCGCTAGAAAGGATTCCAAGGCTAGATCTGAGTATCTTAATTGTGAGTGGATCCATTCAAGAGCATGCCGGAGCTGAGCTGCCATACTATATTTTCTGGAATTTGGAAGATTAAGTGTCTCATTGAATTTGGTTAGGTAAAGTTTAGCAAAGCTCAGTCTGGCCCTCGGTCCTCTGGCTTTTTATTCAGGAGACATTTATCCTTTTTGGAGATTAAGATGGGGGTGCACATGTAGAAGTTACAGCAACTTTCTGAAACTAACCAATTTATTAAGATTAGCCCATCCCATATATGAGAGAGGAAATTTGTGCCAGTGTTCTAATTCAATAAAACTAGAGGTGAGAACATGAGGAATATTTAGTTTGTATAAAAGACCAATGGGTTTTGGGGGATTTTGATCCCTAAATATTGTAAATCCACTGATTGCCACTTCAGTGGGATTCTCCCAGACAACTGAGGAGGTGGCCCCTTCTCCAAATGTAGTGCACTGGACTTAGTCCAGTTAACTCCAAGTCCCACGAGGGGATAAAAATTATCAAGGAGGGGTGGTATGGATGTGGCTGGTTCTGAGGTATACAGGCGAATATCATCGGCAAAAGCTAAAACCTTCATAGTTACCTCCTCCATAAGAATACCCCTGTAACCTGATAATGGCTTGCAACAGTGGATCTAGGGATAGGTTAAACAGCAGCAGTAATAAGGGGCATCCCTGTCACACCCATTGTCCCAGTGTGAAGTATGGACAGTCAAGGCCATTTGTCGTAATGCAAGCAGTTGGGTTCTGTTGTATGTTTTTGACAAAGGCTACAGGCTAAGAGTAGTTTTGATAGGTGTAGTACGTTGTCAAGTGATGCCTTTTCAATATCAATGCTGATCCCCCCACCCACAGCACCCATCACAGTTGTCAACAACATTTGGACCCTGGTGACCATCTATCTCCCCACCACAAACCCCAGCTTGTGACCCATGAGGACCCTAGGCAAAAATGATAGTACTCTCAAGACTTTGATTTTAGTAAGAATTTTAAGATCCAGGTTGAGCAACGATTTAGGGCAATAGGATGCTAAATCCTCCACATCCTGTTTTTTTTTTTGGTTTTGGGAGCAGCATGGTGCATGCCAGCGCTTTTCCTGATTTACGGGATTCAATGGTTGTATGGACTTCTTTTTTAGTAATAGGGTCATTAAGGAGCTCTGTGGAGTCTTCATCTAAGGGAGGTAGGTTCAGGTTTTTTTAAGAAAGCCATAACCTGATCATGATGATCAGTCAGGGGTATCTTAAGGTTTTGGAAGTAGTTGTGAAAAGTTTTGTTAATGGCTGAGCCAGAGTCCCTCCAGCAAGTTGATTGCCATTATGTGTTCCTGCTTAGGTCCAACATAGGACTGAAACCAAGCGGTCAGAAAGTACCAGAGGCAATGGTAAGCAAGGAGTTCTAGGGATCTGGCAGGTGGAAGGCCAAGTAGCCCAAACTATATACAGCTAGGTGACGAAAAAAAATGTTAGATGAGAAGATTAATTGCTCCTACCTAGGGGGTTAGGGTACCCCCAATCTGAGAGAACATTTTGAAGAAAGGTGGTAAACCTCTGATACTGAAGAGGCCGATAGAGTATGGTTTGCAATGCGTAAGTGTGGCAGGATATAACAAAGCAAATCTTATGCCTTTTTTTGTGTAACACTGAGCAGATGGGTGTGAAGACGTGTCTCTGCTGTGTGATTTGCAAAGAGTAATCCTTAAAGATTAGAATTCTGATGTCTTGATTGGTAAATCTGGGTAGTTTGTAAGATTGTAAGGATTAAAACCATATCATTGAAGTTTAGAAATAACGTTGTTATTAATGGTAATCTAGTGGTGTCACTGGGTCTGTCTGGGCCTATTCTATGTGCTTCTTCGATAATGATGGGAGCGGAAGCTAAGGCACCAAGCTGCAGAGTGTCCTGTAGCCAGCGTTAAAGAGTGGAGCAAATGTCGCCTTAATTAGGGGAAGCCCACAAATCTGAGATTTTCTCCTACTCAGATTTTCAAGATCATCTAATTTTTCCTGTAGAGAAATTCTTGTGTTGTTATTGTATTGTTGATTGTAATTGGTGAAGTTCGTCTTCAGTTGTGCTTTGTTTTATTTCTAGTAGAGTATTTTGAGTAGAATGGGATTAGAGTAAATTATCTATTGATTCTTTAATGTCCTTAAATTGGGAATCAAAGATTGGTTTAAGGAGATATGCTGTTTCCGAAGCTTGTTGTGAGATGAGAGTAGATGTTGTGAGGGGCGGAGAGAGATCCTCATCCATAACCGAGCCAGTGGGTGAAAAGAGCCAGCGTGGACGGTGGCGTGAAATTCTCTGAGATGTTTTTCCTAGGCAGGTCTTTGAGGTTTGCTGTTATGTCTTTTAGAGGAGGATTTGCCAATGAATTTATCCATAATGAAGAAGAGGAGGGAAAAATACAAGTGGTGTTAGCAGAGAGGTAGGAAGTATCAATCCTGCTGTAGGGTTCTAATAGATGTGGAAAGAAAGAGGGAGTGTCGATAAGGAGTGTTGTTATGTGAAGGAGTTGTGACGACGAGTGTTGATTTGTGTTGTGTATGAAGTAGATAGAAGTATGAGGCCCAGGAACTAAGAGGGTGTGAGTAAGCGAGTGTGAAGAACAGAGGGGAGAAATGATGGGAAAAATATCAGAGAGGGTGGATAGAGCAGATTTAGTTTGGATAACCGTCAAGAGTATCTGATGATGTCGTGGTGTATCCACCCTTAAGTATGCTGAGAGAAGAGGCTTCTGTTATATCCTTTGTGATGAAGTAAAAGCAATTTTTGGTCATTTTTAAGAGAGAGCCATATCTTTGGCAAAACGCAGGTGTACCCGTAGATAATATCTCCCTCTTCCAGAGGTAGGCTGAGTGGTAAATAAGCAAGAACAAAAATTGAAGTCAGCAAAGGTATTTATAGTACACAAGGCAAGACATTTATAGCCTTTTAGAAGCATAGAGAACTGAGACTTTGTGAGCTGAACCCTCGTTTGATGAGCTGCAAGCGTAGGTAGTAGTTGGTTTTCAGAAGCTTTATTGTGACCCTGGAAGGCCTGGCATGTATAGATATCTACCAGTGGTGATAAAAAAATATTGCGTGCAGATTCAACAAAGAAGGTATACACATATAGCCCAGCCTGGATACGTTTTGATTCACATTGTGGAGAATGGTAGATGTATCCTGCAAGAAAATAAAGGAAGGTGAATATCTTTGGCACTGTAATGGTAGTTGGAATCTCGCAGTTGCCCAGTATGCAGTAGAGGCCAAAGGGATGAATTCCTCTGACAGAGTGGCTGTCAGGCTTCAGGGCTGTGTCTAGTGATAATTGTGCAGTGAGTGAGAGACAGCAGTGACAGAGGAGATGTGGTCATGAATCCTCTCAATATTAATGAATCTGAGCTGTTAAATTCAATGACTCACTCAGAATAAATGAAGTCACAGCATGCCACAGATCCTCAGAGTGAACAGTGTTTTCAGACTGTCTCTAGGAGAAGGTAAGTGCGGTTTCAGACTGTCTCTAGAAGAAGGTAAGTGCGGTTTCAGACCGTCTCTAGAAGAAGGTAAGTGCGGTTTCAGACTGTCTCTATGAGAAGGTAAGTGCGGTTTCAGACTCTCTAGGAGAAGGTAAGTGCGGTTTCAGACTGTCTCTATGAGAAGGTAAGTGCGGTTTCTGACTGTCTCTAGGAGAAGGTAAGTGCGGTTTCAGACTGTCTCTAGGAGAAGGTAAGTGCGGTTTCAGACTGTCTCTAGAAGAAGGTTAGTGCGGTTTCAGATTGTCTCTAGGAGAATGTAAGTGCGGTTTCAGACTGTCTCTAGAAGGTAAGTGCGGTTTCAGACTGTCTCTAGGAGAAGGTAAGTGCGGTTTCAGACTGTCTGCGGTTTCAGACTGTCTCTAGAAGGTAAGTGCGGTTTCAGACTGTCTCTAGGAGACTGTCTCGGTAAAGTGCGGTTTCAGACTGTCTCTAGAAGAAGGTAAGTGCGGTTTCAGACTGTCTCTATGAGAAGGTAAGTGCGGTTTCAGACTGTCTCTATGAGAAGGTAAGTGCGGTTTCTGACTGTCTCTAGGAGAAGGTAAGTGTGGTTTCAGACTGTCTCTAGGAGAAGGTAAGTGCGGTTTCAGATTGTCTCTAGGAGAATGTAAGTGCGGTTTCAGACTGTCTTTAGAAGGTAAGTGCGGTTTCAGACTGTCTCTAGGAGAAGGTAAGTGCGGTTTCAGACTGTCTCTAGAAGAAGGTTAGTGCGGTTTCAGATTGTCTCTAGGAGAATGTAAGTGCGGTTTCAGACTGTCTCTAGAAGGTAAGTGTTTCGGACTGTCTCGAACTGTCTCTAGGAGCGGTTTCAGACTGTCTCTTTAGAAGGTAAGTAGGCGCAGTTTCAGACTGTCTCTATAAGGAAAGGTAAGTACGGAGAAGGTAAGATGCGTTTCAGACTGTCTCTAGGAGAAGGTAGTGCAGTTTCTGTCTCTAGAGAATGTAACTGCGGTTTCAGACTGTCTCTAGAAGACTGTCTCTAGGAGAAGGTAAGTGCGGTTTCAGACTGTCTCTAGAAGAAGGTAAGTGCGGTTTCTGACTGTCTCTATGAGAAGGTAAGTGCGGTTTCAGACTGTCTCTAGGAGAAGGTAAGTGCGGTTTCAGACTGTCTCTAGGAGAAGGTAAGTGCGGTTTCAGACTCTCTAGGAGAAGGTAAGTGCGGTTTCAGACTGTCTCTATGAGAAGGTAAGTGCGGTTTCTGACTGTCTCTAGGAGAAGGTAAGTGCGGTTTCAGACTGTCTCTAGGAGAAGGTAAGTGCGGTTTCAGATTGTCTCTAGGAGAATGTAACTGCGGTTTCAGACTGTCTCTAGAAGGTAAGTGCGGTTTCAGACTGTCTCTATGAGAAGTTAAGTGCGGTTTCTGACTGTCTCTAGGAGAAGGTAAGTGCGGTTTCAGACTGTCTCTAGGAGAAGGTAAGTGCGGTTTCAGACTGTCTCTAGGAGAAGGTAAGTGCGGTTTCAGACTGTCTCTAGGAGAAGGTAAGTGCGGTTTCAGACTGTCTCTAGGAGAAGGTAAGTGCGGTTTCTGACTGTCTCTAGGAGAAGGTAAGTGCGGTTTCAGACTGTCTCTAGGAGAAGGTAAGTGCGGTTTCAGACTGTCTCTAGGAGAAGGTAAGTGCGGTGTGGTTGTTGCTAGGAGACGCTCCGTGCGGTGTGGTTGTTGCTAGGAGACGCTCCGTGCGGTGTGGTTGTTGCTAGGAGACGCTCAGTGCGGTGCGGTTGTTGCTAGGAGACGCTCCGTGCGGTGTGGTTGTTGCTAGGAGACGCTCAGTGCGGTGCGGTTGTTGCTAGGAGACGCTCCGTGCGGTGCGGTTGTTGCTAGGAGACGCTCCGTGCGGTGTGGTTGTTGCTAGGAGACCACTAGGTCAGGCTGTATCCGGGATAAGCTCAGTGAGCGCGCGCAGTGCACGGGCAGCAGTGATTGGTTCCGCCAGAAGGAGTGCGCCTCCCCGGACAGCCAATCAGAGCCCGGCCATGTGACCCGGGGGCGTGTCCTGGCTGTGTGTCCTCCAGTGCGGTCAGGGAGAGCTGTCACTCAGTGTGGCCCCAGAATCACACAATGCTGCACACGGTGTGTCCCCGGTGGGGGCCCCTGAGAGCCGGTATCGCGGGGTCTCTCCGCCGCCTCTATCACGGCGATAAGGTGGGCAGTATCGGATCCAGGCCGGACTGTAGCTCCCCAGTCTATCAGGTAGGCCGGGGTCACACAACCAATACACACACACTATCACAGCCAGCTCGGGTAGAACTACAACTCCCAGCATGCCCTGCCAGCCGACCAGCTAGGAAAGGAACCTGGGAGTTGTAGTTCTGGAATGATATCCATCCAACAGGCAGTCTCTATATATTCTATAATAATGGCACAAACACCACTGCCCTGGCTGCCAATACAGTGTCACTGCATTCCTGTATGGTGGATAGAACTGCCCTGGCTGCCAATACAGCGTCACTGCATTCCTGCCTGGTGGATAGAACTGCCCTGGCTGTCAATACAGCGTCACTGCATTCCTGCATGGTGGATAGAACTGCCCTGGCTGCCAATACAGCGTCACTGCATTCCTGCCTGGTGGATAGAACTGCCCTGGCTGCCAATACAGTGTCACTGCATTCCTGCCTGGTGGATAGAACTGCCCTGGCTGCCAATACAGTGTCACTGCATTCCTGCCTGGTGGATAGAACTGCCCTGGCTGCCAATACAGTGTCACAGCATTCCTGCCTGGTGGATAGAACTGCCCTTGCTGCCAATACAGTGTCACAGCATTCCTGCCTGGTGGATAGAACTGCCCTGGCTGCCAATACAGTGTCACAGCATTCCTGCCTGGTGGGTATAACTGCCCTGGCTGCCAATACAGTGTCACTGCATTCCTGCCTGGTGGGTATAACTGCCCTGGCTGCCAATACAGTGTCACTGCATTCCTGCCTGGTGGATAGAACTGCCCTGGCTGCCAATACAGTGTCTGCATTCCTGCTGGTGGATAGAACTGCCCTGGCTGCCAATACAGTGTCACTGCATTTCTGCCTGGTGGATAGAACTGCCCTGGCTGCCAATACAGTGTCACTGCATTCCTGCCTGGTGGATAGAACTGCCCTGGCTGCCAATACAGTGGCATTCCTGCATGGTGGATAGAACTGCCCTGGCTGCCAATACAGTGTCACTGCATTCCTGCCTGGTGGATAGAACTGCCCTGGCTGCCAATACAGCGTCACTGCATTCCTGCCTGGTGGATAGAACTGCCCTGGCTGCCAATACAGCGTCACTGCATTCCTGCATGGTGGATAGAACTGCCCTGGCTGCCAATACAGCGTCACTGCATTCCTGCCTGGTGGATAGAACTGCCCTGGCTGCCAATACAGTGTCACTGCATTCCTGCCTGGTGGATAGAACTGCCCTGGCTGCCAATACAGTGTCACTGCATTCCTGCCTGGTGGATAGAACTGCCCTGGCTGCCAATACAGTGTCACTGCATTCCTGCCTGGTGGATAGAACTGCCCTGGCTGCCAATACAGTGTCACAGCATTCCTGCCTGGTGGATAGAACTGCCCTTGCTGCCAATACAGTGTCACAGCATTCCTGCCTGGTGGATAGAACTGCCCTGGCTGCCAATACAGTGTCACAGCATTCCTGCCTGGTGGGTATAACTGCCCTGGCTGCCAATACAGTGTCACTGCATTCCTGCCTGGTGGGTATAACTGCCCTGGCTGCCAATACAGTGTCACTGCATTCCTGCCTGGTGGATAGAACTGCCCTGGCTGCCAATACAGTGTCATTGCATTCCTGCATGGTGGATAGAACTGCCCTGGCTGCCAATACAGTGTCACTGCATTTCTGCCTGGTGGGTATAACTGCCCTGGCTGCCAATACAGTGTCACTGCATTCCTGCCTGGTGGATAGAACTGCCCTGGCTGCCAATACAGTGTCACAGCATTCCTGCATGGTGGATAAAACTGCCCTGGCTGCCAATACAATGTCACTGCATTCCTGCATGGTGGATAGAACTGCCCTGGCTGCCAATACAATGTCACTGCATTCCTGCATGGTGGATAGAACTGCACTGGCTGCCAATACAATGTCACTGCATTCCTGCATGGTGGATAGAACTGCACTGGCTGCCAATACAATGTCACTGCATTCCTGTATGGTGTATAATAGGAGTGGCTAATAGAGAGCCTTCTCCCATGATGCTTTGCCTTATTGTGGCAATATAACTAGTCAGTTTTGCACAAGTAAAGAGATAACTAAAAGCTAGTCATTGGTTGCGCTATCGTTTACTATATATAATTATTATTTTTTTTATTTACCTTCTGTGACGGTCACTGCATTTACAGTAGTTGAGTCTGTGGAATGCTCTATATACAGCTCAATACACTGCTGAAGGTATGTCGAAGCGCGCTTTGTAGAGCATTTCTGTTTAAATGGCTAAGTGTACTGAAGGCATCAGAGGGCAGCAAAGTTAACCTCAATGAGGAAGTGCTGGGAACACTTACCTGAGCTGCTTTGTTCACCTGGGTAAGTGCTGCAATAGCGTTTTCTGGGATTAGAGAAGAAGGAACTGTTCCTGCCAGGGAAGTAACAATTTCTCTCAAAGGAGCTGAGTATGTAGAAACCCCTGGGGTGCTACCTAACACCAATTTTGTTGTGTGTTCCAAAGCCCCAAGCCACTGCCCCATTAAAAAATAAATGCTACGTACCCCTCTCACTGTAATAATAGGGAGGGGGGCCCAAATAAATCTAAAACCTATAAATCAAATAAGTAATTCTTGCCTTCATATATATATATATTTTAATTTTTTTCTATTTTTCTTAAACTATAGGCACTCAGACCACTTCAGCTCATTGAAGTGGTCTGGGTGCAGTGCCCCTTTTGCACTTAGTGCTGCAATGTTAAACATTGCAGTTCTAGAGAAACTGGAGGCACTTCCTGGATCCTAATGGACCCTTGGTCCGTTATCTGACAATGGGCGTCCTCACGTTTATCACGAGGACATCCAGCATCCGTTTTTTTGTTGTTTTTTTTCGTATGAAAGCCTCGATACAATGCTTTCTAATGGGGAGGTCTAATGAATGTGTGTGTGCGCTGCGTTTGATGCACAGTTGTGTTCGCTGAATGTCGGAGGGGGCGGACATCGACGCTGGGATAAGGTAAGTAAATAAAGGGTTTTTAACCCTTAATTCACCTGGGCAAGGGAGAGGGGGGTGGGAGGGTGAGGCAAAGGGATCTATAGTGCCAGAAATACAGCTTTGTATTCCTGGCATTATAGTATCCCTTTAAATCTTATTTTCTTCAGCTCACAGATTACTAAACCAAAGCTACTATTAAAAAAGATTTAAAAAATGTGACACTTAAAAAAAATAAATAAAAAGTTTCATCTTCACTCTATGGGGGTTCCACACAGACTGAGCTTTCAGGGTGGGAAAAACCTTTATAAAGAATTCCCGACATTTTGAAAGGCAGTAGAACGCTCTTGTAAGCTAACCAGTCAGAACGTTCTGACACGCCGTGAGAATATTCCCATGCCAGTCTCAGGAAAGATGTCTGACTTGTTTTGACTGAAACATACACAGAGGTGAAATTCATACTAACTCAAATGCCACATGGACAATTTACTATATACCCTTACTGGTTTGGTATGCATCATCTAATAACCGTGTAACTAATTTGCCTTAAAGTGCGTAGTGTATAGTGCGGTGATTGTTTATCTTAATTTTTTAAAGATTTTTTTTCAATGAATTATACTGGATTACTCATCACATTGTGTAAAGGTTGTAAAACCAACAAAAAAACTAACAAACCTATATCTATTCAAATGTAGGCTGCATGCTTTAAACACTGGTATTGTAGGGCAGAATTAGTATAAAACTGGAGATGCTTTGAATAGCAAATTATGCAGTTTCACATTTTGAGAATGCATTACTGTGGCCCCCTTCCAACTCCTCAAGACACACCAGTCCAGGATTAAGCCATCTCCAAATTTTTTTTATTTTTTTTTTCTACTGACAAAACTTGGACACCCTGGGCACCATAACATCTTCATCAGAAGGAAATTGTTATGGTGTGAGGAGGTCCCTTGTGCTGGCTTACCAGCAGCTGTTCAAATGTTAAATAATGGTTTACCCACAAAGTCCTCAGTCTGGCACCTGATCTCTCTCCCCTATCACTTCCGCTCCAGTCTGGCAGCCTCAGACTAGGCAGCTGGTAAGTTTCAACCAGTCTGATGCTTCCTTATTGACTGGGACAGCAATGAAGGGGCAGAACAATCGGGCTCCGGATTATAGACATGAATGTTAACACCAAATCTCAGAAATAAATATAAAAATACCAACTTCTTCAATGAAATCAATATCATTTACTAATTAAGGCATTCAAAATTGACAAATGTTCCACTAGGCACCAACACTGTGTGTCTTTTGTATAGCAGCTACAAATCTACGTGTTTGGTATAAAAGTTGTACCTTGTCAAATCAAATAACGCTTTTGTGAGAATGGCAGCGTGGAAGTCTGCGCCTACAGTACCTACAGTAGATTTACAATGACCAGATTCTGTTGAGATGTTCTCTGATGTTCAACAAAGAGGTGAATAAATGCTATTGATTTTATTGAAGAAGCTGGTACTGTCATATTTATTTCTGAGATTTGAAGTCACCATAATTGTTTGCCTTTTATGTGATGTTCCAAAGGAAGGATTGACGACCACATTACTTCACCAAAATGTGTGTTTCCTTGACAATCATTTCAAACACCTTGCCCAGCACAGCTCCATTTAGTTTATATGCCACAACTAGTGTGAGATTTTAATGTAAACCATTTATCCCCTTCAGGGAAGACGGAGCCCCGGTACCTTCTCCCACCATAGCAACTTAACGCTGATTAAGTTATGGTGCCGGTTTTTTTTTTTTTTTCAAGGAAAGGTTTGGCAATAAAACTTTCATCAGGCCAGTTACATTGAATTTGTTTTTTTAAAATTCTATTCTGAGCACCTGGGAGTTAGTAAGAGAAATAATAATTAAAACAGTGAGATATAATGCGTTCACAGGTCACTATAACATTGTAAGGTTTATTTTATTTACATAATTGTGCAATAATAAAGTAAATGTTTCCTGTAGGAAAGTTATGAGAACATGAAAGCTCTAGTAACAGACCTCAAGGAGAAAGCTGAAACAATACGTATGGGTGAGTATGGAAATTAAAATGTCATTTATTGTGGATAGTAGTGTGTTTGATACATCAGGTGAAAAGTCTCATTCTTGCCTTGTCACGTGCAGAAAATGCTACAGTGTGATACCCGCTTATTACTGGCCAATGGAATCTGTGACATTTGCTCACTGACTCCTTGTAGGTGTAACTTCACTAAAAAACTGAATTGCCAGTTGGAGGAATTTCAAAGTTTAGGCTAAGACCATGATTAGAATTACAATCCGCCCATTTTATTTTTTCTGTCTCAAACAATCCATGATTAAATTTGAAATTCACAAATTTAAATTTAAACTTGAAATAGTTAAACTGGAAAAATTCTCCCAAGTCAGCCATTTGGCTACTTTTGGCCTCAAATTTAAAATATATTTGGAATTCCTTACTATTTTCAATTTAGTGAACAGCCATGTTTGAATTCACTTTTGAGTTTCCTGAAATTTTCTGCTTGCTCCTTCCCCCTAAGAAAGCATTTCCTCAATGCTTACCTGTGCAGTTTTCCTTTACGCTGGATGTCCTCATGTGTGAGGAAGTCCAGAGTCGTGCCATGGAGTCAAACTCTAGGAAGTGCCTCTTGTTCCTGTCTGGTAGACAGCCACTAGAGGCAATCTTGGTACTGCAATGTAAACATTGGAGTTTCTATAAAACGTCAATATTTTTACAATGCAGAACTAAGTAGGACAGGGACAGTGCACCCAGACCACTTCAATGTACTGACGTGATCTGGGTGCCTATAGTGTCCCTGAAGCCACCCATGTTTGTCCTATATGGGTGGTTTACTCTGCTTACTTGTAATCTAAAAAAGTGCATCATTCAATCCACACTGCAGACAGTCAGGGAAACCGTAACTACATCACCAAATGTCTGTCTGGAGGTCTTCATTTAATGCAAGCTGCTTTGCTTATAATATTCTAAAAATATGATATAAAATAAATAGCTGCTTTATTTAATCCACAACCGCGCTGCAGATTGGCAGGTAAACAGTGGCATCCTTGCTGTGGCTCTTTTCTTTCTAATGTATACTGCTTTGCCTTGCAGTAGTTCAGAACACTGACAGGCAGTGTTAACTTTGGTGGCAAATTTCAGTTTAGTTTGTCATAGTCTTTTGACTAAAAAGCCATTTTAGATTTAGTTGTATTTTAGTCATCTGAATTGTTTTAGTCGACTAAATCTCCAGTAGATTTTAGTCGACACAACTAAATTCTAATGGGTTTAGTTAAAACCCCTGTCTCTTTTGCGCCTTCCCCAGCCCCTCTTTGTCTTTTTGATTCCCCCCAGTTCCCCATGTGTCTTATTTCCTATCCTCCCTCCCCCATGTGTCTTACCTGCCAGTTTTGGAAGCAATTTTCAGTTTAGTTTTAGTCAGTCTTTTGACTAAAAAGCCGTTTTAGTCGTATTTTAGTCATCTGAATTATTTATTTATTTTTTACTAAAGTCAGAATTAAATGTGAAAATCGAATTCAAGGCCAAAATAGCCAATCTCGTAAAATTCTCTGCCATCTATGCTCTGTTTGGCAAACTCTGGCTTTAAATTTGAAATTAGCTTTGGTAAATAAAACCGGTCAGTTGTTGAGCTGTGTCCACACACAGAATTATTTAGTAAAGCGAGATGACTTCATAGTGAATTTCAAATTTAAAGTGAAAATTGTCAAACTGAAAAAAAACAAACCCCTATAAATCCGCTTTGCTTTCAGTTCAACTACTCTGGCCTTAAATTTCAAATTCACTTTGAATTCTCACTATAGTAAATAGCCTTGACCGTTTTGAGGGCAAGGACCGTCTTATGGGGCTGAATTTTGCAAAAAATCAAAAAACTATCGAATGATTTACAGTTATATTGGTGCCCAGGATATCGCTTTAATATCGGTCGTAAATATTTTGTATTTGTTGCATTTACAGGTGGTGGGGGAAAAGCCAGAACACTTCATGAGTCTCGGGGGAAACTTTTACCAAGGGAAAGAATTGACAGACTCTTAGATCCCGGGTAGGAATTACTGGAGATGTTTTGCTCAAATCCGCCTTTATTATTTTTTTGATAAAGAATAACTCAGTGAGCGCGAGAAACCTTTACTGATTGCAGGTCAGATAAGATAACCAATAACTAATAAACTGAAGTTCCAATTTAACTATATTATTAAATCTGTATATGTGCCTGTCTTGGGTATTTGGCTATTTCTCAGTATATTTGCTAATTTCCATAGTGTTAAACTGCAATTCTTAGACCATGGATGGCCTGTATGGAAATAAGATCTCAAACGCAAAGCTTTGTTTTGGGGTTTTTTATGTTGTGTTTTTTTTTTTTTGTTTGTTTTTTTTAGATCTGCTTTCCTGGAATTTTCACAACTGGCCGGTTACCAGTTATATGGTAACGAGGACGTGCCAGCGGGAGGCATTATCACTGGAATAGGACGCATATCAGGGTAAGGAAATATAAGAGATTTCTCTGAAATTAGTTATGGTTTCTTGTTATCCTTTTATAGGAGGTTTGGTGCGATTATAATGTGTTCGCCTACAATAAAGCCGTTGATTGGTTTTGCCTCTGTAGTTTCCTAGTGCACAGTTTAAAAAATAAATAATAAAAATTTTTTTTTTTACAAAGCTAGGTACAGTAAGCCTGACTTTATAGCCACACATCGCTATTTTAAAACACTTACTCCTTAACCAAATACACACACACGTTAGTGAGCTGAGCTGCAAGAAGATACCCAGGCGGGCATGTGATAATATTTCTACCTGTCTGCCAGATCCCTTTCCTTATGTTGTTTTTGCACATGTTTACTAACTGCTTCCATCGCCAGGTGTCTTGTGCAGGAGGGATTTATATTGATTAATGGGATTTAACTGTCATTTCACAGCCATTGACACAAATCACAAGCTGAAATTTCAATTATCCTAGGGCATCACCCGTCTGCCTGAATACCCTTCCGGTATCCTGGCCAGTGCATGCAGATGGCATTACCTATTATTTCTAATAAACATTGCTCTGTTTTTTTAATATCTTGCTAAGATAGCATGTTATCTACATTCCAATATCCATTATCCGTAGATGCATCGTGTTTCTTTTCATAGTGTGTCTTTATTTCTAACAGGATAGAATGTATAATTGTCGCCAACGATGCTACTGTGAAAGGTGGTACTTATTTCCCTATCACTGTGAAGAAGCATCTTCGAGCACAAGAAATTGCTATGCAGAATCACCTACCTTGTGTTTACTTAGGTGAGATGCGGCATGTGATTGAATGTCGGTATAGCCAATACCACGTACTGTTGCACAAGGATTTGGGCCATGCATTATGCAATACTGGGACATGTGCTATGAGAGCTGCAGTATGCAGAGTGTATTCTTCTATATAAATAATATTTAAATTCCTATCTATAATGAACACAGTTGCAATTATAGACTCTGATTTACCAATGCTTTCTTTCTCACAATGCACATGTAGAGATTCTTAATTATTTATGCAATAGGGCAGTTGGGCATTAGCCACAGCCAGATTTCCCATTATGCAGAGTAGGCAACTGCCTACAATTACATGCCTGATGTGGGTAACCTACTCTGCCTGTTAAAAGTACCTCACCACCTCCTCCTGACTTGTCTGCTCTTTGCTAAATGGAACAGAAGCTGCTGGAGCCTGGCATCGCTATGATCTGTGCATGACCTGCCCCCTCAGATTAAACACTGCAATCTGTGCATGGCTCTGCCCCCTCAGGTTAAACACTATCTGTGCATGGCCTGCCCTCTTAGACTGAACATGGACTGTGCCCTCTTAGATTGAACACTGTGAGCTGTGCATGGCCCCCCTCGGACTGAACGCAGTGGTCTCCTGGAGGGAGAGGATTGGGGCCAGAATGGCCAATTTAGAAGTCACACACAAACTGTATACATACCCATGGCTACACGTACTTCTACCCTCATGAACTACAGCACACTACATACACTTCTACCACCCACAGCACATTTGCTGCTACACACATACACACATACACACTATCACGCATGCTTCTACCTACACTTCTCTGTATGTATACACATACTACTACACACATAACTGCACATGCAGCTACACAAACCTGTACTCTTCTACAGAAATGTATACATATTCACTCAGACATAACCACAGTGTTACACGTGTGTGTGTGTGTACACACAAACAAATGTTATCATATTTCAGCTGTCAAGATTTTTTTCTTTCTTTGTAGTATGGGTTGGGAGAGGGGGACACAGGATGGGGACGCTTGCGAGTTCTGTAAATACAGATGCTCGTGTTCCGCCGCAGCATTAGCAGGTGCTAACCGTGTAATTCGAACAGTGTTACTAAATCATGAATTGTCTGGAATTTACCAGGGAATTGCAAGTAAAAGGCCAAAATGACTGAGCTAGGAATATAGAAGTTTGTTAGATTATAATTGTATTATTTTTTCTCTGAGTTGGCTATTGTACCTACAACTTTCCCGCATGAGTTCCCCACAGTATACGGTTTAATTAATAACTGTTTTGTAAACCGAATCTCACTGCATATTTAGGGGATTTTTTTCCCCCCAACTTTTGTGAAATACACCAGGTATATAAAATGAATAATGAATTATTAGCCTTTGCTTATTATACTCAATCTGATTTCTTATTCAGTGTTGCTCTATTGGCTGGGTGGTATGTCCTGTAATCTATTGACTATTGAAAGGCTGTTTTTTTTGTTTTTTTGTTTTTGGACAGTGGATTCAGGAGGAGCAAATCTACCACGTCAGGCTGATGTGTTTCCAGACAGAGACCATTTTGGTCGTATTTTTTACAACCAAGCCAGGATGTCTTCAAAGGGAATTTCTCAGGTATTATTGATATATATAAAGATTTCCTATACCCCACACATATACCCACAGACGGTTGTAAACCTGAATTTCTTGCCCAAAACAGCAGATATAAGAAAGATAATCCAAAGCCAGCAATATTTGATCAGTGTTGATGCATTTCTTTAGTTATAATGTCGATCTATTGTATTCTTAAGTATTATGGAATTGTGGTATCAAGTATTAACTGTAACACTTACCCTGGTAGTACGTTTTCTTTAAATAGTAAATCTGTTCAGAGGCCAACTGGTACAATGACCATAAAGTTGAATCTGAATCACTGGAAAACTGCATATCAGACAGTATGCTAGCAGCGGTTGGTTGGGACTGTCCTCAATCCCTTACAGAGACCAACACGTTTTAGTGGTCCTCCAAATGACAACAAACAGAAGATACACTGCCCACCATGGAGACTCAGCCAAGATATAGGCAACTTGTAAACAAGTTAGTAAGCAGGTTTCTCTGTTTATGGTGAACAGTATAGTTTTGGTTGGATTTGTTTCAATTTTCTATCTCACATATTCTCCCGTCTCTTTTATTGCATTTGATCGAACTGCAGATTGCGGTGGTCATGGGATCTTGTACGGCTGGTGGAGCGTATGTACCAGCTTTGGCGGATGAAAGCATCATTGTAAAGAAGCAAGGAACCATTTTCCTAGGAGGGCCTCCACTGGTAAGTAAAACAACACAATGTTCAACATTGAACATTCAAATCTGCGATGGATTGTAAGAGGCCACAAATAAAATGTGCTTACGCTGTTCTGTGAGTGGCTACAGATTAACAAGTGGTGTGATATTGTATTTTTTTTTTTTCAACAAAGTCAGAAAAGTATACTAGACCCAATATAAAACAACCTATCTTAGAAATGTTGAAATGCCTCCTTGCGCTGTTTAATTTACACCATTCACTATTCTAATTGATAGATATAGATTTTTTTTCAATTATTTTTTTTTCCCCTTGATCATATAAAGTAGCAAAAATACCGTCTTCACCTTCTTTGAGAATGACCGTAAAGCACATTTAATTTAAATATCCTAGTATACTTTTCTGACTTTGTTTGAAGTGATAGGTAGAGATGTCGCGAACCGTTCGCGGCGCGCTCCGGTCAGCTGACACATCCCGGCCAATCTCCAGAAGACCCTCCCTCCCAGACCCTCTCACCTCCTGGACAGTATCAATGTTGAAGGCAGCTTCAACATGGATGCTGTCCAGGAGGTGGGAGGTTCTGGGAGGGAGGGTCTGCTGGAGATTGGCCGGGATGTGTCAGCTGACCGGAGCGTGCCGCGAACATGGATGCTGTCCAGGAGGTGGGAGGGTCTGGGAGGGAGGGTCTGCTGGAGATTGGCCGGGATGTGTCAGCTGATCGGAGCTCGCCACGAACGGTTCGTGGCGAGCCGTTCGCGGGAAGTTCGCGACATCTCTAGTGATAGGTGGTATGCCTGTGAATGCTGCTTCCTAAAATTGCTATCACAATATAAAACGAAATGTGGGCCTACTGGAAGTATTTATATTTTAGAGGTCATTGAATGCTGCCATTGAAATCTGTGCAAAGAATCCATGCGGTGCGTTCAGAGCACCCCTTCAATAGTTTTAATGTTACCATGGCGTTTTACCTACAAATGTAATGTGTATGCTTCATGTATAGAAATCAAAATCAGATCCTTACATAGATGGGAAAGGAATAATAGGAATAATAAAGTACACCAATAATTTCTACTTTGTTTTTCTGTTGAATTAAAAAGAAAATCTTTTCTCAAACATGATTGTTTTGTCTTTGAGCAAAACTAACAATTCTTGAGAAAGATGTTGATACATATTCTTGGTGGTTTCTGCTTTCACGAACTGTCTACCATAACCACCCTAATAACCACCCTAATGAGCAAGTATTCCGCACAGAAAATCTAAAAAAAAAAAAAAAATCGATAGCTGTCTGTTAGGTGATAAATATGTCAGAAACACATTGATTTCATTTTATTTCTTCCTGGATTTGTTTTCAAGTGTTAAGTCGAATTCTGTGTTCTGTTGTCTCTTATGTATTTTACATATGACAGGGCTCGGGGGTATTTACAGGTCAATAGGTCCGTGTGGACATCGATTTGTGCATTGAGTTCAATTAAATGTGTGGAAAGGAGATTATTGATAGGGAGCTAATGGCCTCCCCAAGGAATCTGTCCCCCCTTTAACTCACTGAGATTACAGAGAGGTAATATCAATTGGAATAGGGGTGAATAGTGTAAATTAAACATTGCGCAAGGAGGCATTTCAGCATTTGTAAGATAGGTCATTTTATATCAAGTTTTCTGTGAAATCGCCCTTTCTATATTCTTGATTTATATTTGCTGCTTATGATAAAAAGTTTGTTCTCTCAAGAGCAATTCTTACAATGTGGACTGCAGGCTTGTGTCCCGACCTCGGTCCGCAACAGAACTTTTTTTTTTTCTTTACCAACATTGTTATTTTATCTCCTGTTTTCCAAACATTTTTTAATCAGAACTTGCACGTGGTGGGAAAATGGTGCTGGCATAAACTGTTTGAATAAAAATAAAGCAAACTAAAGGGAATCTGTGTAGAAAACATGGACATCCTGATTCTCCATTAGCAAGCTCTTTTTTGTATTGATCGTATGATTCTGTGCAGTGTTATTGTCTGTCTGTACCAAGGGCGACAGTGTTCATTGTTGTTGGAGGAATATGAATAATATAACCTTTATTCCATTATTTACATATACCAGATACACAACAGAATTCTGCAGCCACAAATCTACTACTACTCCCAAGTACCATAATAACCTATATCTTGGTTTTTTTCCCCCTTAACTCAGACCTATAGCTTTGCCACTGATGTCTAATAAACTGAGGGAAAATGGTACATATCCTTTCTTCTCAATATATTTAAACCAACCAGACTCAATCATGTGCCCTATATTGCAGACGATCTTCATTTCAGTAGTATTTCACTATTCTATTTACTTATTGCAATTGCTAAATGGCTTTACAACAAAATATTTTGCTCAAAACTCATCTTTGAGGTCGCATTATGCTTTTTTTTTTTTTTAAGGTTCAAGGTAGACAAAGACTTGGGGTTAGTGACTGTGTAGTAGAATTCTTATTATTGTAGACAGTAATTTTACAAAGAGTCTAATGATTGCTTAATTGAAGGCAGATCTCTTCCTCAAAATAGGTGTTTGAGGTCCATGTTCCTGAATATATTTATGTATTGCAGGTGAAGGCAGCTACAGGAGAAGAGGTCTCCGCTGAAGAATTAGGTGGCGCAGATCTACACTGCAGGTGAGTCACATTCAAACTGAACTGTCCCCTCCAGTGGTGGCAGCTACACAGTTGCATTTCCTCTGATGCTTGGCCATCCTTCATGGGACATGTAGTTCTGAAATATCTGGGCCGTAGTTTCCACTTCAGTCCCCGGGGAACACATAACAATCTAAGATTGCTGTTTATCTGCATTTAGTAGATGCCCAATTTTGACCTCATTTTCATAATTATAGATACATTTATACAATAATTTAATATAATGAAAAAGAGTCCAATATTTTTATATTTTAAAGGAACACTAAAGCATTAGAAATATAAAGCTGTATACCTAATGTTTTTGGGTTCCCCCCCCCCCCACGTGTGAATACAAATTATTAAAGGTTTTTACTCCCCTTTTTCCAGAGGCGAGGTTTCCTCTGTGCTACTTACCTCTCCTTCCACAATATCATCGAAGAGGCATGGCATCGTCACCTCCGGCATGGTCCAATTCAAGGGTCCTCATAGAGGAGCATTGGGGACTGATACACATAGGAAAACATTGAATGAATGCTTTACTGACCGTCACTAGAGGTGGCTTTAACCCTGCAATATAAACAATAGTTTCAAAAAACAAAAACACAGTGTTTTACATTGCAGGGTAAAAAGGACAGGGCCACTGCACCCAGACCACTTCATTGAGACAAAGTCGCTTGTGCAACTTTTGTGGTCCTTTTAATCTTCTGAAAACCTTAATTATCCAAAAATATTAAATAATCCAAAAATATCAAATCGAGACCTTTGGTTTCAACCATCTGTCGGGTTCCTATTCAAAGTAATGCAATCATTCGTCCCATGAAGACTCATTCCAAATCTCTCTGCTTGTGAAAGAGTTGACGTCACTGATAAATGACATTACCCATTATATGGAGAGCTAACTCTTTAGCAAGTCTAATGTAACCACATCATGAAAGCCCATATTTCATCTTCCTCTCCAGTGTACATAACCATCTAGGGCGTCTTCCTATTTTGAGCCCCACGTTATTATATTATCCGTGTAACCAGTGCAGATCTCAGTAAATGCTATAGAAGATGTGCATATTGCTGCTATTAAAATCACATTTTCTGTCTCTTGACGTTTACAGGGACAGATCGTTTTGCTTTTTTGTGCATTTACAGACACCGTTCTAGCCTACTTTAGTAATAAAGGCATATATTGTCTCTTCAAACTTGAGATGTGGAAATCCCTTCCTTCATCGATTTATATAGAGAATTACCTGCATGAAATCCGATTATATTAATAAGAAATAAAGTACTTTCGTCATGAGATTTTTGTTCTATTTTTTTTTTCTTTTTTTAAATTAAGTGATAGTGGATATGCATGGATATTCTTTTCATGGCCATTATACTTACCAAGGTTCAATCTATTATTCCATTTTACTTACAGTTAGACCACTTTGTCACAGGTCATGTTTCTCTGCAACTATTGTTTAGTATATGTTAATGACTTGTTAAATGAATATATTCAGAAAATGATCAGAGTTTACTCAACAAAGAGCGGATACTACCAAATATGTCAGATCTGATTGTTTGACATTGCAGTTTTATGGCTCTACTGTCTATGTATGCAATGTAGGCTGTGAAATGTCAGGAAAAACTAAAAGATGTGTTTGTCTGTCTTGTATCCCTTTTGTATTCTATCAGGAAATCTGGCGTGACTGATCATTATGCCCTAGATGACCATCATGCCCTTCATTTGGCACGAAAAGTAGTGAGAGATTTAAATTACAAGAAGAAATTAGATGTAAGTTTTTCAGAATGCTTGTTAATATTGCATCTTGCAAATTGTATCAAATTTTTTTTTTAATTTACAGACTTGAAGCTGCGTAGTTTACCAACATTTGCACTGGTGATCAACAAAGCTCTCATTTGGCTAATTAAAGAAAGACCCTTAAATGTCTGCAGCAATGTAATTTTAATGTAATTATGTATAATATGTAATGTATCTGTACCTATCAATCTATGTAGAGATTAAACTTTTTTTATTTATTTTTTAAACTTAATTTGCATCATGAGTGCCTTGCCAGTTTTAAAGGGCCAGTCTAAACATCAAAACGGCTTTAGTTTAATGAAGGTTTTTTTGTACAGATCATACCTTTGCAGTCTCACTGCTTAATCCTCTGCCATTTAGGAGTTAAATCACTTTGTTTATGCAGCCCTAGTCACAACTCCTTGCATTAAACCTACAGTCTCCATGCACAATTACTGTAAAGATATCTAATGTTTAAACTAATGTTCCTTTATTGCACATTCTGTTTAATTTAGAATTTTTTTATCCAATGCTCTGTTAATAGATTACAGGAGACTCCTCTGTGTAAATAACACTTACTTTACAGAGTAGAAGTTAAGAATTTTAAAGTAAACACACTGTGCTCTAAGTTCTGATTTGAGAATAAAACCATGTCTGTTTCCATGTTGGCTGAGTAAATTTGGTGTTTAGAATATCCGTTTGAATATATCATAACTTCATATAGTTATCAACTAAACCAATCTGTAAAGAAAAGGAAAAAATAGAGCATTGTGACAAACGCCCCTTCCCACATTCGTTTGCCACGGATTCCTGGAGGAGTGTGGAAGCCGGCCTTCTGCCCACCGACTATGGTCCAGGTCTGGGACACTGTTTAGAAGTTACCCTGCCCAGTCACCATTAGCAGCTTTCCCTGAGTGCCCCTGGTTCAGCACTTTCCCTTCATGCGAATGGAACCGAACGCTAGCTCCCTGGCGGCCGTTCGCATGAACCAAACTCACAAATAGTCCTCAGCGGTGCTTAATTATGACAGCTATGGAACTAAATTCGGCATGAGGACTTTGTTGGTTCCGGTCACCTCAGCAGGACTTAGCCGCAAATGTAATGGAAATGTTTTCTGCATGAGGTGATCGTGCGGTTCCCGGTCAACTTGGTTTGTGGTTTTGAACCACTGTGAAATCTGCCAGGAGAGCGCTTTTTGGAGGGAAGGTGCCTGAGACTAAGGGGAACAAACGCTACCTAAGAGCCCGGCGAAGCACCCCGTATTGCGGCCGCAGAACCTCCTGAAAGTTGACTGACAAAAGCACTAAACGTCCTGGAACTATTCTGGGACTACGTGTGCAGCCGGTCAGAACTTTAACACGGTGGCGTTTCCCCTACACTGCATGGATCTGAGCGCTATTCGGAAAACTTGGGCGCTCAGATCAGGGCTATTTGGGGATGTATTATTTGTTATTAAATATTTTTATGATGATTTGGGGTATTTTTATGTTTTTATATTTTTGTGTTTGGCTCTCTGTTCCTGGGAGAGAATAAGCTTACCGGTCTTTAACATAATTATCTCCCAGGCCCAGAGATTCCTGGGAGGGGCTTGTGCTGAATACAATGGAGACCCCTGCTGGGGTCTGTGCATAAAAGGCCACGTTTGGCTCCTTAAAATCAGTTGTACCCCAGAACTATGTGTCGTGTAATTACTGGGAGGGGAAGGGCTATAATTACTGGTTCAGCACCTGGTTCCAGCTCGTGGAGGATTCGGCGGGGAAAGTCCTCGTAAGGACTAGAGCTCCCAGGACTGTGTTTCGTCCAGTCCCTGGGAGGGAATAGAGCTTGTCCCCTGTCCTGTTCCAGGATGGAGAGGCTCCAGGAGAGGACCCCAGTCAAACCACTGCAACTGGGGCAGAAGCGCTGAGGTTTTCCTCTGTTCCAGCTAGAAAGCGGTCCTTGACGGAGGTACCCAGCCGGGGTACCGGGAGCTCCGCTACAAGTACAACATACAGAAAAGGAAGATGGGGTAAGGGTTGGGGTAAGAATGGCATGGAGTAATTTATCCAGGGTACCTGAGGCACAGTCCCTTCATCGAAGGGTTTACGGTGCAGGCTGCAGAGAGAACATGCTATACTAATGTTGAGGTGAGCAGTGTAAATTGTCAACATTCGTGACCTCTCCAATCAGTCCCTTAAACTCCACCAGGGAGGGCAGGATAGGTTGTTTTAGCTCCCAAAACACTCTAGCAGATGGTTTGTACTCAGTACTTTTATTTGTGTTTAATAGGTAACTATAGAGAAACCAGAAGAACCGCTTTTTCCTGCTGATGAATTATATGGAATAGTTGGTACCAATTTAAAAAAGAACTTTGATGTCCGAGAGGTAAGTGTCTGGATATTTGTATTCCCCTACAATGCTTACGTGTTGGTGTGTGATGTGAGGTACATACATATACTTTCACCTTACATTAAAACCAGAACTATTAGAATACTATAGGAGTTCATTCTTCACCAATATTTCACATAGTCAAATTTTCAGGCAAAAGTAGTAAAACTGGATACATTCGCTAAATCTTTGCTATTTCAGTTTAGTTGTTTTTGTCCTTCCCATTTGACTTGGTGCTTTCAAAACGTGTGAAGCAGAAGGTTTTTTGTTTTTTCTGGGAGGTGTGGGGGGGGGGGGGGTTGATACAGACATTAAAAGGATACTCTAGGCACAAATGCAACTTTATTGCATTTGATAGGTTTTGACTCCAATAATATTATGTTTTTATGCATGCTCATATCTTTATAGATTTTGCACAATTAAAAATATTTTGCAAAATGCTGCTCCTTAAGTTTCTCCTTAGCCACACCACTCATGCCAAAAAGACTTCTTTAAAAATGTGACCAAAAAACAAACAAGAGTCCTGCACATCCAGTATAGGTGTGCACACCCAGGTGCTACCACAATTTATTTGAGGACAAAGTTGAAGCAGCAGCCCTTTCTCAATGCTAATTTCGGATCTGAACAATCATAAACACAACATTGCTTCCTCAATATAAATGGCTCAAAACTGTGCTGTTAGCGAACACTGGAGGAAGAAATGAATAGGGTAGAACACTGGTGTGATTGATTATATATGCCTATTTTTGACAATTAATGAAAAGACGGTCTACACTCTAGTCCAGGCATAGGCAACCTTCAGCACTCCAGATGTTTTGGACTACACCTCCTATGATGCGTTGTCAGCATTATGGGGGATGTAGTCCACAACATCTGGAGTGCCAAAGGTTGTCTACCTCTGCTCCAGTGCATCTATGTTAAACTGAAAAACAAGTTAATGGAAAGGTATGCAGCCCAGAGTGCACCAGACCTCTATAAAATATTGGGTATAGTATGAGTCAGATTAGGAAATCTATGGTGGTAGTGAGCATTTAAATTAAGTGCCCCTTGTTAATGTCTTACTATATGAGTGCAGGAGAGGTGTATTTTTATTTTTATCTATTTATCTTGCATACTAATTCTCTTTTAGGTCATTGCACGAATTGTGGATGGTAGCAAATTTGATGAGTTTAAGGCATTGTATGGCGATACGTTGGTAACAGGTACAGTAAAAAGAAACCTTTTAGCTTTCAGTTCTGGTCTATCAAAGAAGTATAAAAATAAAGTAAAAAGAACTAACTTACAGTTGTAATCAGAATTATTCAACAGCCATTAAAAAAACAGGTTTATTAATGAACAAAATCAAAAAGCAATTGAAATAGCTCAACACAACGAATGCTTCAAGTGGTTTCCCCTAATTGAACTGCAAAAAGGGAAGACGTAACCAATTACAAAAATTACCTATAACTTGGAATATTTGTTTTCCCATGTAATGCTTTTTCATTTTTTTAAATTTATATTAGATACGATTTTACAATTTGCATTATAATCCAGTTCAGAGAATGCAACGGCAAGGCAAACATTTCCGATGAAGAGAAGAAATAGAAACATTGTGGTTTTTTTGGTTGTTTTTTTTTTAATACTTTATTTTGAGTTGTGCATAAGGTTAAATTACAGGCTTTTGCTGCCGCGACGGCAATAACAAGTTACTTCATCAAACATGGTACATTGGTAGCATGGCCGTAGACAGTAATGCACATTTTTGTATGGTTATGACTCGCTATCATGTTATGGTGCGTTACACTCAATTAATGTACTGCGTTGCATGATATTCCTAGGCCGTGTGCATTCAGTAACATAAGGACAGGAAAAAACAGGCTAGTCGAACGAATTATTGCTGCGTACTATGCTATGGTTTCACAGGAATGTATATATCAGCGTTTGAATAACATGTTCGGCAGATTCTAGGTTTAACATTAGTGTATGAGTAGGTGCAGCCAGTCCAGCGTTCCCAGCGCATGCTGGGCAAAGTAAAATGGTAACATTTATATATGAAAAAACATGAACTTGAGAACATGGCATGTTCATTTGTGTTCAGAATAGATAATTTCCCTGGAGTTAACTAAAATTGCATCAAATTCTCACATAGTAGATGCTGTTAGCAGGATAACATTACAAGAGTATAGAGGACCTCAGTAACAAGCTCCCTAGCACTGCATCACACTTCCTATTCTAAATTATAAACTTTAAACATTAAACATTCCGCGGCTGTGTGGATGATGTGGTCAGCGGTGACATCAACCTGGGTTAAGTAGAGTTAGTCCTCGTGGGAAGTGGGCTATGGGCCCCTGGTATAGTTAGTCAGCCAATGCCCTGGTTTGGAGGTGTCAGGGAATCGAGTAGTGTTGCAAAATCAGGATGTGTCAATGCCCCTTTGCTGCCCCAGACATGAGTGAGGATCTGTGTCGGAATGCCTCGGGTTCGGCTGCATGGGAGATCCGCTGCCCTCTCTAACAAGGGAATATAGAGGCTTCTTGTGGTCTGCCGCCTTGGACGGAAACGGGTCTTTTGTCGCTGTGGTCTGTGTGATGGGATACTGTGCCGGGTGGCCCTGGGTTTATGTGAGTGTTTAGCAGGGGATACAGGCATCGTAGCGGTTACCTGAGATGGCTCCAGCATACCTCGCTTTACTCCCGACCCTTCACCTTCTTGGGGTAACTTTGGAGCTAACATTCTGGCCACTAGCTCCGGATGCACCGTCAGCCCCGGTATCAGGGAATTGCGTCCCTGCAGGCAGAAATTGTTTTGGCTTGATAGTAAGCCGTTAAAATAGCTGTAAGACGCAGGAGCTCTAGCGGCATGCGTCTGTTCTGCTCGGTGGTCAAGCTCCGCCCCACATTGTTTCATTTTTATGCTTCTCTGTAAGCCTTCTCAAATGCTTACTGCTAGATGCAGAGGACAGAGCTTATAACAATAATTGATAGGGCCTCAAGATGGAGGCACCCAATGTCAGGATAAAGAGGCGTTTAATTTCTATGTTTTATTTTTCACATCTAATAATTACATATATCTTAAATGTAAGCATGATCTAAAAAATCCTGGGAAGTGTTTGCTCCCCTTTAAATACTCTTGCTAGTGCGGCTATATTTTAGTTAGCATTACATGTTTGATGCATTTTATATTATATCCTTATTGATCGCAGATTTTGTCTGTTTATTTATTTATTTTTTAAGGATTTTCACGAATATTTGGATATCCAGTTGGAATCATTGGAAACAACGGTGTTCTTTTCTCCGAATCAGCCAAAAAGGTAAATATGGGCGAACATCACAATCCGTTGTTTCTTGAGACATTTTCTATCTGCTGGCGATCCATCATTTAAGCTTTTGGATTTCAGTGAGGCCTGGCTCATCATTCAAAGCCAGGTTTTAAGACTTTAATTTAGCGTGTCTGTGTCGTATTGAGCTAGTTCTTAATGAAGAAATCATTCTCTCCTAATTACAGTTTTTTTTTTTTTTTTCTCCCCAGTTTTTAATCTGTTAGATTAGTCCGTGTTAATGAAAATGTCCAGTGAGCTTTTTGTTGTTGGCCACAGCTTCAGGTACCTTACAATGAAGGCACCAGTTTATAGCTTAAATTTTGGAGTAAACAGGCTCTTTCATTAAATCATAGAGGACAGGGGTTTTTACTAAAATGGAACTTTCATTTTTTTAGTTTTTCATAAAGATAGAATCTTCTTAGAAACTTAGTCTTATGGATCTTGACATTTTTTGTGGAAACTTCTCTGTGACTTGGTTTTCTGTGAATTTACCAGGTTCTAAAAAAAAAAAACAGGCCAACAAGGATGGCTGCAATAAGTGGCTGAGATAAGTAAATCTGCCTTCCCCATCACCAATTGTACTTTATGCAGTGTAGGTACATATGGTTACCATTTAGCAAGGCTAAAAGAAGGATTTTTTTTGTTTTATTTCTTACAAAGGGCCATCTTTGCCTTCTGATTCGTTTTTTGATTTGAGTTTGTGAGAATTTTTACCTCAAAGTATTATCTAACATGAGAATAGGATGAACTCTGGGAGAAAATGCAATGCTGAATTCATTGAGAACTTCACACTGGGTACTAGAGGGCAAAATCATACACCGTGGACTTCTCTCTGCCAAGGGAATAAGACCTTTGATTAGGCTATAGGTCCTGCATATATGTTGTTGTTGTTGTTTTTTTTTTTTTAAATGCTTTTTTATTGAGAGTGTCAGACTGATAGAAATGCAAGATGTACATTGAATATCAGTGTACATTGAATATCAGTGAGTAATTTCTTATACATACAGAGATATGTCAGTGAGAAATTTGTTATACATACAGATAAGCAATCATGAACAGCAGAGTATGTAAACAGACATTCTCTTTTCTGTTGAATCATAACAAAACTAAACCTAATCATGTCTGCCAGTACCCAGTACCCAGTCCATCCCAAGTCGCCCACACAGCCCAACTAAGAAAACCTCCATTTTAATGGTTAAACAGTCTAAACATTTTACTTTTCAGTTCAAAGTCGGATTTGAACTGTGCTGTAGAATTACATAAACTTACACAGAAGTTAAAACCGTGATAACAAGGTTGTTCGTATCATATTGTTGATTAGATAGCCGAGCGAAATGTGGAAATAATATAGTGAAATCACCACAAAAAAACCAAATAGTGATGCCAAGACTGGGGCTGACCAGTGTTGAAGAAATAAAGTTCTAAAACTAAGCTGTGAGCCAAGGATAACGAGTCCCCAATGGAGTTCTTCTGATAGTTATTGTTAGATTTGAAAACTGCAAGATGGAAATAGAGCTATTCTTGGAAACAGAACCGTTCATAACTCCGTGGCTGCACTAGAGAATTCTATTGTTGGGCAGCGAAGTGAAGGCCTTTCTGGCAGCAAACAGCCATACAAATATAGTGCAACAACTGTGTTTGGATTTTCTTTAAGTTCTACATATTGCTGTGGCAAATGACATAATTTGGAACGGAGAGCCAGAGTTTCCAGATTGGCATTAAGCACCAAAACTGAGCCGAGCCACAACAAACTGTGACCTACAACTCTTCTGCAACTGAAAAAAGCTCAGTTAGCTGGCTGCAGGCGTTTCTAAATCATTAAAGGTGTCCTTGTTCACACTAAAATTCAAAATCCAAACCAATCCCCAAATACCCTTTGCTAATAGCTAGCTGTGTCCATTCTCTCCTTTCCCCGCTCTCAAACACATTTTTATACAAGTCAGGAATGTCAAACATTGTAAATGAAACCAGAGACATGTCCAATTGTCAGGAGGAATGAAGCAGATCTACAGCTACAGAGCCAACTTGGCCACATTACAAAAGTACAAATTTCTGTTTTCTTTTCTATCATCAAACTTTGTACTAGGACATATCCATTCTATCATGAAACTTTGTACTAGGGCTCTTGCTTCCATTATTCCGAACCAGTCTTGGCGATATCATATACGGTGACGGCAAATGCTTCCTATACCTGGTTTTACCCAAAATTGCTAGATCACTTTAAATTCTCTCTCTGGATTTATAGAGATATTGATATAAATAGATATAGATTATCCTTAACCAAACTTTTTTTACTATTTTAAATGGATTGGCTTTACTCCCTAACCAACAAGGAAATTTTAGTCAAAAAATTCTTCCTCACATGGAAATGGTATATTCATAATCTAGATTCCTCCTATCACTGTCAAACAAGGGCAACATTTTAGTACACAGCTTGGATCTTGGCCGAGGTGGTGGGTCAGGACCCTTTGTATGTACTATCCAATGCTGGTCACCCATAGCATTGCTTGTTGTTTCTTGAGGGTGGTGAGCGGGTATGTAAAGTGGACAGGGGATTGTATGTCGTTATCAACTTCGAAAGAGTTCTGCTTTATATACAGTATCAGGGTGATCATACGTTGGTTTTGGAGTATAGATTTTGCTCTTTTTTTGGAGTATTTGAATTTTTTATTTTTAATATATATAAAAAAAGTGATATGAATGGTCAATGTTTTCTCTCATTTTTTTTTATGTTGCAGTAATTTGCTTTTGGTTGCTGGAAAGATTTCCCCCCCCCCTCCCCTCCCTCCTCCGATTGCCATGGCACAAGTCTCAAGGGCTTTGAGACAAGTCGCATTGCAATCTGTCAAAGTGAATTCTCTGATTATACGTAGCATGTGACAAGGCAACATACCAAATACACTACTGTCAAGCACAATCTCATCCACTCATTGCTATACTTTGCACAGCATCTCTAATGAACAGCTGCACCCAGCTGAAGGTCTAATAGGTTTTATTTATTTTTTGTGCATGCTTTTTTTCATTTGCTTTTTTTCTTTTTGCTGCTGCTTTTTAATTTATTTTTTTAATTAAATTCCTCTGCCTCTTGCATTCTCTTTTGAGCACCTGAAAAAATAAATATGAATAGCGGCAGATATGATCTGAATTTACCCTTTTTAACTGGCATTTCAGGTTAGGGTTCGTCCATTTTTCATTTATTTTTTTCTTTTATATTTTTATTGCAGCAATGTGTTATCATACAATAAACAAAACGCATATACTGTCACTTTGGTAAGTGCGACCTATAGGTTAATGAGTGTAGATCCAACATATGACTCCTGAAGTGTAAATAGGTGTCTATGAAGGCAGGCTAGCGGTAAAACAATGTTTTTTTTTTTTTTTATTGAATCACACTAAATCAGATAAACTATAACCAATAAGCTGCAATACCACTGGGTACTATAAGTATAGAAAATAAAAAGGTCCCTGCACTGCTTTGTAAATGCATAGACTTACCAGTTTGTTAGGCCAGATCCACTTACAACCTGGCGCCCAAGCCTTGATGGAAACCGGTGCCTTATGTCCATTGATCCTCCTTCCATCCTGCAGAAACACCCATCACTCTCAGGCCTCACTTCACAATCAACTCAGTGAAGACTGCATTTACCATCCTGCAGAAACACCCATCACTCTCAGGCCTCACTTCACAATCAACTCAGTGAAGACTGCATTTACCATCCTGCAGAAACACCCATCACTCTCAGGCCTCACTTCACAATCAACTCAGTGAAGACTGCATTTACCATCCTGCAGAAACACCCATCACTCTCAGGCCTCACTTCACAATCAACTCAGTGAAGACTGCATTTTTTTTTTCTCCCCCTCCTCCCACCCACCCAGGCTCCCCTTAAATATATAGCATGCTCCTCCAGCAGTTTGAGATTCTCACCCAATTACCTCTTCATTCCCCTAACATCTTAACAATAGCTGCTTCTCTGTTAACTCTTTCAGCCATCACCTCCAAACTTCCCCTGCTACCTCTTGTCTCAAATCCCCCTGGTATCCTTTAGATTGTAAGCTCACGGGCCATCTAGCTAAGCACTTTGTATAAAAGAGCTCCAATGGCTCGGTATCCGCTTACGGGCAGGGCTCTCTTACCTCTTGTATTTGTTTGTGTATATTGTACGTTTCTCAACTAATTGTACAGCGCTGCGGAATCTGTGTGCGCTTTATAAATAGCAATAATAATAAATGGCAGGATCGCAAGCTCCAGGACACAGAGACCCTCTTGGTTGTATGGCGGCAGAATAGATACAGCTCCAAATGTGCACCCAGCCTAGAGAAGGGGCAGTGAGTTGGAGTGGCCTCTTGAGTCAACGGTGGATGAGTAAGGGTGCGAGATCAGCAATGAGTACATTGCTAGAATTCCTGGCAATGCTTTTCAAACTTGGCCTCAAAACATTCTTTCCAATTCTGGCTCTCTAGGCATGTGTTGCGGCCTCACCACGCGTTCTTCAAATCAAGTCCCCCAACTACAGAAATGTACGTTTTCCCAGCAAGGACTGGGATAATCCCCACCGGTTATGGGGCTTCAGGAGGTACACTGCATGCTGTGCGGCCCTAGATAGGTGATCGTCCACCTCTCTTGACCAGCGGGTCCACCGCCTCACAAGGCTTCTTCAGTGCTAGGCTGACAGGCTACTGTTCACTTGGAGCTGATTTTAGCAAGATTTTATGTAGTTTAAGCAGATTTTTAGCTTTAATATGCAGGAACTGCAAGACTTCATGTCGGGCCATCTTGGGAGTTAGGCCCTGCCTCGTGTCCGTTTTTTTTTTCTTTTCTGCATTATAAAGTAATTGCATTAAAAATGAATGCTTAAACATTGTCACCTTTATATAGTAGAATGCTAAGATCTGAATCAAAACTCTTAAACTAGAGTGATGGCATCGTAGTATTTTTGCTGCATGCTGCCAGTTTTTAATCTCCCTCCCTACTTTTTTTTTTCTGTTTTCTAGGCAGCCCATTTCATTCAGCTGTGTTGTCAAAGGAATATACCCCTCCTCTTCTTACAAAACATTACCGGTAGGTTTTCCTTCAGAGAATGTTTAATACAAATGGATGTAAAATGCTAGGGGGAAAAACCCACAGAGTAATTTGAAAAAGTCCTATTCATGGAGATGGGTTTGAAACACTATATCTGCACAAATGATTGGAGGAAGAAATGTAACCCCTTCCTGACCAAACACTGAAACTTTCCGTCAAGCTTGTGCTTGCTTTAAGGACCCTTAACTCAAATTTTCCGTCATTTACTAACGTTAACGCTAGATCACGGCGATAATGGGGTTAACGCTGTTGCTGGGTGCCTCTGTGTCATAGGCAGACCAACAAACGCCAATAGCGATTTCCCAGCACATGTGATCGATGTGACAGCCAGTCACAGCAATTACAGTGCCGCTGGGATTTCCGATCCTCCCTCCGTGTGTGTGTGTGTGTGTGTGTGTGTGTGTGTGTGTGTGTGTGTGTGTAGAAGTGGAGAGAGATGGATCGGTGCTGCAACATTGTGTGCCATTTTTGGTTTAACTGTAGCTGTGTTATAAAAGTAATTTTATGACTTAAAATAGTTTTAACCCTTCTTTGCCCTTTTGATCCTTAACTGTATTTAACTGTGATCTAATTATTATTATTTTTTTACCCTCAAGGGTTAATTTAGATTATTTTTTTTAACCCTTTGGGGTTAATTTTATTTTATTAATTTTTACGTTGATTCTTTAGTTAGCTGAAGTCGGTGGACTTTGGTGGGAAATAGTGAAATTAAGTGTTAGGCTAGTAAGGGAGTAAAAGTTTGGAAAAGTTTTTTTAAAAGTATGTTTTTTTTTTTTTTTTTAGTTGTTACAAAAACAAAGTTAAAGTTACAGCTTCACAATGTGTAGAAGGTACACTGCTGAGGAGGCCTATCATATTTTAGCGGCCAACTCTGACGCCACAGACACTGCCTCTGAGAGTGGTGATGACTCTTTGCCAGATACTGCAGGGCCGTCTGTTGTAAGCGCCGAGTCCCCTGACATGGCGCTGGTGACTGCGAACCCCCGAATGATTTTACTCCTGACATCCCAGAGTTTACTGGTAGTCCTGGCATTCGGTTGGACTTGGCTCACAACAATGCACTGGATTTCATGCAGCTATACTTGGGAGGGGGGGGATGATATTTTAGAAGAGAGAGTCACCCAGACCATCATTTATGCTGAGCATTATCTGACAATGATCAGAGTCTCATTGCCAGGAAAGGGAGTTGGTACCTCATCAGTGTGCCAGAATTAAAAAAAATTCTGAGCACTGACTAAGCTAATGGGCAATATTAAAAAGCCCATCATGATGTACTGGTCCAAAAATGCAGCACCCCTATTTACTCCCAGACCATGAATAGGTCCAGATACGAAGTAATACTTCGATTTTTACACTTCAGCCACAATTCAAAGTGCCCCCCAAGAGGTAATCCTCTATAAGATTCGCCCCCGAATTTCTCACTTCAACAGGCAATTTGGCTTAATTTACACCCCACAAAAAAATATTTGTATAGATGAGTCTTTGATGAAATACAAGGGCAGACTGGGGTTTAAGTAATATATCCCGGCCAAAAGATCCCGGTATGGGATAAAGTTTATATAAACTTTGCGAAAGTGCAGTGGCTATGGTTACACCTTTCCGTGTTTACGAAGGTAAAGAACAGCCACTTGGATCCCCCAGGCTGCCCGGATATCATTGGGACTAGTGGGAAAATTGTATGGGATCTAATTATCCCATTGCTAAACAAGGGGTATCATGTGTATATATAGATAGCTACTACAACAGCATCACTCTTCTTAGGATGCTTTATTGCTTTAAAACTGTGGCCTGCAGCACTATCCGAAAAACACGTGCCGGTTTCACAAAAGCCCGGCCACAAAAAAGCTCAAGAGGGGGGAAACAGCTGCTGTCTGCCAGGACGAACTGCTGGCTCTCAAATTTAAAGATAAAAAGGAGGTGTTCATGCGAACACCCATGCATACTGAGCACACTCAAAGAGTCGCAGTTCGTGGCAGACAAGAAACTAGATGGGTGCCAGTCTGCATTAGGCAGTACAACAAGCATATGGGGGGATTTGACCTGCCCGACCAACTGCTGCAGCCATATTTAATACTGAGGAAGACCAGGGCATGGTACAAAAAGCTTGGCATTTACCTAATGCAAATGGCAACACACAATGCCTTTATTCTATACAAAAAGGCAAATGCTGACATTAAATACTCCAAAGCAAGGAATGCACACCATATGATACAATAGTATCTATCTATATATATATATTTATTACAATACAAATACAAGCCATACATACAAAATGTAACATTATAACAGTGACCAAATAGGCTAACAAACTCAACAAATATTTACCACATTCCACAAGCCTATAAGGGCAGAAATACGAGTCACAAACAATCCCCCAACGTTTCGGCTCCTCCTGGTAACAGGAGCATGCCAATAGATAATATGGCGACCGCTTACACTTGCATTGTGCATGCGCGTGACATTTTTACTAGTAAGGAGATTTATGGATATTTGAATTACACAATGAAATGACACTTTTGCATATATGATAAAATTTGTTTGGTAATAACATTAGGAGTGTATAGTACATATGTTAAATATTATGTTTAGCACATAGGACTGTGATCTGAAGTGATGATGTCACTTCCGGTCTCGGCTCTCTGCGTTATTACTGATGGCCATCAGCTGTAAGTGATTTGTATATGTGTGTATATAAGTGGTTCCTGGATGACGTTGGGGGATTGTTTGTGACTCGTGTTTCTGCCCTTATAGGCTTGTGGAATGTGGTAAATATATTTGTTGAGTTTGTTAGCCTATTTGGTCACTGTTATATTGTTACATTTTGTATGTATGGCTTGTATTTGTATTGTAATAAATATATATAGATAGATACTATTGTATCATATGGTGTGCATTCCTTGCTTTGGAGTATTTACTCTATTGGTATTGGAGGGAGTACCTTCTTGGAATAGCACCCTAAATTGAGGTGGTGGTTATATTAAGTGTCTCTCCACACGTTATATTTTAAATGCTGACATTAAATCCACATTTCTGGATTTTCTCTTTCACCGGATTTCTGAGCTGCTCACAGAGTGCCACAGTGGGGAACCATCAGCAGGGTCTAGCAGCAGAAGGGTCGGGACAGGCCACTTCTGTTTCCGCATACCATACACCCCAGAAAAGGTGCTACCACCGGGGCATAAGGATGGAAACTAGCTTTTACTACTCTAATTGCCCACTCTCAGCCCAGCCTTTGTATTGGCAACTGTTTGAAAGTTTTTTTTTTTACACCCAGGGAGAATAAGTTGCAAATTGTGTGTGTGTGTGTGTATATATTTTAATAAATTTTTTTTTAAATTTAATTGTTCTTCCAAATTAAAGGTTGCTGACGACGTTCAGGGCAAAGGATGCTGCTGCAGTTCTGACCTCTGACTATGATTATTTTATTTTTCTAATTTTATTTAGTTAATTAGGCTGCGTGGTAATTCATGGGACATTGGAGAGTTTATTGTTACATTAGGGGTGAAAAGATTTAACCCCTTAAGGACTGGACTGTTTTTGCGATGTTGTACATTTGCAACCAGGCATATTTTTACACTTTTGTGGTGTTTGTGTTTGGCTGGAATTTTCCGCTCTCTCATTTACTGTTCCCATACAAATTATATATTGTTTTTTTCAGGACAAAAGGGGCTTTCTTTACATACCATTATTTATATAATCTCATGTATTTTAATTTAAAAAAAATAAAAAAATATGATGAAAAATTGAAAAAAATACATGTTTTTTGACTTTTACTTGAAAAATCTTTTACCCATCTACAATAGCGAATTAAAAAAACTGCTAAATAGATTCAAAATTTTGTCCTGAGTTTAAAAATACCCCGTGTTTACTTGCTTTTTTGCTTTTTTTTTGCATGTTATAGGGCTATAGGTACAAGTAGAATATTGCGGTTTCAAAACATAAATTTTTTAAATTTATCCATAGTGACATTGTAACACTATTATCTGTCATAAATCTCTGAATAACACCCCACATGTACATATTTTTTTTTAAAGTAGACAACCCAGGGTATTCAATATGGGGTATGTCCAGTCTTTTTTTTAGTAGCCACTTAGTCGAAAACACTGGCCAAAGTAAGCATTCATATTTGTTTGTGTGTGAAAAAAGTAAAAAAACTAAATTGAACGCTAATTTTGGCCAGTGTTTGTGACCAAGTGGTTACTAAAAAAGACTGGACATACCCCATTTGCAATACCTTGGGTTGTCTTCTTTTGCAAATGGTATGCCATCATGGGGGTAATTCTCATTCCTGGGCTACCATACGCTCTCAAAGGCAACGTAACCAACCTGGCCATTTTCAATGTAAAAATATTTGACCCATATATTTGACCTTGTAACTTTCAAAAATGCTATAAAACCTGTACATGGGGGGTACTGTTTTACTCGGGAGACATCGCTGAACACAAATATTAGTGTTTAAAAACTGGAAAACGTATCACAACAATATCATCAGTAAAAGTGCTGTTTGTGTGTGAAAAATGCAAAAAAAGTCACTTTCACTGACAATATCATCGCTGTGATATGTTTTACTGTTTTGAATCACTAATATTTGTGTTCAGCGAAGTCTCCCGAGTAAAACAGTACCCCCCATGTACAGGTTTTAGGGTGTCGTAGAACGTTACAGGTTAAATACAGTGCTAGCAAATTCAATTCTCTGGAATTTCGGCCTGGGTTGGCAGGCAGGTCCCTTAAATAGCAATCAATAAAATTACTGAATTATGTAAAACTATTACATAAATACGCACGTAGAATTTAAATATATATGCATATTTATATATTTGAAGTCTACGTGTATATTTATATAATTATTTATGTAATTTTGTATATGGACATATGTATATTTCTTATTATTTTTATTTATTTTTATATACATAGATATATATACAAATTCATTCTAAGTGTATTTTGATATAAATATATATATATTAATTTTAAAATACAGTTAGAATAAAATTTCATATAGATATAATTTTTTTTTAATTTTTTTATTATTTTTAAAAATGTTTTATTTAATTTAAATTACTTATTATTTATATTTTATAATAATATATATATACAATATATATAGTTATTATATATATTATATATATACACGTGTGTAATTTAATTATAAGTGTATTTTTATATTAATATAAGTACATATTAATATAAAAATACACTTAGTATGGCATTATATATATATGATATATAGACATATATTATATAGATATAATATATGTCTATATATCATATATACACAAATATAATTTATTTTTATTTTTTATTAACATTAACTTTATTTATTTTTCTGATTTTACACTAGCAGGGAGACTGCCTGTCAGCATAGACAGTCCCCCTGCAGGCAGACACTAGGACACCTATTGTGACCATGTGATCGCTGTGTTAAGCGATCACATGGCCACAGGGGTCCTAATTCAGTGTGGGGAGACTGTCTGGGCTGCAGGCAGTCTCCCCACAACCGGAGCCACGCTGATCGCCGCCGGGGGAACGACGGCAATCAGGTAAGTAGCTCTGACCGTTAGGACGGTTCAGGACCGTCATCTGTCCTCAAGGCAAAAATGCCGATGACGGTCCTGAACCGTCCTGGGTCGCTAAGGGGTTAAAAGAATAAAAAAATAGGAAAAAAATAATAATTTATAACATTTATTTAGTTAAAGTTCTGTAAGTTGTGTAAAAAGTTAAAAATGCTTAGGAAGAAAAAAGGATTTTGAAATCTATCAGCAGACTGAGTTGTCAGGCAGTGTCTCAGAGTTTGATGCAGGTTAATACAGTGATTAATATCTTCTTTAAGAAATGGTAGGCCTTTGTAGGGTAGTTTATTAACAACCTGCTAAAATTCTCTATATTGGACATGGACCCAGCGTCAAAATTCAAAGTTTGAAAAAAAACTGATGTGGCTTAGTCTCCAATGTACCCCTTCAACATCTACATATCCCCGTAAAAGGTACACATGGGGGTATTGTTGTACTAAGATGACATAGCTGAGCAACATATTAGGTGTTATACTGCCGTAGCACACATAAGAATTGCAAAATATACAGGAACATCTCCAAGTGTGTGTCAAAAGGCAGAAAAAATGCTAATTGCTACTAGACTTGGTACAAACTAGCAAAACAATGATCCTACGCTAAGGTTTAAAATATGCTATTTGAAATAGCCTGGATTGTCTTCTTTGAGAAATGGTAGGCCTTTGTGGGGTAGTTTGAATTATTAACCTGCTAAGATGCTCTAAAATTGCACATGGACCCAGCATCAAAATTATAAGTTTAAAAAATAAAAAATAAATGATATGGCTTGGTCTCCAATGTGCCCCTTCAACATTCACATATCCCTGAAAAAAGGTACACATGGGGGTATTGTTGTACTAAGACAACATATCTGAGCAGCATATTAGGTGTTATACTGCCTTAGCACACATAAGGATTGCAAAATATACAGTAACATCTCCAAGTGTGTGTCAAAAAGGCAGAAAAAAATGCCTATTGCTACTAGACTTGGTACAAACTAGCAAATAAAATGATCCTATGCTAAGGTTTAAAATATGCCTTTTGAAATACCCCTGGGTGTCTACTTTTACAAATGGTAGGCCTTTGTGGGTTTTTTTGTTTTTTTTTATAACAAACTGCTACAATGCCCCAAATTGAAACATAGGCCCCTCAAATCAGTCTCTCAAAATTCTACTGTAAATACTGAAATGGCCAGGTTTCCTATATGGCACTGTAGCTTCACAAAATAGTGCCAAAGACATACAATGGGGGTGTTGTACTCAGCAGATGTAGCTGAACACAAAATGTTGTTTTGTACAGGAATAGCACACACCAACTTTACGAAATACACATGAGAAGATCTTTGTTATAAGTTTGTGTGTCAAAAAAAGAAACACAATTTTACTCCAATATCTAGCAGAGCTTGTCAGTGAAATGGCTACGTAAAAAGTGTCAAAATAACCTTCGGTAATTAGCCTGTAATGTCTACTTTATATAAATATATACTTTTGTGCTGCAATTTTGTTTTCTTTTATGGCTATTAAGCTTACAAGACAAACATACCAAATTCTAAAATCGCTCCACATTAAAAGTTTATTTTACTCCTTGTGCTTTGTGACCTGTAACTACCAAAAAAAACTTAAAATCCCAGACACATTATATATTCTGTAAATCAGAACTAAATTGATTTATTTTTAATTACTTAACCTGCACTAATTATGCACACATTCTTATTATTGCTTGTATTTTTTTTATAATAAATAAGCATTTATATATGTATATGTTACATCAAATTAAAGCCCTTTTTGTCCTTTAAAAAACTGTATATACACAAGCAGCCTCCACTGGGACCCTCTGCTTTAGTGTTCTTGTCATACCTAGCCCAGCTATAGGGGTTTACATAGCACCAAAAATTTCAATTCGGGTCGACTATGCCTATGTGATGTAATCTCATGTTATCAATATACTTTGGTCTGCTACTTACTTTGTCTTCACGTTCTATACTGTTGTCATACTACTGACCCACAAAAATAAAGAATATTATTGTATGCATGCCAACTGCTCACATCTGTACCACAGTCACACTGAGATGCCTATGAATGGAAAGCAAAGTGGGCGAGTGTTCATGGCTCGCCCATAGAAGCTTCTCAATAAGAAGCCCTTGAGTGGTCAATTCACTAGCATAGACTAAAGGTCTGTGCCAGGAAAAGGGAGAGGACTTGCAACATCTGCAGATTTTTAAGGTTACTTTTTTTTCATACACTCTCTAAGAATACATGCAAGAAATGTTTCCTTTGGGGGTTATGTACTAAATAGTGAAAACAAGGAAGCATTGAGGGGACAATCAAAGACTGCAGGATCGCACCAGGAAGACCCTCTATTGACTGAGTGACAACCACAAGATGTGAGGTTAGGATGCAATGTACAAACGGAGTTTTCTCAGAAAAGGCAGTGTTTACATTGCTGAAACTACAGAAACTCTCTCATTACACCAGAACCTCTACAGTAAGCTGTCATCGTTCCAAAGCTTAGCGTGTTTTATAATTAAGGGGGGGGGGGGAGCTGTTCAAAGTGGTTTGGCGGCTCTTGACATGGAATTTCACAAAGTACTGTTGTCTAGTTTGAAAAAGGCCCATGCCATATTGCTGCAATATTTGGATATAGCATGTATTACCGATGCCTGCAGTATGTAATAAATGCTTATTTCTAACTAATTCATGGGTAATTCTATAATGATGTTTGTAGCTTTGTAGAAATGTTATTTTTCATTCTACTATGAAATTGGAGAGTATGATGTATAATGCGTACGTCATTGGTACAATTCTGTAACTTTATCCTTGGAATCTTTTTCTGAAATAAGAAACCTCTTAGTGTTCCGTTGGTGATGCTTATGCAGAGCACTGAGACTCTGTTCTTCAGCGCGTTTACAACACAGCAGATAATGATTCTTGAACATTTGTCCCTTGCTTGTGGTACTTTTGGTTCTTTGAGTCTGTTACAATTTCCCTGAACTTTATTGGCAGTTTTAATACTTGTTATGCTTGCTAATGTGTTCAAAAATGTGAAATAGCAAAGAACAGGCTTTATATTTGTTTTTGTTTATGAAGCATGAACGCCAGTAGTTTTTAAATGATGCATTTTCATTTCAAACGAAGACGGAACACACTATTTTTCATGATTAGATGTGTATTTTGGTTCCAGGTTTTATGGTTGGCAGAGAATATGAAGCTGGAGGAATAGCAAAAGATGGAGCTAAGATGGTAACAGCCGTTGCTTGTGCCAATGTACCAAAAATAACAGTAGTTATCGGAGGGTCGTACGGGGCAGGAAATTATGGAATGTGTGGCAAAGCGTATAGGTAAGTGTTTATATTCTTTATAGAAAAATAGAATGGTTTTTACAGGTTGATCACATTTGTTTTAATGGATTTTATGACTGTTATGCTTTTTCTTGATTAGAGTTCAATTAAAAGGTTTTAAAAATAATTTCTAAGTTTGTTGGGAGTAATACAGTCTGCAGTGGTGCAGTGACGATTATCCACCACTTCAGCTGCTTCATACGGCATGATAGGAGTTAGTCAGCAGACAGAGTTAGACTCTGAGACCAAGCTACGCTAGCCGACATCAACCATTTAATAATAAATACTCCTGCTAAAAATAAACCCATTTGTATTGTGTTTTAATAAAAATAAAAATTGCGTACCATTTTGGTCATATGCAAGTTAAAAAGTACAAAAGTACAAAAGTAGATATGACCTATTTAAGTGCATTGTATGGATAAAGCATATAAAATACACAAAATAATAACAAAGTATTTATTTCAAAACAAATAATAACTCACATTTGTAGTCCCTGCATCTATTGCAAACCCCATGGTTTGCTGTTTCTGCCGTAAGCTTATAATAAACCATCAACTTTCTATGATGCTCCCAATATTTCCAGGAAGAGCAACTGCAGCCTGCAGTTTCTTTTTAATATTGGTGAGAGCTGGGTTTTTTTGTTGTTGTTTTTTTCCCCCCAATAATCTTTCCAATATTTCTTTGCATGTTTTGTCATGCAGCCCACGGTTCCTTTATATGTGGCCAAATGCTCGAATCTCAGTGATGGGTGGTGAACAAGCTGCTACAGTGCTGGCTACAATTGCCAAGGATCGAAAAGCAAGAGAAGGGAAGACGGTAAATAAAAATTAGCTTTTCATCTTTTAAGAACTGAAAAAATTACACTGACCATGTAAATGCAGCTACAATAGTATTTGTAAGTTTTCTTACTTTTCTCAGCATCTTCAATATAACTTATCTAGATATTTCATTAAAAGGTATGCTTAAACCCAACTTGGAATATCTCTTTGTCCATGTTGTTATTTTTGTGTTTTCTGAAGTCACCCACACCCTTCCCATCAACTATGCATACTAAAATCGGGTCTCTTGATACCTCAAATAATTTTGTATGTACTGCTGAAATCCCATCTCCAATCCTTCAGAAAGTCTGATTAGCAATGGGGGTTCAAACAAGGTGCCCATGGAGGTCCCCAATTTACGGAGGAAACCCAAGCAAAATACTAGTGAAACAAATGTTTATGGAGAGAATGAAAGTCAAGTCAGGGGATGATGCCAAATATAGTTCCAAAATAGATAGCAATATTTGAATTACATGCAATAAATTCAGTTAAGTCTTCATTTGTATGAAAAGTATGCATATTATTGTTATGTGGTTATTCCAAGCATCACAGCCACTACAGTCTGCTGTAGTGGTTATGATGCCAGGAGTATTCAAGCCCCATTTCTCAATATTAAAGAAAACCGTTTTCCAACAGTTTGCCCTCTTACCTGAGACTCTGCTGGGCACCAAGGTCCTCTATGACCAGCGAGATGCATATGGCTTCTACACACCCACAGAAACTAGATGCTGAACCTGCAAGCTATTCATTGGCTGAGAGCATCAGCTGACTGCTCTCAGCCAATTAATTCAACTCTGTGCCTAAAAATATTAGCAGAATTGTTCCAAGCTAGCTAATAATGCCCAAATGATGTTGGTGGAGGTGGAGTTACAAATTTAGCAGCAAAGGGGTAAATTCAGGATGTGCAGCGTTCCATAACGAAAGGCACACATACAGATTCCAGGCACCATGACCACTTCAAATCCCTTAAGTGGTCACAGAACTTGAAGTAATTATTTAATATCTTATTCAGATAATTAAACTTTTTGTTTGAGTTTTGTTAGAACCATTTGTAAACCTTACATGGATTATGAGTGATGTTAACCCGATCTTACTAACAAATTACTTTCGTCATTGAATGCTTAAAGTTTGCTTGTTAAAAAGAAAACAAAATACTTAAAGAATGTATTTGTTGTACTGCCATAGTTTTCTTGTGACAAACAATTCATATTCCAAGCTGTCATCACTGAGTTTGGACATATGTGGCCTGACTCAATGTCAGATTTTTATGCGCACTTACTTTGATCTAGGGCCGTGATTCATCCATACTGGAGTTGTTGTGTTTTTTTTTTGGTTTTTTTTTTTAAAGCTCAAGGATGATTGCATTATATTATGAAAGGACAGATCTCATTAATAGTACTGTATTAGCATCTATGTCGATAGCTGGAATTAATAGTCTAGTTTTGCACCAGCTGCTTCCTGGATATTTGCTTGTTTAACTATTTAAGTCTTTCAGTACATTCCTTTATATTATATATATACAAAGGTATTGGGACACCTGACCATTATACCAACAGGGACTTCTAACCTTGCATTCTATACACAGTCATTAATATGTACTTGAGTCCCCCGTTCTATAATAGCTTCCACTCGTTTGCAAAGCCGTTCCACAAGATTTTGCGGTGTTTCTTTGTGAATTTTTGCCGTTCCATCCAGCAGAGCATTTGTGAGGCCAGGCAGTGATGTTGGACGAGAAGGCCTGGCTCTCAGTCTCTCTTCCAGTTCATCCCAAAGTTGTTTGGGGTTGAGGTCAGGGCTGAGTGCAGGCCAGTCAAGTTCTTCCACACCAAACTCGTTCAATTATGTCTTTATAGACCTTTCTTTGTGCACTGGGTCACAGTCATGCTGAAATAGAAAATTGCCTTCCCCAAACTGTTCCCACATGTTGGAAGCATAGCATTGTCCAAAATGTCTTAAGCATTAAGAGTTCCATGCACTGGAAGTATGGTGCCTAGCCGAACACCTGAAAAACAGCCCCGAACCATTATCCCTCTTCCACTGAACTTAGTAGCCTCAATACAGTCAGGCAGGTTACGTTCTCCAGCATCCACCAAACTCAGACTCACTCATCAGAATGATGTTGATAAAGCGTTGGGGTGAATGCAAAACACTTCCAGAACCCTTCTAGGTGATGTACCTAGCCTTCAACACCTTCCCATGCAGGGATCTGGGATATATCTATATACAGTTGTAATCATGATTCAGCCCCATTGAAAATCAGGTTTTTTGTTAAATGACGGTGTCACGTGCGTGGGCTATAGGCCCAGCCGAGACAGTGGGGAGAGTGTGGAAGTGACAGGGTTAATGACACCAGACCCCTGGTTACCTGTTGCTAGTCCCAGCAACCACTCAATTAACCCCTGCAATCCCTTCTACACTAACTCCCTTAGTACACTTTACTGCCACCACCAAGACTTTTAAACCCGGGCGTCTTAGGTTACCCCACACACAGGAGAATTATAGTATCACCGTTCTACTTTTACTGATAAAACATATATAGTAAACCCTTTTTGGTAACGTGTTTACCTGAGCTTTCCTCTGGAGAGTGAAGCTCATAGAGAACAGAGACACAAGCTGATTAAGTAAACATTTAATCTGACAAAAAGGATTCACAGTGCTGAGTACAAAATACAGAAATAAATGACATACAGATAACAAATTGCAAAACAGTACATAAAATAAAATAGGAGAAAACACAAGAAATTCCTTACATATATTTACCCCATATAGAATTCTTGTGGGAGTCTTAGATGGTATAGGTCTCCTAGAAGTTACTGACAAAAGAAAAATGAATAACTGACTTCCCTGGATAGTCCAACACCCTCATATATCTAAACTAGTTGTTTCTCAGTGGGCAGACCCCTGGGGGGGATCAGAGGGGGCTGGTCTGGCAGTCTATTGCCCACTCTATGAAATTCCTTGTGTCCAACTCTGGTGATGGCTATCTAGATGTTTTATGGTCTAGGCCTGGTGCAAGATCAAAGACCATAATAAATGTCATCCCAAGGTTTACAAAAAACAACTCTTAACATATATAAACACACATCAAACACCAACTCATGCTTTTGGCATGACAGACGGACTTTCAGCTGTCTAATGAACAAATCAAAGAAATGCAACTGAAATAATAGAAGTATTAAGCCTGAGTACAGGGACTTCTAGATATTATAAATATATATAATCTCAAAACCAATTCCTGCACTCCAACCTAAATCTAATGGTACCTGGTGCTCTGGTTGCAATAATGACATATCCAAAGACATACCGGCACTCAAGGCTTTTCGATATATATATATTTATTTATTTGCCTAATTGGGAATTTGGACCATACAATTAATATCTCCGCAACCAAACTTAACAGTTGGCACAATGCAGTCAGATAGGTAACGTTCTTCTGGCATCCACCAAATCCAGACTCTCCCTCCGACTGCCAAACAGACAATGTGATTTGCTTCTTCACCGAAGGCACTTCAACTGATCCAGAGTCCAGTGGTGGTATGCTTCACACCACTCGATCTGACGTTTGGCATTGTACTTGGTGATGTGAGGATTGCATGCAGATGCTCTGCCATTAAAATCCATTCCATGAATCTTCTGCTGCACATACCAGTGGAGCAGGAGCTTCATGGAATGAGTTTCCATGGCAGAGGAGACTTGGCGACTTCTACGCCTCATGTGCCTCCGCATTCGATGGCCCTGCCCTGTAACTTTGTGGTCTTCCGCTTCGTGGATGAATTGCAGCAGTTCCTAAACTATTTCACTTTCCAATAATACCACTTACAGCTGACCATGGAATATCTAGCAGGGATGAATTTCCATGAACGAACTTATTGCAAAGGTGACATCCTATCACAGTAGCATCTAGAATTCACTGAGCTCTTCAGAATGACCCAAGAAGTATGTCCCAACACTTTTGTCCATATAGTGTATCTAGATATGATGCCAGGAAGGATGTATTCACCTAATCATGCATATGCAATAAGGGTGTTGCAGCAATGCCTAAAATACTGACCGTGAAAGCCAATAAACACGCAATATTGGCAGCAATATTAAAAGAAACCTTGATTAATAACTCTATAATCTGTGTTAGATGGCGTGCCTAATTTCATATTTGTGTATTTTAAAACCCTTTTAAACTGACATTTGCTTTTTTGTGTTCCTTTTGAAATTATTTTATCTCAGTTTTCTGAAATGGAAGAAGCTGCTTTGAAGGAGCCCATTATAAAGCGGTTTGAAGAGGAGGGAAACCCATACTATGCAAGCGCAAGGTGGGGACATCGCATTAGACTTTTAACAATGAGAATTTTATAGACTTCTGTAAAATACTACTTTAATGCTGTAAACAACAAACTTTATCTTAGTAAATGTTTAAAATTCTGTTAAACCTAAAATGTTACAGAGCTCTGTTTGTTTCTTTGTCAATTTGTTCACTCTACCATCTTCTAAAATAATCTTACTGATAAAACAGGATTCGGAATTTCCAGTTCTACAATAGCTTACTAAAAGTTACTTCTCATTGCCAGCCTGGAAGGGTCCATGGTGTACTCACTAGGGGTGAATTTTCATTCGCAAATGGCGTACAATAATTGTATCCCAAGACAAAGAATTGTTTAAAACATTTTCACAGATTCCATGGAAGCGATATGTGGTTTTTCTTCTGAAACAAGTTGAAATGTGTTGGTAACAGACCAGGGTGATTCGCAATTTTACAGTCTATTGTAAATCACGCCAGATATGTTTTGAACCTTAAATAGGAAGCAGCTTATCTAGAGAAAGTGAACAGTCGATTAAAGTCTGAGAATTTGCTGCAAAAGAAATCTTAGTTCATCAATTAGTTCAAAGTGTGTATTATTGAATGCTCTATTAAATTGGTCTTTTGTGATCTAAAATAATCAGACACACATGATTATTCATTAAAGTATGAGTGTCCGTGAATTCACAGTAAGCTTCAAATGTTTGGTTAAAATAGTGAACTGAAAACGTAGCTGTCTTAGAGAATTGCTGGCCTCTGTTGGCTTATTACCATAGTTTTATTCATGTTTTGTGTCATAAATGCTGCTACTGGGTGCTATGCTTGTTTGCTGTAAATCCCAACAATTTTGGCCCTTCCACTGATATCGAAGGAATCCCAAACGGATTCCTTAAATTGCTCCTAGAAAAGAAACGTTTATCATCTTGCAGTAATTTAAATCCTATATGTAGATAGATGTTTGTTTTTCCAAATACACCGGCTTCTCTACAGGAAGATAAAGTAGATCCTGTACGTGTTAATTAGTACTTTGTTTAGGTTCTCCTTATCCGCACAAACACGTGGTTTCTTTAAGAATTTTAGTTTGCAGAGCTTTCAGACACAAAGCAATTAGGTGGTTCCTTCTCTTCTGAGTTAATTTGGGTGATTTTTTTTTAATTTATTTTGATTATATGTAAAGTTTTAGCTACTTTTTAAATTTTTGTATGTTGACTGGCATTGTTGCTGCTTACCTGTGATACATAGGCGTTTCAAGTGCAGCACATGTTTGCAGCATAACTGCAGACCTTTTAATTATAAATCCGGTTCCTGAATGACATTCATGGAACCATTTGTATTTATGGGCGTCATGCTGAGTCTTCTATTCGTGTTTATCAAACTGCCTGTGGGTTGTTTTTTTTTGTTTTTTGCCAGAGGGAGTTGATCAATTTATGTAAATTGCATCCACATATTCCTTTGCTCTAAATTCCCATTTCGTAAATTGCAGTACATTGCTTGCGACCTGCCAAAGTATTAAATATTCAGAAGGTTTTCCCAGCAGACACAACACTGTTATAGCAAAGGATATTGATGCTTTGGAAGTATGTAGTCTTCTAAGAAGCTGATCTTCGAGAATTATAAATTGTAATATTACTGATAGCGCACAGAACCTTGTGATAAGCAGCAGATCCATTTCCATCTATTGTGGACTACAGCTCCCATGACTTTTACTCAGGTGTGAGTTGAGGATCCATGATACCAGGCAGTTAGATGTTAAAGACTCCTAAAAATCAGTGATTACAGTATATTGAAACCCATGTTCTTTCAGTCAGATTTTTTTTATAAAGATAATTTGAATTCTGTAAATGCAGTACAGATAGGTATAAAACTGCACTTTCTATGAATGAGGGAAACACTGCCAGGGCAAAGTATGATAAAACAGTCCTGTTACGCTGCATGATGTAGATTGAGGGTGTTAGGGATTTTTCTCTCCAAGGTTTTACTATCAACAATTCATATTTATTTTGATATGTTTTGTCCCTCACATTATTCCATCTGCCAGGATTTTCTTTCCCATCCTTTTTACGTGTAATACTTTGCAGTAAGTACATAAGGGGAGATTTATCAAAGTGCTCTGTTCTAAAAAGTGGTGCAAAGGGGAGGAGTCACCAATGGAATGTGCCTGTTGGGCCACTAGTTTTTATGGTGATTGACCCAATTTTTTTTTAACTTTAGACCGCGTTTTGTAAAGAACAATAAAAAAAAGAAATAAACAACATGTTTACAAACTGAATGCAGTATATTATGTTGAAGACTTTTGCATAATTAGATTGCCTTTGGGATGAAAAGCTAGTTACCTGTCTCTTTTTTTAGGTTATAATTTAACTAGTCCTTGCTTTTAATTACTGTACTATTTAAAATGTTATTATTCTCTTTGTGGCTTTTTCAGGTTGTGGGATGACGGAATCATAGATCCAGCTGATACCAGACTTGTTGTAGCTTTAAGCCTCAGCGCAGCATTAAATGCACCAACGGAGAAAACGCAGTTTGGCGTTTTCAGAATGTGATCCACTCCTGTGAACGACCAATTATTCACACTACAGACAACATTCTGTAAAATAAAACTTTTTACAACATTCTCAATCTTTTGTTGTTACTAGAAATGTGTTGGTTAAAGATATTCTGGAAATACTTACATTTATGTTTTTATTGCATTGAATTAGAATTTTCACTTCATATTTGGGAAGAAAAAAGGCAGAAGGCTAAATTTCAAATATGAATAATCAGTCTCACTGCTTAATTCTCTTCCATTTAGAAGTTAACTCACTTAATTCTCTTTATGCAGCCCTAGCCACCACCACAACCCCCTCCCGGATGTGATTTACCAAGCCAGCATGGAAATTTTTTTTTAATTTTAAATCAGATGTGACAGCACAGTGGGTTTACTTTAGAAGTTTAATCGCCTGCTCTGTTATTTGAATGGCTCCAGCAGACTATTAGCAGAGCAGAATAAAAGGAATTCTAAATGAAACAGGCTGTGCAATAAAGGAAGTTTAAACATTAGTCATCTCTACAGAAAATGTGTAGGGAGACTGTGTAGGTCACATGCAGAGAGGTGTGGCTAGAGCTGCATAAACAACTCCTAAAAAGCAGATACTTGAACAGTGAGGCTACAGGGGTATGATCTGTACACCAACACTACTCCATTAAGCTAAATATGTTTTGCTGCTTACGAACGAAAATATTTAAAAACTCAACCATCATAGAGGCAATGAAAGAAGAGAAAAATTGATAATTTTCAACTGCAATCAGATATTAAACCGCTTTAAACTGGCACACAAGTGCAGGTAGGTGACCTAAATGGGGCACAATCACAATATGGACAATTTAAGCACCTGATAAAACCTTTGTGCACACCTGTGAGTTTGAGAAGGTTTCCAGTTTCTAAATTTTAGACAAAAATGAGCAAATCCTGGTTTAGTGAACAAACCATACAGTGTCCCAGGCATCTGAGCACTCGCAGGCCCTGTATCGGATCAAATTACCAATTTAACAAAAGCTATTTATTGCTCGGATCTCGGTATTCTCACCCCTTACTTTTCATACCATACCCTTTAATTAGAGATCTTCAAAAATGAGCCTCCGAGCTGGTCATGGCAGCTCGCCCTTGTTATCTGACTAAAAGCTGTGAGATCACAGATATAAAGAGGGGACAAGAAAGTGGGTGGGTTTCAGGTCATCAGAGAAGTCCTGCGCTCACTCCCATCACTACTGGGCCGGCAGCAATGACTATAGTACACATAAGCCCCAACATATAGTAAAAACCAAAGAAAAGAAAAAGTTACCTGCGCTCTCTCCTTAATCCCTATGTATATTTAGACAAATGGAGGTCATTTAGTTGCTCCAATGGCCATTTGAGGGAATGCCCGCCTGCCAACGTCAAGGCAGACCCCCCTAAACCCCCCTAACACTGACCCTTCAGCCTACTTCCTTGAGCTTCTGGCAAAGATATCTCTAATGAGACAGAGAGGGGTATTTTTTATATACACCCCTATATACTTATTAACCCTTAATAGGGAACACATGGAATGGGCGGCAGCATTGTAACAAGGCTGTGTGATACAAAGTAAATACAAAAAGAGAAGTCCTGCGCTCACTCCCATCACTACTGGGCCAGCAGCAATGACTACAGTACACATCAGCCCCAATATATAGTAAAAACCAAAGAAAAGAAAAAAGTTACCTGTGCTCGCTCCTTAATCCTTAATATTTTTAATATATTGGGGCAGATGTGTACTGTAGTCATTGCTGTTCTATAGCTCTGTAGTTTGTATTTCAGGAGTAGGAGGGTGGTGGTACTTGCGTCGCCGCTAAGGTCTGTTAGTGTCATTATGCATTCAGCCGCGCATTTGTGTCAATCTAGGCGGGGGATCATTTGAGTTCCCTGAAAGTATTGGGGTCCAGCCTCGGTGGAAAGTCCGTGTTGTATGTCAACGAGAGGGCATGTCTTCCCATGGCGCTACGCCACACTTGTAATATGGCTCTCGTAAATACAGAACAGTTTCCCACCCTCCCTGCCTCTCCAGGTGGTAGCCAGGGCAACAGAGCAATGGGTTTACCTGCCCCATTCTCCTCCTGTTTCCATAATTTGTGCACACTGTGTTTGGATCACTACATCACCCGTAGGAGATGTCAGGCTGTGTAGCAAAGATAGAAATCCGGCATTGCCAGACCACCCCTATGTTTGGGTTGCATAAGTAGAGTAAATTTTAGCCGGGGTCTCTTGCCATTCCATACATAATTTCCAAAGGCTGTGCGCATTGAGGTGATAAAGGGTGTGGGATAGATATGGGAAAGGTCTGGAATACATGTAGCAGGCGTGGGAGGAAGTTCATCTTGGCCACTTGTATCCTGCCCAACCAGGAGATATGTGGATATGACCACTCCTTTTCCGTTCGAAATGCAGTGAGCATCAGGGAGATTTTTTTATTTTTTTTTTAAAGTAAGTCTCCTCCCTTCTGTGTTGGCCATATGCCCAGATTTTATGCTCTGCCCAATGGAAGTTGTAGTTCTGGCGGATTGTCTGCCCTGTCTTTTGGAACGTCGACATTCAGAGTGAACGATTTTAAAAAGTTCATTTTTAGGTTAGACCAGGGGTAGTCATCCTTTTTCTACCTACTGCTCATTAATACATCTTTCTTGATGGAAAAATTTCCTTACCGCCCACCAGTTTTCGCGCAAGTGCGGAATATTTTTTAGAAAGGAGGGGTTTAAAAAAAAAAAAAAAAAAAAAAGTATGTACATTTATCTTTTTATTTCTACTTTGTGCATGTTTATAATGTTAACTTTTTATAAAGTTTAACCCCTTAAGGACGGAGCCAAATGTACACGTGAACAAAACAAAATGTAAACAAAACCTGGCATTTGCGCTACGTGACTGTCCAACCGTAATTCGCCTCTTTCATATTAAATGCACCCACCCTTATTATATATCATTTTATTCAGGAGAAACAGGGCTTTCATTTAATATGAAATATTTAGTTATGAAACAAATTTTTATGAAAAAATGGGAGAAGATAAGATTGTTTAAAAAAAAGTTTAGTTCTACATGACATTTTAACTGTCAATGTCATAATACTGCTTGCTTTTACTGCAATAAAATACGCATTTGTATTCAGCAAAGTCTCACGTGTAAAACAGTACCCCCTATGTACAAGTTTTATGGCGTTTTGGGAAGTTACAGGTCAAATATAGCACGTTACATTTGAAATTGAAATTCGCCAGATTGGTTACATTGCCTTTGGGACTTTATAGTAGCCCAGGAAAGAAATTTACACCCATAATGGCATATCATTTGCAATAGTAGACAACCCAAGGTATTGCAAATGGGGTATGTCCAGTCTTTTTTAGTAGCCATTTGGTCACATAGGGGTAATTTTCATTCTTGTGCTACCATAGAGTCTCAAGGGCAACGGAACCAATCTGGCGAATTTTAATGTGAAATAAATGAAACACAAGCCTTCTATTTGACGCTGTAACTTTTGAAAACACCATAAAATCTGTACACGAGGGGTACTGTTGTACTCTGGAGACTTCGCTGAACACAAATATTTGTGTTTCAAAACAGTAAAAAGTATCGCAGCAATTATATCGTCCGTGTAAGTACTGTTTGTGCGTGAAAAATGCAAAAAACTTCACTTTTACTGGCGTTATCATCATTGTAATACATTTTACTGTTTTGAAACACTAATATTTGTGTTCAGCGTAGTCTCCCGAGTAGAACAGTACCCCCCATGTACAGGTTTTATGGTGTCTTGGAAAGTTATAGGGTTAAATATAGTGCTAGCAAATTAAATTCCGTTTACTTTCAGCATGGGTTGTCAGGCAGGTCCCGCTAATTGTAATTAATTAAGATACCTAATTATGTAAAAATATTACATATATATGTAGAATATATATATATATATATATATATATATATATAATCTAAGTATATACTTTTTTTTTTTTACACTTATTAACTTTAATTTAATTTATTTCCAGCCAGCAGGGGGACTACCTGTCATTACAGGCAGTCCCCCTGCTGGCAATGCTGTAGCCAGCTATCCCGGCCATGTGATTGTGAGGTCCGCAAGGACCTCACTCTCACATGGCCGGGAGGGCTGCCAGGAGGAAGATCTGCTGCGGGGTGGCTCCCTGGGAGTCCCTCAACCGCGATCGCCGGTGTGGGATCGCCGGCGACCGGGTAAGTAATGAAAGACCGGAGGGCGTACTATTACGCCCGGCGGCATTTAGAGCCGCCTAAAATAGGGCGTAATAGTACGCCCTCCGGTCTTAAGGGGTTAATGAGAAAACCATAAAGTACATTGAAATTACCTTTAACTAGTGATTAATGAGATCCTTGAGGTTGATGCTGCAAGGCTAAATATTTGATATCTGGTTAGATTTTCGTAGGGAACAAACAAAGGTCTCCTATTTCGGTGATATTCAGACGACTTCTGTTTGCTCATAATATGATTTCTCATCTGTGCATCAGCTCCCCTCCTCTCCTTCCTCAATTCTCCCCCCCCCCTTTTTTTCCCCTTTTGTCTATTTTTTAACCTTCCTTATAGCAATGCCCAGTAGGAAGGCTGAGCTAGGCAGCCCACTTACTATTATTAGCTAATAATTCTCTCCTTTTTATATTTTTTTTATTTTCCTTCTTTCTCCTTTTTTACAAGTACTCTGCTCCTTCTTTCTCCTATTCTGCAAGTACTCTGCTCCTTCTTTCTCCTTTTTACAAGTACTCTCCTCCTTTCTTTTCTTTTGATCTTTTCCTTTTTATCTCCTATTTTTTATGCTTTTCTTTTACCTTCCTTATGGCAATGTACAAAAGTAAGGCTGAGCTAGTTAGCCCACTTCTTATTATTAGCCAACAACAATTCTCTCCTTCTCCTGCCTATAACTTTTCTTTCTCCTATTTTACAACTCCTCTGCTCCACTTCTGCATGTCCCGGCTATTGTGCATCAGCTCCCACTCCTCCCCTTCCTCTTCCCACGAGTTACACTCGCTTGTGTTGGCATGTCAGTGTTCTCTTGTTCGCGTGCACGCATTCTCGTGTTTGCCCGAATTCGCGCGCATTCGTACTTTCATGTGTGTTTGT